CCAGTGCATTCAACTTTGCTGGTGCAAGTTCAACTTCTAATACTGCTTCTGCTTTCAACTTTGGTGGATCACAACCGCAAAATCCTGCCAGTGTGTTCGGTCAGTCAAACAACAACAATTCAGCTTTCCAATTCGGTGGTGCCACTGCCAATTCAAGTGCACCAGGATCAGCATTTGGAGGTAGTGGATCTGTAACACCAGCATTTGGTGGTACACCTCAACCTTCCATGCCCCAGGCCCAAGCACAGGCTCCCCAATTCAATACCCAGGGCAATGTGAACTTCAATTTCGCTGGTGCCAATACTGACCCATCTTCTGTTTTCGGTACTGTAAATCAGGGTGCTTTTGCTACTTCAACTCCTGGTGCTTCTACTCCAACGCCAAGGGCTGTTCAAGGAAGAAAAATAGCACAGATGAGACAACGCCGTCGTTAATAAATCTACAGGTCAATTCATATACAAAAACGTCAATAACGATCATTGTACCATTTTAACCGAATAACTTCAATACTGTAATAATGGCTTTTTTTTGTTTTCATTCTCTCTCAATAGATCTCATCGTGTTCATTACTCAAATAATCAGTGTATAGAACTGATTCTAATGTACATTCATCACATTTAGATTGTATTACTCATGTTTCAATTGTTGTTGGTGATGGTGAAGACTTGGTCAAGTCACCAGATTCATCAGCTGAGGGGTTCTTTTGCGAGATGGTTCTGGCATGTGGATTCAGCTTGTGCAATATCTTCTTTGCGTGCGGTGTGTTTCTCATCTCTGGAATAAGAGGAATCAGTGCATCTGATAATTTCTCCAACTGTGTAGCTTTAGAGACGTTCAGAGCAGTCTGAAGGACGTAGTTCCCATAAGAATCATGCAACAACTTAACCAGTTGGTCATTATTGTTCAACAGCTCATTGATGATATCTTCTGCATAAGGTGTGCATTTCAAACATTTTTCAATAACGTTCGAGCCAAATTTGTGCAAGCTCAAAGAAATAAGATCACCTTTGACTGCATTGACAATTGTTTTGATGGCATCGTTTTCATCCCTTTCAAGAACGTATTGGACAACATAGTTTCCATATGCATCACGAGCAAGGTCAACAGTATATTTGGAGATAATGCTACAAAGCTCTGAGCGATTCTCTTTAGAACCATGATCGATACATCTCTGCAGAACGCAGCATCCGTGTCTATGAGTGGCGATCTCTAGACAGTGAGCACTTGCAGCATCAAAAATGAACTGTGAATCAGGTGGATCCAATACTTGTAAACACTTTTGGATAACATGGTTACCATTCAAATCTCTTGCTAGCAAAACGACATCGCTAGACAATGCCTCCACAACTAATTTGGCCTCCTCTTTGGAGTTGAGGAGTTCCACCAATTTTTGTAAAGCTCTTGTTCCATGCGGATTCAACGCAATTGTCACAAAGCTTGGAGATGCATTTCTAATCAAGATTAAGCGTTCCTTGTTGTTAACCTTTTCAAGGAGTTTTTGAATCAAGTAGTTACCAAAGGGATCCATCATTAGTTCCACAACCGCCATCTGTGTCTCTTCAAAGATTGCTGTTGCATTCGAATGGTCCAAATCCAACTGTCTTTGTAAGAAACGGCATCCATGTTGATCTTTACACAGGGAGTAAATCTGTCCAATAAAATCGGCCAATTTGGCATTTTCAAATTTGGATGCATCTTCACCTCTATAACGGTTTGGTTTCCTGTTTGGGTGGTTGCGGTTGTTGAACCCATTATTATTGTGACGATGGTTGTTACGCGGTTGATAATATGGATAACGACGATCGTGGTGCATATTGTTGTGGACTAATCCATTTGGTGGTAGCTGTACTCCATTGAACTGTTGCTCGTCTCTTCCATTGATCGGTGACCACATTGGGTTGTTCTTCATGTGCTGTTGAGGAGCATTGAAACCCATGTGTTCCATTACCGGGAAATTGGCTGATAATTGGCCATCTTTCAATCCCTTCATGCCAAAAAGTTGGGATGGATCAGTAATTGGAGGACCACCAGATAAACCATCTCCATGAAAGTCAAAATTGCCCGGTGGTACCATTGGAACCATTCCAGGTGGTACCATTTGTGAGCGTAACCCATCCATATTTGGGCTTTGAGATCCCATTAAACCAAAGGGAGTCTGTCCAGGTTTGGAATCCCACGGGATTGGACTATGTGGATGGTCTCCAGGGAATGGTGCATGCATTGGCTGTCCAAATTCGTTTAGCGGGAAAAATGGCATGTGCTGTGGGATCATACCTGGTGGATACAGAGCTGGTGGCGGGTGATCGTCTGATCCGGTAGCACTAGGTTCGGCACCATCTTTCAAAACATCTGCTGGTTCTGTAGTGGCTGTAGTTTGTCCATGTTTTTGACCGTCAAAGTCCAAGTTAAGAGCGCTAATTGCCAAGTTGATATCAACGAGTTCAGATGGCAGGACATTTGATCCCTGTCCCTCAGCAAGCAGTTGCTTTGAGGATAACACCGAAGCAGATTCATCCAGGGAGTCCTTCTCAAAAGGATTGAAGCTGTCACTGGTTTCATTACCAGTCCCGCCAATGGCACAAGCAGCCGCTGTAGGTGGTGTGGACGTTGACGAAGGCTTTGGTGGTGAGAGAATGTCCAAACAAGCCCCAGTCGCTCTGTTCTCCTCAATTTTATCAGCACTCTCCGCTGATCCTGATCCCATCTCAAATGATTGCTTGTCTCGTGCGTCTTTGCTCTTTATCTCAGATGTGAACCTTTTCCAATGGGTTCCGAACTAATATACAAAACAGAAAGTAAACAAAAGAGAACACTTCGCTACGCTTAGGGTCCAGACGTTCTTGAACTATAAGCAGATTCGAAGAAATCGATAACACCGCACTCGCTGATCGAAAAGAAGCAAGTCACGTCACTACCGCTCTGGTTTAAAGCGTGCCGCTGTGTGATGTTGTTGATTGTAATGTTGTTTGTTTACTTTCTGCTGTTTGTTTTTTTTTGGTGATGTTTTTTCCCTTGATCTATTCCCACCAGTTTTTTTTTTTTTGGTTTAAGGGCAGGCTGTAAACAAAAACCCGGACATCGCAGTGAATCACGGAACATCAACACTCCGTAAACAACGGGGAAAGGGCACAGCACTAAGCTCAGCAAAGCCATGGATACTACGCTTTAAAGTCTAAAAACTTTTCCAATAATATATTACTCGATTAAAAATTAATCACGATAAAATGTTAAACAACAACCACTCTATGTATGAAACGAAAACCTAAGGGGTATTAGCGGCTTAGGAGGACTTCTCATGTTGAGTGGAGACACGTTGCATAGCAACGACGAAGTCCTCGAGGGATCTTTGCTCCTTCTTCTCCTTGATTGGCTTACCGTTCATCAATCTGTCGAAGGCCTCAGACTCGGACATCAAGTAGTAAGCACCACCCATGACACAGAAGACACCGAAAGAGAAGATGTAGACACGAACGACGGTAACAATGTCGTTCCAGTTCTGGGACCACCAACCGAACAAGGTGAACATAGTAGCAATGATATCGACACACAAAACGGCACCAGCCAATTGCCATGATGGGGCAGAAGACCAGAAAGGACCAGCAGCTCTGGTGATGAAAATCAACCAGTTCTCAGTCAAGGAGATTTGCAAGAACAAGACACCATCGATGGAACCGAAGTTCTGGATGATACCTCCCTTTGGCAAAAGCATGGTGGTCAAAGTGATCCAAGTACCAATGGCAAGAATGATACCCAAAATGACAGACATACCCCAAAGACGTGGCAAGTTCCATTTAACTGGCTTTGGGGCGTATGGAGCATTATCGTAAGCAATGGTCAAGGTGGCAACATCGGCGAAAATGGCAATGAAGACAATCAAGTCAATGTTCAAGGACTCGTTCAAGATAGCAATCCACAAACCAAGGAAGATCTCCAAGTGCAAAGACAAAGCGATACGGTAAACGACATAGGAGTACATTCTGTGGAAAATCTGTCTAGAAGTCTTCAAAGCATCAATGATAGCAGACAAACCTGGGGCAAGGAAAACAATATCAGCAGCGGAACGAGCAGAGTCAGAAGCACCTTCAACGGCAATACCAGTATCAGCCTTCTTCAAAGATGGAGCATCGTTAACACCATCACCAGTCATGGCAACCAAGTAACCTCTTTGTTGCAAAATCTCAACGACATTGTACTTGTGTTGTGGGAAAACCTCAGCGAAACCATCAGCATTCTCAACAAAGTCAGCAATCTCAGAACCTGGCATGTCACCGGCACCACCAAGACCCAATCTCTCAGCATTGTAAATGTTAGTACCCAAACCCAATTGACGACAAGTCTCCTTAGCAATACCAACGGCATCACCAGTCAACATCTTAACTCTCAAACCAAGGTTACGAGCTTCGTTAACAGTCTTAGCAGTATCGTGTCTTGGTGGATCCATACATGGCATAATACCGAGAATTTCCCAGTGACCCTCACCTCTCTTTCTGGCAACACCAAGAGATCTGAAACCTCTGGAAGCAAACTCAGCAACCTTGTTCTCGTAAGCCTCGTGGACATCCTCTGGAATTGGGTGGTCCTCCTCGACAGTCTTCAAAACAAACAATGGGGCACCCTTAACACAGATGATTCTCTCACCAGCTGGGGATTCAACAAGAGCAGTGACCTTCTTAGAGACAGGGTCGAATGGGTGGAATTCAATAACTTTGTACTTGGTCAAAGCAGCCTTGGCCTTTGGGTATTGAGCAAGAGACTTCAAGAAAGCCTTGTCGATAGCGTCAAGACCCTTCTTCTTTCTGGAAGCAGCCAAACAAGCGGTAAGCATAAGGTCATCAGCGTCAACACCAGCAACAGTGTATGGCTCGTGAAGGGACAATTTGTTCTTGGTCAAAGTACCGGTCTTGTCAGAACACAAGATCTCGACACCAGCAAGGGACTCAATAGCAGACAACTTTTGGACAATAGCTTGCTTCTTAGCCAAGTAAGCAGCACCGACAGCCATAGTGGTGGTAACGACAGCTGGAAGACCAACTGGGACACCAACAATGGTGATGGCAAGAGTGTATCTCAACATTCTAACAATCTTGTTGGTTCTGTAGAAACCGGCAACCCAAACAACAAGCAAAGTAACAATAACCAAGACCAACAAGATAGTACCAATACCGTTCAAGACTTCAGTAAAGTGACCTTGACCACCAGAAGCCTTGTTGACAAGAGCAGCAGCACGACCGACGAAGGTGTTGTCACCAGTAGCGGTAACAAGCATGAAACCCTCACCACGCTTGATAGTAGAAGAAGAGAAAACAGAGTCACCAAAGTGCTTGTCAACAGCCAAAGACTCACCAGTCAAGGCAGATTGATCAACTTGAAGGAAACAACCCTCAGTAACAAGACGACCATCAGCTGGGATAACAGTACCATCCTCCAATTGAAGGATCTCACCTGGAACAACCTCGTTGGCTGGAATCTCAATGAGTTGACCATCACGAATAACAATAGCAGAGTGAGCCAAAGTCTTCTTCAACTCCTCGACAATAGAACCAGCTTGGAATTCTTGGATGAAACCGACAGAAGCGTTCAACATCAAAAGACCCAAGATAACACCGAAATCGACCCAATCTTCAAGACCGGCAGCCAAGATAGCAGCAGCCTCCATAACGAATTGAATTGGACCAATGAAGAAACTCATGAACTTAACAATCAAGTTCTCCTTCTCTTCAGCCATTTGGTTAAGACCGTATTTCTTACGTCTCTTGGTAACCTCGTCAGAGGTCAAACCGTAAGCTGGGTCGGTTTGCAAAAGCTCCTCTGGAACTGGTCTGGCAGAGGCACCGGCCTCACCAGCCTCCTCCTCGAGGTCGTCCTCACCGTGATCGGACTGCAATTCGTCGATCAAGGCATCGATATCGTCATCCTCCTCGTCATCGGCCTCAGCCTTTGGGATTTTCTCGGTTGTTGGTTCTGTAGAAGACATCTATATCAATGGTTAGTATCACGTGGTGACGACATCGAATAACCCTTTCAATGCTCCATTGGCAGTGCACATACTGTTCCAATTGGACCTTGAGTTCGTAAAACAACAATGGTTCAACAGCGAGACAGAATGAGCAAGGACAGAAAACGGGAAATCACATCAAGATTTATAAACATTTGGATAGCGCTGGCGCAGAGCACGAAAAGAAATTCTGGTTGTATCAACAAACGAGAGGGAGAAAAATTGCCGCTTCAGGACGCAGCCAATCAGCGCGGCCCGTTTCCGAAATTTGCAGATTTGATGGGAACAACAAATTTCGCGAAAATCTGAAACCGGAAATGCCGCACCGAAATGGCGAAAACGCATCCTGTTTTGGTTGCAAAACTTCCAAATGCGTTTATTTTGATTCCAAGAACAGCAGCCATAGTTGTTGTCTCTTGCAGGCTTGAACCGCCTTCGGTATGACCGAATGGGGAAAAAGTTGCGAAAATACAAAAACACAACATGGGCATCGATTTGGTCCCACTGCCCAAAACACCGATCGCTGCTTCAATCTTCTGTTCCTGGGTGTAGAGGAAACGAGCAACCTCCAAGAGGCGTGGTCTCCTCTAGCAGCCAATTGAACAAAGAATGGTGCTCATCAGTTGATGTTACTTGCTTTGGGCCAGTAGAATAGAATGTCTGTGCTTGATTTGGATTTCCCTCGTTCCCTGTCCCTTTCCAACGTCGTATCGTAGCCGTAGGAGAAAACGTTTTTCAGGGTTGTAACTGTTAAACCGGTACTTACTTCTATACTCCAGAGTGTTGCGGGTATCTGTGATTAGTCAATAAGATTGACAACTGATTGTAACAATACTTTGGAATGAGAATGTTTGAATAAACAGAAGGTTAAGGGGGGAAAGAAGAAAAGAGAGAAAGGATTGTAATTTTTTCCCAAAGAGCAGATGTCAATTTGTTTATATACCTCTTGGGCGCTCAAGATGGAGGACGGTCGCTGATTACGGAAGATGTGGGTCTCCCCGGTATTGTATGAGAAAAAAAGAAAACATACACGTACATGAGATATACACACTTCAAGTGCGTTTTCTTCGTTGAGTGGTTTTTTTGTTTCGTTTATGTTCCCAACTTGGTATAAAGTTTTCGCTTTTTTGCGCAACAAGTGTTTGCTTTTGCGTTTTGTGCTTGACAACCGCCCGCTGACGTAGTTGGCTCCGTAGCGCTTGGGAAGGAGAATCTCAAGAGCTTTTGGTGTGTGCATGTTTACGTTTTCCACTTTTGCGCAGATTGACATTTCCTTCTTCGGTAAATTAAAAACTTTAACTTTTCGGTTTGGTCGGCAGGACCGATTGTGTGTTACCTGATACGTACACTCTTGCGCAACTGAAGGCCAGAGTCGCTGATGGGAGCGTTGGAAAAAAAGAAATGGCTCAAATGTCCTCGACACTTTTGTTTGCGTAAAGTTCCCAAACTGGAATTACCGCCCGCCCCACCGTGGTCGCAGATGCTTTCCAGAACGAATGAAAAAGTCAACAAAGGGCTACACTGACATTTCTAAACGGTAGCTATGGTGATGGAAGCCAGGTGCACTACTCAAGAAGGGAAAAAAATGTCGTGCTTGGTTCGCTCGATGTTTGTTTTGTATGGCTTTAACGTACAACACAAAATCAAAACACTGTGAATCGGTGCCTCGGTTTCGGTATTGCCGAATGTCCATCTGAACTGGGTCCATGATTACAGTCATCAGGTTGGTTTACTCTACAAGACAATATTCCACCTTTTGTGCTTTGCGACGGATGACTTGTCCTCAGTCTTCTAAGGAGGCTTTTTTAGGCCATCTTATCATTCACCAGTCCACGGGTTCATTTGCTGCAACATGAGTGATATTTTTGCGCCTTTCGCTGAAAACCACGACGTAATGTGTTTGGGCGAGGGGGGTGGTGTTCTGTTTTGGGAAGCCTTTTTGTCGGCCGGTTGGTCTGACAGACAATTCGAAGCTCTCGGGGGATGCACAATGCATATTCCAAGTTTCAAGATATAGAAACGTTGGTTGAGAATTGAGACGGGTTGAGCCTAAAACGTACATGATCTCCGTATACATGTCTTTTCTCGAGGCACTACGCTTGAGAGATAACCATCCGGTATCAGCTGTGTAAAGAAATTTCCCAGGCAATTCGAAGTAGTTGTCGAATTTTAGATCGAGTGGATGAGGTATTTGGTGGTACCTGGCATACATCAAAACTTCCACAATTACTATAAGTTAGTTCACCGGAATCTAGTCCCTTTAACAGACTGGGCTACACCCTCAAAGATATGATCGCCTATAACTATCTTCTCAAAGTCGCACGAAGCGTTAACTCTATTCGCTTGGCTATATTCACGACATCGTGCCCCCTCCCCTAGCCAGCGCATACAGCGTACAACGAAAGCTTGGTTTAATTCTCAATCACTTGACGTTCAAGTTGGTAACTTCCTCGGACTGGGAATCCGCGGGCAGATGTAACCTCTCATGGAAAGCCAGTTGTATTATGGATCAGGAATTTCGATCAACGATTGGCCATGGCTCTCACCTCGTCAACGTCTGCGTTCTATTCAAAAATTACGTATGCGTGCTTACTCTCGGAAAAAAAAGGCCGCGGTGTGAATCTCTTCATGTTTATCTCACATCTCTTGTTCCTGGATCTTGATAACGCCCTACTTTCATCACAAGCGGGAAAATAGCGCTGGCTTTTCCCATATATATAACGCCTCTATATACCGGTCGGTTATATCTCTGTTATGGGTGTGTTGGGTAATAATACGTTTGGCAAATTGCCGCCAGTATTCCGCTCAACTTGCTCCCAATGGATACGAGGTAATAGTTGTATATTACTCTAATGCGTCTCAATGTGGGCTTCGATAATTCGGGCTTAAACCGATAAACCATACCAAGCACGTCATTCTGTTTCATTGTATCCACTGTCGATGATGTTTCTTGTTGATTTCTGACTCAAGAGAATGAATCAAATGAGCTTCCAGAGTTGTGAGGCTGACTATCTACAATACACACAGCTATCGTAAGAGCGCTGATTTCAAGGTTGGTCTGCTGGGTTCGAAGAGCTTTTCACCCATTCTCACGAGCTCTGTTTACAATTGATTTGGTCTCTACATAGCTGCCACTTCGTTTGTTATCCTCGCTTTACAAGCTGGCTCAGTTGTTAATATTGCTGGGGTAAATCCTAAACAACTGCGCGGTGTGTACGGATCGCCCAGTTGGCCATTGGTGTAGATATGGCTGATGTTTTGATTTGCTTGTATTTTAACCCAAAATAGACGAAGAAGGGTCTGCTGATTCCAAACAAGGAGTTGGTCCCTCTTCAGCGGCTCCCAAAGAAGCAATTGAGTTGCAGAAATCAGGTTATAAATCCAGGTGACTGGTTCTTTGTATATTGCACCGTAACGGATCGAGTAATAAGTCTGATAGAAACAATGCACACAACAATGTTAGATATGGCTGTTTGTTTTGTTTTTTCTCTGTTCATAAGGCGTTGAAAGCAACTACTCGTACTACAGTACGGGCATCCTCAATAGCACAATTCCATAAAAGGTTTCTACAAGCACTGCAATAGGTGTGGATGACCTTGTCAATAATTTGTAAAACTTGATGAGCTGGAAAAAGCGTCTTACAATGGCGAGTGTGTTGCAACTTGTCGTGTGCGGTCTTTAAGGAACAACATGTCGTTGATGCCGCTGGGCGCAACGGGAGGAAAAGATCTGCCACGTTTGTTTTTCGTTTCCTTTTTGCGTTTCGTTTTTGCGCTTCTCTTTTTTCGTTTCGTTTTTTCGTTTTTTCGTTTTTTCGTTTGTCGCTCGTTTTGCGCAATCACTTTCGCGCCGGTTTGGGTTCTTGTTTTCGCACAAGTTTTTCTCTAACCAGCTGCAAGGCCAAGCTCTCTCTCTTTGATTCAACAGTCCCCCCCCCCGAAACGCATGAATCAACATGGAAAAAAATCGCAATTCCTTAGATAAGAGAACAACGCACTCCATTGGTGGCTGGCAAAAGCGTTACGGTATTACGGTGAGCTTTTCTACGATATACACGGTGCTAAACTTGTGGAAACGCCTGCCCGTAGAAATACCTCTGAACTGGGTGTATCAAGCGACGCATCGCAAGAGTCGTCCTTACAGCTACTTGTGAGGAAAGTTCTATGTCCTTCCCTCGTCCAACGACAGCACACATAAATTGACTAATCATCTGTTCCAAGTAAAAAAAAAGCAGCAAAGAGGGGAAATTGATGGCCACTTCGACGACTGCATCAACGTCCATCTTACGACGTCCATCGCAGATGTATCGCCGGCTTGGTCCCAACGGTTCTGCAAAGCGGTGACGTCCAAACCTTGGAACCTATCTTCGCCCACCCCCTCCCCCCCCCACTTGCTGTCTATGTTTCCAAAAGCCTTCTGTTAGCTCTCTAATTTACGTCTCCATGGGGGAAAAATCTTGGCCATGATTCTTCCCATATCATCATGCCCGTCTTCTTCAAAGCGGTGTTGTGCGTACATGTGGGTTTGATGGGACTAACCGACTTTGCTTCAATGCCGCTTAGCGAAGACTACTCTCTAAACTGTAGAGGTACAAATTTCTACAACTCGTAACGTACTTAGTGCTCTCTTTATGGCGATCCTTTTTGCACTGGTTTATCCGTTTACGGCGCACATATGTTATCGACACAAGCGTTGATGGAATGTGCATTACCGTGGGCTACATAAGTGGAGTAGTGACCGGACTGTGAAGGAAAGCGACATGGGCTACAGTTTCCCATTCCGCAAATAACGCCATTGACCCCCAGAAGCTGTCGGGACTTCTTTACTCAGTCTACATCCGCGCAGTAGGTTTCTCCCTCCCCCCACACGCCTGTGAATCTTAACACGGTTTAGCAATCATGAGTTTACAGCGTAAAGGCACCAACAGCACTGGCACCTCTCCCAAATTGTCATCCTTGGTTGGAGCTTTTGGCCATCGAGCTGTGCATGAGCGGTGAATTTTAGTGATGCACCGCTCAACGGTTTTGTGGATTTTTATGGCCCAAAGTTCAAACAGCCGTGCAGCACCACTTTGGATTTGCTTTACAATCGGATATCGGTTAACGTACTGTAGATGAAGAGAGGCGAAAGTGTTGACGTTGAAATGATATAACAGCTAGTAAACACAGCGTGTGGAAGATGTAAAGAAGGATGTCTGTGTGTGAACGTTGTCTTCCTGGTCCATGGTATATACCCGTGGACAATTGGTTGGCAATTGGTTGACAAAGCTCGGGCAGTACCCAAGTTGAGTACACACTAATGCAGATCAAGCAGTGTGCTGGAACGTTTGGCTCTATACGATGACGTCAGCTGGCGGTGTATTGTATTTTTCCACGTCCTCTGGCGTAGCTCGTTGAGTGGGACATTCCAACCGATGAGTTCAAAGGCTCTGATGCGCAAGCACTGTGTCTGTTGTAGTCTTCGAATGAGCGTGTGACGTTGGTGTGATACTACTCTAGCAGCGATGGCTTATCCTGGCTCGCCACCACTGATGGAGTACACTGGGATGACAGAACTATATCAGGTTCCAAGCTCACTACACCGAGTACATTTTGATATATCTATGATCCCGTTTGAACTTAGCATGATGTTGTCAGCGCGCACATCAACTATCACACAGTGTTAATCATATTTCAACCAGCACAAGCCAAGTGCCCTTACAATGATATATAGCTCACTGACACTTACAATCAACACAAAAGAGCCGTGGAGCAGAACGTCATCTGCATCTTTAACACTGGTTATTCCAAACCAATTTAGCGCCTTTAAGGTGATTACGAACCCCAATTTCCATGATCCCAATTTCCATAAACTATACACATGGTTCGGGCTGTCTCTACCCTACCAGAACTGTCACTTGATGACTTGTATCATCGGAACGTCATCAACGAGTTAATTCACGAGTACGTGGCTCTGCCTGCCGTTCCTACAAATGCACTAATATCACGCTCTCTAAAGCCCAGTGTGGGTCTCCCGCAACTTGCAACACTTTTAAGCTGCGCGGATTTGGACTTCCCATGATCCCGTCATCGGTTTTATAACCGCTCATGGGTTCAACGTTATGTGCGGTTTTTGTGCATGTTGCGCAAATCTTTCGCATTTTTAGTGTTTTGAGTTGTTCTGTTGTCCTTTCAAGATTTTGTTTTTCTTTTTTCGGTTTTTGTTGTTGTTTTTCGCAATTCGGTTTTTTCGTAATTTGGTTTTTGCGCAAATCATCCACATCCCGATGCCACTCGGAATTTTGCGCAAAACACACATGAGAGAAATTAGAGCCGGTTAGTGCTTCCACGGAGACTCATCGTTTACATCAACGCCAACCCTCCAGCTCGATGGTTAGGGCCAGTGGGAAATTATACCTAGGAACGGGAATTTTTCCAGTCTCCATTGGCACCTTGGCTTCGGTACCTTGGCTAGGGTACCTTGCAAACTCAATTGCCATAGTAATCCTCTTCAACCTTCACTTTAAATTGACTCACCGCCTCATGGCAGCTCCATAATCAATCCCCAATCTGGCAGACAAAATCATAAAGCTGCTGCCCTAATGTCTTTTCTGCTTAGCTTCACACCTCATAAGTAAACGCCAATGCCTGAGGCATCGCCGTCTCGTCCCCCAATGACGTCTTTTCAAGGCATGAAATTCACCACATCGCCTACCTCTTCGCCCGTGCTTCCTTCAATGGCTGTTCAGCAGCCAATTTATCCCACGTGTTATCGGGGATGTGTTGCGTTTAACAGCTTATGTCCAGGTTTTTGCGCTTAAAACGTGGTGTGTGGATGTATGGGCCATTTGAAGCGGAAAATCATTATGGCCGGTAACACCCCCCCCCCGCCAAAAGTCATCCACCAACTGCTCGAGCTCACACTACTGATTGAACGGTGAAAATCTTTTCTAAGAGTCTACATACCCTTGTCTTTTATTTCTCTTGGTTATACTTTTCATTTGTGTTGTAATCAAACGTGATGTCACAAGCACCTACTCATCTCCAAGGCCTTATGGATGAGGATGCACCACCAACCATCCACACCTCATCTCTGACCCCGGAACTATGCGAAGCCGCTCTCAATTTGACCATTGACTTCCAGAGGCAAAAGCAATCTGTTGCTAACGCTGCGATCATGAAACACCCTATCACGGTGGGCACCATAGTTTCGATCATTGCCGCTGTGTCGTACTGGAAACTGGGCTGGATCTACAAAAGAGGTGGGTTTGCTCTCATCAAAGACAGCCTCGAGGAGGTTGTTGGTGTTGTTGTTCTCTGCACCATGGTGATCTCCACATTACTCACCGTGATAACTAGACCAACTGACGTTATCAAGCAGAGAGCTGATCGAATCGTCGATGAGTCGAAACCTGTTTTCGGTGTCGATTTGAAGGAGTTTGCAGCCTCCCGTTCTAAGAAGTTCTCACAAGAAACTGCCTCTAAGGCAGATAACACCAAAGTTGTCATCTACAGAGACACGCCAATTGCTGTCATCTCACTCATCGATATTCCTGAGATGACCAATGATGAGAAGTTTGTCACAAGAATCACCGGTGCAGGTGTTCGTAAAGTGTATTGGAAATCTGGAATCATCGAAGATCTCATAGATTTTGCTGTCTCCAGGTCTGGCCAGTTGAACAACAGTAAGGCACCAAAGATTCTTGTGCTTTTTGAAGTCCTCAGCACTGATGCTGAATTGAAAAAGGTCCTCATCGCTAAGAAATTCCAAAAGATAGAGAGTAGACCTATCAATGACAGCAAACTGTTGAAGCTATTTGGTGTTCACTATGAGATCTATGGATTACCACTCAACGTTACAAAACTATCCGAATTGGAACTAATCGATGGTAAAGTTGGATCTACTGGATCAAAGAGAAAGACATGATCAAATATTCTCAGTACATATATATACAAACAATTGTACAGTTTCTTTCATTTTAATATAATGCTCTTATCAGTTATGAATCCTGAGGAATGGCTGAGCAGTTGGTGTGCTGTTGTTTTACTGCTGTGTAAGGGGAAATGTCATCAATCGAGAAGACCAGTATGTCTCTTCTTATTGAGATAAGATCTTCTCTTGACGCGATAAACCGTGAATGCGATGTAGAGCACTATAAGTGCACACAACATAAAGAAACTAGTCTTTATCAACCACCATAAAGTACGAAGGAAGCTTGGTTTTTCATCCGCACCTGAATTGTCCTTAAACCTTGTCAATCTATTGGATTTGTTTCTTAGCTTTGCCCTAAGTCTTGACCTCTGGCTCTCGTTTCTTTGTTTTCTTGGACGTCTCTTGTTATTTTTGGAAGTTTGCTCGTTATTTGATGAAACCTCTTCGGACTCGTGCGCTTCATCGTCTGCAAACTCTTCGAAGGATTGGACAATCTTACCATGGTGCAAAAGTTGAGAGACACGGGCCTCAATCAGGTCAACATTCTCTGTAAGATCTCCTGTAGAGGCTCCAAATCCCATAAATCTAACACTTGGAATATGGACGTCCTTAATGCTAAAACAGTTGATCCATTCCTCATCCAATCGATAATCCAAAGACAGGTAACCATCTTGTGTAGTGTGGATCAATCTAGCATCAACGTACCCATTAACCGGGTTATATATGGCTCTTGCAGTACACCCAGCCAACTGGTTGGCCTTACCATCGTTGCCTTTGTCATAACGAGTGGCACCGTCTCCATTCATCACATTAATGAAGGGGAACACTTTCCCCTTTGGTGCGTTACGATACGTATCGAAGAACACCGCCAATCCGTTAAACTTGTCCTCTGCACCAAACACCGGACCTTCCTTCAAAGGCTTATCTGTGAGGAACAACGCCATACCGTCCCCTTTCAACCCGTTGCTGGCCACTGATCCATGAATGTGGAATCTGAAGTCAACCTCAAACCCCAAGTCGGAGAAGCTGTGCTTGTTGAAGATCAGAGAGCTCTGGTCTTTCAACTCAGATGTCAGTCTCACGTACTTGTCCATATCCACAACGGTATCGCCGTAGACCTTCCAGTTGTTGTCATAACCGAGAGAGCTGTCGTAGTACGGTTTCTCCAGTGCCAAATCCTCCAGGTCGAGCTTCTCAATGTCCGACTCAGAGTTCGAGCCTGACAGGAGATCGTTGATCTCCTCGGCGCTAAACACGTCCCACGAGCCAGACTTGCTAGATGGGTAAAATATAAGATAGAGGATGTAAACAGCGAGTAACAACACACCAACCTGGACCCGGCGGTCTCGTTTAACAACACCAATGGCACTCATTTCAACCTTCGTCAAGCCAAAACAAAAACAGTAATAAAGACAGCAACAAAAACAGTAACAACAACAACTACAACAACAAAAGCAAACGAAGGAGATCACCCTTCACCGGTTTCTTGTTATTTCTTCCTCTCTGAGCAAAGCCGTGTCCTTCAAATCTGCCTGAAACTTGTTGTGTGTGTGCTTTGTTGATGTTTTCATTTTCCAAAGAGGTGTCATTTTCCTCTTTGTGTTGTTGTTGTTGTTGTTGTTGATAATTGGTTTGCGCCACATTGAGGCCCCCATCGGGCAAGAACGACAAAACAGGCGAAATGGGCAGGTTAAGGCGTACGAAACCTGGGTTGGACGGGTGGTGGGCAAAAAGCTGTAAAGAGGATTCTGTTGAAGGGGATGTTGTTAACGATGTGTTGGCAGTGTGTTGGCAGTGTGTTGGCGGTGTGGTTGTGCGTCGATTGGTGAGAAATTGACTGGAAACAGGGGCTTGGTGTGTTGTGAACGCATGGAAAGGCCGTCTCTTCTGGTGTCTCCTGCCTACGATGTTCTGCCTAGCGTCCCCTCCCGCCAGCCTAACATCTCCAGCCTAGCGTCCCCTCCCGCCAGCCTAGCGCCCTGCCTAGCGCCCCCGGCTGTGTGTGCAAAGCAACTGCGCGCTGCCCAAAGGAACAACCAGAAAAAAACCAAAACCTGATTTCTAATATGATCCCCAGGGGGAGATAAGGAGCTCAACAGACACAACCAACAAACTCACAGGTTGTGCATACCAAATACCTGTAAACTATGGATTTGTAAGTGGTGATGTGTGTTTCTCTCTCTCCAGCAGTGTGATCTGTCTGTTTTTGCCCTGTGCTAATACTTTAAGAGGACTTGTACGCAACGATGAGAATCTCTTCATGGTGTTCCAATTTGGCAGTCGGAACACTGAGAATGTGATATTCAGGCTACCAGAGGTGTTCACGAGAAGGTCCACACGGGCTCCAGGAGCCCGTGCCAATGGCGATGAGTCGCATCGGAACTTGTTGATATCTGTAAACTATGCCTTCCAGGAGAGTCCGCTAGATCCCAATAGAAACCCGGATTCCCGTGTAGGGACCATCGAGCTCAACGTGCCAGGGATCCCTGTTAACCGCACCACTCAAGACACAAACAGCATCATCGAATTCGCCACAAACATAGCGTTCAGCGTGATAGCGGCGTGTACGTCGGTGGAGATGGGGGCGTCACAAAAGACGTTGGACTCGTTGCCGAGAGTGGACGCCATTGGAGAGGATGAATACTGCCCGATCTGCTACGATCCTTACATCGTCAGAACAAAGGCGCTGAAGCGCCTGTCAGAGGATAGTGATGATGAAGCCGATGTTGCAATGCCGCCGCTGAAGAAGAGGTGTGTTGTTAGTGGCGGTTCCGATGTGGGTGTTGCAAGCGAGGTGGAGACAACGGTGGAGTCCCATGAGCCTGGCGACAACAGTGAAGCTGTGGATAACCATGTGCATTGGGCAACAAAGCTACCGTGCGGTCACATATTTGGAAGTGGCTGTATATTTGAATGGTTGAGATCGAAATCCACGTGTCCGCTATGCCGTAAACAAGTCCAGACAGACCGTGTTATCACAAGACCGCCACCACGGATTAACTTGCCAGACATGGAGGACCTTGCACGTTCCAGCTCGACTCAGAATCCAATAGTGGTTTCAATGGACTCAGAAACTGGCAATCTTGTGGTGATTCCAGCGCCAGAGGAACAAGGTGCATTACAACCACTGGGCGCTTCATACACTTCAAGACCACTGTACACCTCAAGACCACTGTACCCTCCAAGACGGCCATCTCTCTCTAATGCGAATCACCCTACAGATCCAGACGCAACAGCATTAGTGGGTGCGGGACTGAGAGCAAACAACCACTCAAGCGCTGAAGTTGCTACGTCTGCTGCCACTGCTGCTGCTTCTACTTCTACGATCAACACTGGCGTTGAAACGACAAATAACGTTGATTCGCCTGCGGCTGCGGGTGGCAATTTGCTGGTTCAATTACAGAATCTGTTGGTGCCAGAGTTGGTTTTAGGATTGATGGAGAGATATGGAACAAGAGATGGTCAGGACACTGACTTACAGACGCTTAGAAGGCTTAGATCGGAAGCTGAAAGATCTAATCAGGAGGTTCAACCAGGGAACAGCGCTCAGCAGGTATCTGACAGCTCTACAGAACAACAGGAGCAAGCTCATTCCTCACCGGTGAGATCGGTCTTATCATCTCTTGATCAACGAACTTCAACCGATACCCCAGCATTTCGTACCAGATCTGCAGTGCGTCGTACGGATGAAACCACTGGAACAAGAAGAAGACACAGGGGTGAAGAGGAGAGACGCCCTGAATGATCAATTGCATTTGGGCTTTATGACCATTTATGAAATTTATTAATTGAAATAGCATGTGATGAATAGTATTGAAGACGTAGCTGGGCTTATACAAGTAAAATTGTTCTGTTACGTCTAGTGGTGTGGATCCTTTTATAACTGAGCGATGTTTTGGCGCACGTATGGGCTTCACTAGGGGGATGTACTAAGCATCAACTCTCGCCAATATATATCGGCATTATGTGCTCCATTACTGGCTCCACTGGTGGGTTTTGTGTAGTATTCGTTACTCTATATGTTCATCATGGAAAGATCTCATCATGATACGCACTGTGGCACTATTAATACATCAATGTACAACGAATGAGGTTCTTTTTACGTCCATCCACCACTCTGTCGATAATGTATATATAATACTCACAAATATATTCTAATTGAGCTAATTTTAAAATAATAGAATAGTTTCTAGAGACTAATATTTCTAACTCTTAATTTATTCATATAAAAATCAAAGACCTGAATACAAAATTGAAGATAAAATAACTTTGCAAAAAATCCTTTCAAATTTTTTCTTAATTTTTGGTTGCCAACCAAAGGGCATCATTGAAGCAATTATCACAGTAAATCACCACTTAGCACACCGAAATCAGGGCATTGTCCCAGGAAGTCAATTAGTTCTAACTTTGGCCAATCAGGGCGGAGGATTACTGTCTGTTTCGCGCAACACATCCTCTAGGCATACAATTACTATGCAATATAACGCATCAATTAAACTGTCCTAATTGAGTGATTTAACCACTTTAGGGTAAAAGAGTTGATCTCCATTCCCTTGCTACAGGTTCGGTTGACTCCATAGCCCACCCTCACCCGTTTAGCTCGCTTCCTGGGCTTTGATTCGCTGACATCGATTGATGGTGATGGCGACGCGGCAGATATACGGCATCCAGCGTGTGAACAAAAAATAAAGTTCGCTGAAGATCAACCGCATTTGATCACTGGAACGTCGTTAGAGGAGCCAATAACGGCTAACGCCTACACGGGTGCAATTGTAGTACATGATCCATTATAATCGAAACACGGTATGATACTCGATTACATTTCGCAAAGATCTGATCAAATCCAATTGCAAAATGTTAAATTCACACAGAGTGCATACTCCTTTGATGTGCGGATGATTTAGCAGCGTATGCACCATGTTATTATATTGCTTACGACTTGAGGGCGCATAGGACATTTTCAAAAGGGTTAAACCAACGAAGAAGCTGTTCTGATGGGGGTGATAGGGGTGATAGGTCATGGATCATTTCGTTCCAAATGTGATCTGTACATTCCTCGTGTGTATTTCTCACTACTTCACGTTGCCAATTTCACGGGTCCGACAACTTCTGCACCTTCACAACGTCTTTGCATACTCTACAGAAAAACTCCAATAGTTTTTCATGGCTCTCGGTTTCGGACGATTTGACCATTACGAAGGACGCTGTGGTAGGGGTGTGTGGTAAGGGTGCGTAATAGGAGGACATCAACAGCATATCGTCTCCAGCGAGAACTATGGCGTTTCAGCAGTTATCTTCGACCGCACGATTGGATCAGACTGTAGGCGGAAGTCTCATCATGATTTGAAAGGAGGAGGATTCTTGAATCCAGGCACGCAAAGTGCGCACACGATCAGTAAAAAACACACCAATTACGCAATACTGTTTCAGCCGAAAGGTTGATGATAGGACGGCTACCCAAACCGGGGTTCAAGAGTAATGGATGAACCTTTGGAACGCCTGAAATCATTCACGGCACCTGAACCAATGGAGTTGTTGGTTGATTGGCGTACGGAAAGAGCGTTACTGGCTATTGGAACCTTTGGCTCTTGGAACCTCTGGCTATTGGGACCTTTGGCTGCCGGGGTTAAGTTACGAGGACAGCGTTCGCACATAAGGGTGGACTATGCTTCAGCGCTGACCAGTCTAGACTTGACGGAACATATCGAGGTTGGACCGAATAATCAAATCACTTATAGGCACATCGAATCACCACTTTGACCAAGGCTGTGTTAATTAGCCACTAGTAATGGTAGATATTGAGTCTCTTTTGCACAGGAGACGCAGGTAATTATTACTTGCATCCTCAAGGCGAAAAAAAGGCGCAAAAAATCTGCCAATGTAACGAATTAGGTCGAAGAGAAATTTGCATTCACGACTGAATGTACAGCAAAGAGAACTGTCATATAGTAAATTATGTACATGATTACGGGCTTCAGCAGTTCGTTCACCCTTTCGTAAGCGTTTTCCACGACATGCTTGTGCCAATGAAACCGGTGATGTGTGCTGTTTGTGAGCGTCATGATCCGGTTGGTTGACGGACACATCGTGGTTGTTTCAGAGCGAGGCCAATGTTTGGGCGCACTCTGACGAATCGTTGCCATTGATGACGTAGTGCTAAGGACAATCGCCATTGGCCAATGGAGAGATCATGCCCATATGTCTATACAACCGCATATCAAAAAGAAAAGAGACCTAGTTCCCTTAGTCAAGGGCCTGGGAGTTGTAGTCAGGAGCACATGCAACGATGGTTGTGTGTGTCTTTCTTACCCTCAAGAGATGAAACCGAGGTGAAACACGCGCCCGAAGGAACAGCCTGAAGTGATCATCCAGCAGCGGTAACACACCACTACTAAATGTTTTAAACCCACACCAGCTAATATAATCAAGTCTAGTCAACTGGCACTGGTCCCTTCCTCCCAGATGTCATTGAGCCTGGAAACCGTCTCCGTACAACACTCCAAGCCCATCGAGTCCACGCAGAATTGTTTCATTCCAAGATTTAACAGTCGAGAGAGCGGTAGGGAAAATTGATGCGCACCACACAAAAAAAAATGCACAGCGAGTATGCAAGTTAAAAGTCTAGACCGTCGAAGAACAAAGGACGGTAATGACACAGTATGAGATTCATGTGTCCCCAACCGAGCATGTACTTACCGAGCTGCATGAAGACTCCCGATCCGGTAAGTTTCCCATTAAAGTTTAAACTTTAGCATCCGTCTGCTTATTTTTTTTCTTTCTTTTCCACTGTTTTGCATCAAGGAGATTCAACCAAAAAGAGCGAAAATTCTCGAATCTCCCATATATAACCAGATTCTGCCGCTCAGGCAACGAATGTCAACAAAAAAAGAAGCTTTTTCCCCCTTTCCTCTTCTCTTTTTTTTTCTCTCTCCTTTGCTCTTCCAGATCAACAAACAGAATAAAGTCATTCCTTTAAACCAAACAATAATTCTGACCTGGTATCTTTTGTTCAACTAAAGTTCATTCATTCCCTTTTGTCATTCCTTTAGTTTTTATCTGAATTGTTGAACACCCACTTTCCTTAATTGACCAGTTGGCACTTATTGTTTATTCTTCACTCGTGTTTGTCGTTTAAAAATAGAGATACCATGAAGTACACTATCATTCCATTGTTGGCTCTGGCGTCCACTGTTCTTAGTGCTCCAGTCCATGAGCACCACATGCACAAGCGTGACATTGTTGTTGTTACCGAGACCAAGGTTGCTTACGTTGACTCCAACGGTAACCCAGTTGCTGGCCCATCAACCGCTGAGACCACAACAAGCGCTGCCGCCACAACTGTTTCTACTCAAGCTGCTACAACTGCTGCAACCACCAGCTCTACTGCGAAGACCACTGAGGGTACTACAACTCAGAGCACAAGCACTTCTCAACAACAAACCACTCTTCAGACCTCTACAAAGACTTCTTCCTCATCCGCTGCCGCTGCCACAACAGCAAGTTCAGGTTCCTCATCCGGATCCTCTGTTGGTATTGACGGTGACTTGAGTGACTTTGAGGACCCATCTGAAGACTTCCAAGATGGTACCATCAAGTGTACTGATTTCCCTTCAGGCCAGGGTGTTGTTCCACTTGACTGGATCAACTTGGGTGGTTACGCATCCATCATGGATCTGAGTGGTAACACTGCTACCACTTGTCAAGATGGTTACTACTGTTCTTACGCTTGTCAAGCTGGTATGTCCAAGACTCAGTGGCCATCAAACCAACCATCTAACGGCATGTCCGTTGGTGGATTGTACTGTAAGAACGGTTACTTGTACAGATCCAACTCCGCCAAGTCTAAATTGTGTGAGTGGGGTGTTGACTCCTCTTACGCTGTTAACAACGTTGAAAAGGAGGTTGCCCTTTGTCGTACCGACTACCCAGGTTCTGAGAACATGAACGTTCCAACCCTTGTCTCACCAGGTTCCAAGAAGCCAATCTCTGTTGTCGACTCTGATACCTACTTCCAATGGAATGGTGCTAAGACCTCTACCCAATACTACGTCAACGACCAAGGTGTCTCTGTTGAAGATGGTTGTATTTGGGGTACCGATGGCTCTGGTGTCGGTAACTGGGCCCCAGTTGTCTTGGGTGCTGGTTACACAGGCGGTATCACTTACTTGTCCATCATTCCAAACCCAAACAACAAAAACGCTCCAAACTACAACCTCAAGATCGAAGCCACAAGTGGATCTTCTGTTAACGGTGCTTGTGCTTATATCGATGGCTCATACTCTGGATCAAACTCCGATGGTTGTACCGTTTCTGTCACCTCTGGTTCTGCAAACTTCGTCTTTTACTGATCCACTCTTGGACGTCTGATATTGCATGCTACATTATTTTATACCATTTCTTTGACGGGCCCAACTTTCATTCGCTTCCATAAAAACTCTTGGGTGTCCTGTGTCGACCTGTGTGACTGTTTTATACACGTGTGCCATCTCGCTTCTCATCATTTTCTTTTCTTTCTAAAGAGGAAAACAACAGATCGAGGAGAGCTACGACGTGTTTCCCAATCTCATGCTTTTGGCACCGCTTTGGACTTATAACCTTCCTCACAGACACAGTATACACGCAAAGAGCTCGATTTCTTTTTTTTTTTGCTTTTCTTTTGATCTCTCCTGCTATTCCTTTGGCTATTGGTTTCTCTTATTTCTCTCGTGAACCATCTTGGCTTGGAAATCAAGAAGGATTATGTGTATATCTGTTGGCTTTGGAAGGTTTATTTTTTTACTCTTTTCTCTTATATCTTTATATACATTGCTACCTTTTATGAAAGAAGCCATTCTCGCCAGGATTGGTTTCCTTCCCCTTTGTTTATGACTGAAATTTTATGATATCCTTTGCTTGATACCTTTACATAGCCGTTGCTTTGTTTTTTCTCTTTTGGGAACGCGAAGTTTTTTCATGCTCTGCGTCGGGTTGCTCACGATTTCCTCTTTGGGAATAAATTGAACGCGTTTGAGCCACAAAAAGAAAACGTTCAAGGGACGAGAAAAAAACCCACGCGCGCAAAGTTTCACGCGTACTTTTGTTTCTCTTTTCGTTCAAACTTCAGCGTGTGAACTCATCGTGTGAACTCATCGTGTGAACTCGTACTGTGAACCAATGTCTTCTCCAGCAACGTCGTTACCACCCTCCTCGATCAGCGGGAACAACAACGTTGGCGGCCATGAACTGGGCTCCAACATCTTTTCAGATCTGACGAACAACGCCAATGATGTGGCGATGGAGGGCGCTGAGAATGAAAGAATAGAGAGAATCAACAGAACAAACTTGAATGCCATCAAGAAGATCACCGACAACACTGGTGAGAAGGTTGCCGAGGCATTTGAGCAGTTCCTGGAGGAGTTCACGTTGAACCAGCCTCTAGAACACACAACACAGACGGAGAAGCTGCTGCACGAGAGGTTTGAAGGGAGGATATATCTGGCCAAGCTGGAGGCCATGAAACAGAACGAGACAAACTCATTGTTCATTGACTACACACATATACTTACACGTGAAAACGGTGTCCTGGCCACTGCTGTGACTGAACAGTACTACAGATTCTTACCATTCTTACACAAGGCGTTGAGGAAAGTTATCAGAAGACACGTGCCAGGGTTGTTGAGAACAGGGTTCTCGTCGGGAGACTCAGAGATAGACACTGGCGCCTCGACAGCGTCAAATTTTGATGAAGTTGAAAGGGTGTTCCATATTGGGTTCTACAATCTGCCTTTGGTGCAAAAGATCAGAGACATCAGAGCAGATCAAATCGGCTCGCTCTTGTGTATCTCAGGTACAGTGACAAGAACATCTGAGGTTCGTCCAGAGCTATACAAGGCAACTTTTAGTTGTGATCAGTGCAGGGCAGTTGTTGAAGGTGTTGAACAGGTGTTCAAGTACACAGAGCCTACCCATTGTCCAAACCCACAATGTTCAAATCAATCGATGTGGACTTTGAACATTGCCAAATCTCAATTCACAGACTGGCAAAAGCTCAGGATTCAAGAGAATTCAAACGAAATTCCTTCTGGTTCCATGCCGAGAACTTTTGATATCGTCCTCAGAGGTGATATTGTAGAGAAGGCCAAACCTGGTGATCGGTGTAAATTTACAGGTAGTCCAATTGTCTTACCAGATTTGTCGCAGTTGGGATTGCCTGGTGTTAAACCAAGCTCTGTGAGAGAAGGACAGAGAAACGAAGGTTTAAATTCAGGTGTCAGTGGACTAAAAGTACTAGGTGTGAGGGATCTCACTTATTCCATAGCATTCTTGGGTAATTACGTTGCCTCCTTGGTAACTAACGGCTCAGGAGAGAGCTACGAGGATAACTCTGACGAAACCTTGGATGCAGATCAAGAACAATTTTTGGAGAATTTGACCGATGCTGAGAAGAACGAACTAAAGGAGATGTTGGAGGATCCTCATATCTATTCCAAATTGGTGGCGTCTATTGCACCAGCGGTTTATGGACATGAAATTATCAAGAAAGGTGTATTACTTCAACTGCTTGGTGGAGTCCACAAGAAAACAGTCGACGGTATCAAATTAAGAGGTGATATAAACGTATGTATTGTCGGTGACCCATCAACGTCCAAGTCCCAGTTCCTAAAGTATGTGACCAATTTCGCACCAAGAGCTATTTACACTTCTGGTAAGGCTTCCTCCGCCGCAGGTCTTACGGCAGCGGTGGTTCGTGATGAAGAAACGGGTGAATTCACCATCGAGGCTGGTGCTCTGATGCTTGCAGACAACGGTATCTGTTGTATCGATGAATTTGACAAGATGAACGTTTCAGATCAAGTTGCCATCCACGAGGCCATGGAACAACAGACGATCTCTATTGCAAAGGCTGGTATCCATGCAACTTTGAACGCTAGAACTTCAATATTGGCTGCTGCCAACCCTATCGATGGCCGTTACAACAGGAAAGTCGGGTTGAGGGCTAACCTGAACATGACTGCTCCTATCATGTCAAGATTTGACTTGTTCTTTGTCATTTTAGATGATCCTAATGAGAGAGTGGATACGCAGTTAGCAAGCCATATAGTTAACTTGCACATGATGCAAGACGATGCCATTGAACCTCCATACACTGCTGCCGAGGTTTTGAGGTATATCAAGTACGCAAGAACCTTCAAGCCAAAAATGACTAAGGGTGCTAGAAGATTACTCATTGAGAAGTACCAAGCACTTAGAGCTGATGACGCTCAAGGTAAAGGAAGAAGCTCTTACAGAATTACAGTGCGTCAACTGGAATCCATGATTAGATTATCAGAAGCCATTGCCAGAGCAAGTTGTTCTAATAAAATTGATGAACCTATTGTCGGTGAGGCTTTCGACCTTCTGAGGCAATCTATTATTAGAGTGGACTTTGACGATGTTGACTTAGCTGACGATGACGATGATGCAGACGCAGATGCAGGGGACGACGATGAGCACCATGATGTCGACGATGCTGAGATGGGTAACACTGAAAAGGAGCAGGAAGTTACAGAAGAACCTGAACAACCGCAAACACCACAGGAAAAGGCACAGAAGAAGACCAAACTTGCCATCCCATACGAAAAGTTTGTCGAGATCAGAAACGCAATGGCCTACATGATTGCAGAGGAGAAGAAGGATGAACACAGACAGCCAAAGGGTCTCACTGCAGACGATCTCATCAAGGGATACCTGGATGGAATTGAAGATAAGATAGAGACCGAGGCAGAGTACCGTAAGGAGGCTAAAATCGCTAGTAAAGTTCTCAAGAGACTCAAGAAGGATAGAACCTTTTTGGAGATCCGTGGTGAGATTCCTGATATCGAGCAAGAATCACCTGAAGATTTACAATCGGGAAGAACAGTTTACGATATCAACCCAAACAATGCGATCTATGACTTCTTCTCTGGGGAACAAGAAGAGGAATAGGATGTATAATATACCTACAATACCACGTTAATACGAATACTCACAATGAATCTAGCGCATTCTCACTGTTGGTGTGAAATGTCCGGATGTTTCCGTGGCGGACGACTAAAACCGGGAGAAAAACCTCTTCGATGTTCTTCCATCATTGGGCCCACAAGTCATCGTCAGAGATACTTTTGGTGAAACAAAGAGATACGGAGAGGTGGAGAAAGATGCTTTTAAGAAGTTCGTTATCGACTGTGTGCGTCCCAGTTCGTTCAATTGGTCTTTGTAATTACCCACGAGCCTTTTCAACGGTTCAAAGAGGTTTACTTCAGCAGACGACGAAGACGTCCGAGTCAAAAGACTCAAAATCGGATAAGATCCCGCTATGGGCTCGTATTAAGACTGCTTCGACATTTGCCTTTGCCTCCACAGTAGTTGTAGGCGCTGCTGGTCTTGCTGGTCTTGTCATTTACCTTGTTGTTGCAGAGATTGTTCTTCCTTCTGGTGATACGCAGGTGTTCAACAAAGCTGTGAGCATGGTGGAGACCGATCCAAAGGCACAGGAGTTGTTACTGCTCGAGCCTGGAAAGAGACTGAAGGCCTATGGTGAAACCACAGACAATAAATGGACGAGAAACAGACCTATCTCGAGTACACGTCGTATGGACAAGTCCGGAAAAGAGCACCTGTTCATGAGATTCCACGTTGAAAGCAAACAAAGACACGGAAGCGTTCAGCTAGAATCCATTCACGACGATGTATTACACCCAGAGTACTCGTACATTTACCTGGACGTTCCTGGTGAGAAGAGACACTACATCATCGCACCACCGCAGCCAAAATTGCTTGGATCAAGAGACCCCAATGCTGGGTTCCTGGGTGTAAGATGGGGCCCAAAGACTGATTAGAGGAACAGACATATCCTTAATTTATAATGACGATACCTATGGCACTTATAATCGCATTTCAATATTCCTAGCATGTATATAATGTTGTGTGTCTTCCATCACACTCAAGGCACAAACACTGTTAAGAGCAAGACAAAGACAAACGCCAAACTCAAGTCAACAACAATCCTGGAGTAGAATCTTCTCTGTGTAGATGCCTTGCTTTCAACCTTTAATGTTGATGTATCGTTTGGTGCGTGTAGATTGACATGTTTCGAGCTGACAGTGGTTCTTTTAATCTCAGGGTATGACATCAACTGTGAGAGAACATCTCTCCCCAACACAGCAGCACATGTTTCACCATTGCTTTGCACGTTCGTCTCCAACACTTCCAGCGTTGCAAGCTTACTGGCCAACAGAGCCACACCGTTGAAGTCACAGTCGTCTGACGTTCCACCACCTTGCTTCTTGAACAATTCATTCAAGACAAAAGAAGCCTTCTGAACTGAAGAACAATCAGAGAAGACACCATACTTCCCATCAACACCATCCGCACGGATGTCAGAACAATCAACATTATCACAGGCATAGTCAAACACCTTAGGCAAGTTCGTCTCCTTGATGTTGGCAAGCCTGCACTTCAAGGTGGACTCCATACAGTCACATTTGACCTTGTTTGGAGACTGTGGGATCTCATTGGATGCCTTCCAAACATTGGACTTGCCTGGACACTTTGGATATGGCACCAGCTTGTAGCTCGCCTTGTAGTCACTCAAGTTGACTCCACGAGGGTTTGCTGAACTAAAGGCCTTTTGTAAGTTGTAGAAATCAGGCAACGGTTTAATGCCACCATTGGCTGTAACTTCAACAACACCAAACTCATTTGGCTCTTCAAAGTACATGTACGCCAATCCTCCAGACCACACCTGTGTCATTAAGCTGCCAAACAACGCTTCAACCTCTGTGAAAGGACGTGGTCTTTGTAAATTACACCCAAACTCTGAGAAGAACACAGGGACTGGATAATCTTTGAACTCCTCCGTACGCTCTCTGTATCCACTGGTATGGAAGCTGGAGAATCCACACCATTCGTACATGTTGATACCGTAAAAGTCCACAGTATCATCACCACAGGCAAAGTATCTTGCAATGTCATCTCTCGTCTCTGCGTCGTCGTTTGTTGAGTATCCAACAGGGATGCCTCTGTAGTTCTGAGTCCTGATATACTCCTTGATATCTCTAATTGATGACTTCACAAACGGTGAAGCACCAGTGTTGGTCTTGTCGTTGGTGACTTCATTACCAGCGATGAAGCCCAAGATGTTATCGTACTTTTGCAAGGAATCAACCACGTCTCTGTAGCGGGCAAAGAGCGTGAGATCCCAGCTTGGACTCTCTCTGTTGATGCTTCTACCAGGCTCACTCAAGTCTGCAATGACATAGATACCGGCGTCTTGATATGCCTTGAAACAGACATCATGGTCCTTCTCTGTATCAATGGAGTACACACGGATGGTATTGACGCCCAAGGCAGAGAGGTAGGGCAAATCTCTTAGACAGAGGCGTGGATCAGCCATGGGATCAATGATGGTCAGTCCATCGTACAGCGCAGCAACGACATCATTGGCTGCTCTGCTGGGCTGATAAGCAATGCCCTTGAGGAAGAACTGGTCACCAGTCTTAGAATTGAAGAACTTGTTGCCATACACCTCCACAGGCCCAAACTCTGTGGTGGCCACTGAGGGCTCCAGAGGTGTTGTCTCATCAGAAGAGGTCACATTGGCGTATGCCAGGCCAATCTCATGGTTCGTTAACCACACCGGGCTCTCAGTGGTCGCCAGAGTAACGACGGTCAGTGGTGAAGCCACCACGCTCTTCAGCAGGAAAGTCGTCTCAAACGCATGGTGAGAGGCCACTGTAGCCGTGACAAGCGTGCTCATATGCTCAAACAACATGCTTCCACACCGAGTTGAGAGCTGTGTTTTGGTGATAGTGAACAGGAGAAGTTTTGTGTATCAAACATTCAGCTTAATTGCTTAGCGGGATGGTTCAACATTGGACACAAAACCTGGGGTTTTAATGTGATAAACAGGAAGCTGTGAGCTGTCGAAGATATGGTGAATGGTGTGAGATGGAGTATACGCTTCAATTGGGCGTGGGGGTCCTTCTGGAGGGCTGTGACACAGCTGAGCTGGCAGCGTATAGCGATGTGCAACGGTGGATGATAGCGTCTGAACACCGAGAACCAGTGTAAAGGAGTGGAGTACATCACTTGCAATGGCAATGATGCACGATCATCGCAAGCTCAGGCCCGTAATGATACGCTTATGCAGTGGTTGTTCTCGCTGATGCGAGCTACATACGAGAAGCCAGCTATAGGGCGTGGATTCAGGGCTTCCTTCATCAACACTTTTGGTAGCTGTCGCAACCAGTAGAGTCCATCAATGGTAGAGAGCCTCACAGTGTTAACCATGGTAACAGTACATATGCCATTTGGCAATAAGATGCTTTAAATGAGCGTTTTGCGCAACGAGAGACCCAACATGGGGCGTATTACGGTCAACTGCTGTGACCTGTTCATGTGCAGTCTTCACGGCAGACACATCGACATATAGCTCTATACACCAACTGAGTGTCCTCTCACATCTTATGGCCCACTATGCTCCCCCTGGTCGTCCTTCTGCCCACAACACCTGGTGATGGCGTACGAGCAGCAGTTGACTCCACGTTAACAATGACACTGAGACCAGGCTGTTCGTAGCGCACACCGTCTCCGCACAGCTGAGCTTCACCTAAAGTGACACCTACACACCACAGCTACCCAATTGAGTGTTCCAGGCGGTTCTGGCCTCCCAACTATCAACACTTAAAGACCATTCAATGCTCTACTGCTGAGACACTGCTCATGCCTCTCAAGCCAATATCTCCTACGCCAAAGAGACACAATTGGGTCGCCTTTCCCGGTCCAGCTGGCCCAGCTGGCCCAGCAACCCATCCAAACCATCATAAACCACACTGAGAAGCAAATACCTTAGCGACAGGCACCAATTACCAGCGCCAGCCCGGCACAATGGCCGTATAATAGCCATCTCACGATGCGATGTGATGTACTTTTTGACATGTTTACATTTCCCAATGCGGAAAGGTTATGAACCACGCGCATTATCACCACCATCTTTTTTACTTAGGCGTAGAGCTTTGGCTCTGGACAAACCACTGCTGTTTCCCTCATCAAACACCGGGGAGCACGGAGAAAGCCGGTGTGTATCTCCTCTTGTATTGCTCGATGTCACGATCCGTCAGGGATATCGCTGATCTGAACGCGTTCCACGACTACCTGCTGAGCTGTAAGACGATACTTGCTGTTGTTGGTGCTGGGCTCAGTGCCTCTTCTGGACTACAGACGTTTCGAGGGAGCGGAGGCCTCTGGCGTAACTACTCACCGATAGATCTGGCCACACCCGATGCCTTTCACGTGGATCCAGGCCTGGTGTGGCAATTCTACAGCTCAAGGAGGTTTCTTGCCCTGAAAGCGCGTCCCAACAAGGGCCATTTTGCTTTGGCAGAGTTGAGCCGAAGACACGATGTTAACTTCCTCACCCTGACACAGAACGTCGATGGGCTCAGTACGAGGGCCAGGCAGCAGAAGGACACGCTGCTGGAACTGCATGGGTCCTTGTTCACGCTGAGATGCACCGGGTTCTTCTGTAATTACGTCGAGGAAAACAACAGAGAGCATCCACTTACTCCTGCTCTCGGTGGCAACGAGGATGAGTTTGTGAGACAGAAGAAGAGGCCGTTGGAAGACAGCGGCGACTCTTGTGCTAAGAAGCGTAGAGCTACAGAAACTATACAGGCAGAATCAAAGAGCTCATCTGTAACGTCATCCCCGGACCTCAAGCCCATCTCCACGATCACTGACGACGAATTGCCACATTGTCCCAAGTGCAACAGCCTGCTGAGACCTGGCGTAGTGTGGTTTGGTGAATCTCTGCCTCTGAAGGTGATAGACAAGGCCGATGAGTTCTTGACTTCAAACCACGTGGATTTGGTGCTCGTGATTGGAACCTCGGGCACAGTTTGGCCAGCAATGGGGTACGTGGAGAGAGTACAGCAGCAAGGTGGCAAGATCGCAGTGTTCAACACCGAGATCGACGAGGAGGACGTCAGGAAGCACGGGGGATGGGGCTTCAAAGGCGATGCTGCTGAGTGGCTTCCAAAGGCTCTGGAGCCTCTAATTGGAACACACTTCCTGCCCAGAAACTGGAAGAAGATGTGACAGTCAGTGTACACAACACCCACACCGCATAGAACGACCCTTTAACGACCAATTGGACGTAGAACACCGTGTGCCAGCGTATTTCCTAGCGTACACCAGCGTATACCACCACATCGCTTGCTGACTAAGCACGCGCGATGAGCTGCCCCGGGCCAACACACCCGCACCTGGAGTTTTACGGCCGGGTGCCCGGGTGAGGCCGCTACGAAGTTTCCACATCAACAGCAAACAACGAGGATTGAGGCCCGAGCTGAAGAGAGGAAGAAGCGTTAGCTAAGCAATGCTGTCACGGTTCAGAAGCCCATTGCGTACTCTGGCGACGAGTGCACAGCACTCGTCCACTGTGATTGGAATCGACCTCGGCACGACGAACTCTGCCGTTGCCGTGATGAGAGGCTCCGAGCCCACAATCATCGAGAACGAGGACGGTGCTCGTACAACGCCGTCGATAGTTGCGATAGACAAGTCTGGTGAGGTGATAGTTGGCGGTGCTGCGAAGAGACAGCTGGTGCTGAACACGGAGAACACGTTCTACGCTACAAAGAGGCTCATTGGCCGGAAGTTCACGGACAGTGAGATCAAGTTCGACATGGCTCATGTTCCATACAAGATTGTTGAGAACGACAACGGGGATGCGTGGGTAGAAGCGTTTGGCCAGCGTTATAGTCCGTCACAGATAGGTGGGTATGTGTTGAATAAGATGAAGGAGATCGCGGAGGTGGGCCTGGGAGAGAAGATCAAGAACGCTGTTGTCACGGTGCCTGCCTACTTCAACGACTCTCAGAGACAGGCCACCAAGGACGCGGGACAGATTGCCGGCCTGAACGTGCTGCGAGTGGTGAACGAGCCTACTGCTGCTGCGCTGGCGTATGGGCTGGACAAGTCCAACGACGGTATCGTTGCTGTTTTCGACCTTGGTGGCGGTACTTTTGACATTTCCATCCTGGACATCGAAGACGGAGTCTTTGAAGTCCGTTCGACGAACGGTGATACCCATTTGGGAGGCGAGGACTTTGACATCTTGCTGGTGCAGTACATTCTGGCGTACTTCAAGGAGAAGAGTGGCATCGACATCTCGTCAGACCGTGAAAAGGTTCAAAGAGTCAGAGAGGCAGCAGAGAAGGCCAAAATCGAGCTATCACACGTAAAGGAAACCACCGTGGATATACCCTTTATCCATGAGAATCACCATATATCTTTCAAACTGACTGAGCAGCAGCTGGACGAGATGACGTTGCATCTCATCAACCGTACCATCGAGCCCGTCAAGCGTGCGCTGAGGGACGCAGACCTCACCAAAGACGACATCGATGAAGTCATCCTCGTTGGAGGCATGACGAGAATGCCCAAGATCAGAAGCACCGTGCACAGTATCTTTGGCAAGCCGCCGTCCACGAGCGTGAACCCTGATGAGGCCGTGGCGCTTGGTGCCGCCATCCAGGGCGGCGTGCTCTCTGGAGCCATCAAGGACGTGTTGCTGCTGGACGTCACTCCCTTGACCTTGGGCATTGAAACCTATGGCGGTGTCTTCTCGCCGCTGATTCCACGTAACACGGTTGTTCCTGTGAAGAAGACCGACATCTACTCCACCGGTGTTGACAACCAAACTGGCGTTGAGATCCGAGTATTCCAAGGTGAGAGAGGGCTCGTCCAGGATAACAAGCTCATTGGTCACTTCAAGCTGAGTGGCATCCCTCCAATGCCAAAGGGAGTGCCGCAGGTGGAAGTGTCGTTCGACATTGATGCCGATGGCATCATCAACGTCAGTGCCCGGGAGAAGGTGTCGGGCAAGGAGACGTCGATAACCGTTGTTGGCAACTCAGGGCTAACAGAAGCTGAGATCCAACGTATGGTTGAAGAAGGAGAGAGGTACAAGGAGGAGGACCAGGTCAAGAAGCGCCGTGTCGGCGCAGCAACAGACGTTGGGCTCGTTGTCAGAGATACAGAGGCTGCCATCGACTCATTCCCAGAGTACATCAAGGAGGATGAAGGCTACGACGAGATGATGAGCAAGATCCAGGAGGTGAAGTCGCAGGTCCAGCTCGCACGGGACGGAGGCGAGGTCACCGTTGCTGACCTGAAGAGGCTATCACAAGAACTACAAGCAGCATCGATTGAGGTGTTCAAACGTGTGGCTCAGAAGCAGAGGGGCCAACAGCGCTAGCGTGTGTATGTAAATAGAGGCTCTTGCCACCCACCACAGTGCTCCTTCTACAGCACTATGATAGCAAAATGATGACGATACTCATATATTGTGTTACTATGTACAGGCAGGGCCGCTCACCAGAGTCTGAGCCGTCTATACCACGGCTTACAGGCTGGAGCCGACGCCTGCTGCTCCTCAATGGCACCCTGGAGCTCCAGTTCCTTCTCCCTGACGAGTTCTGCGCTGGTGTTAGTACCATCTTCCCCTGGCTCTGGGCCATGATTGGATCCAAGTGCTTACCTTTCAGCACAGCTTCTCGTTCATCGTACTCCAGGTTCCACCACAGCAGGTGGTACGAGAAGTACACAATCGAGCTGATGCCCAACGTCAGCAGTATGGGCCTCGTGAAGTCCGCGAGCTTCGGCTTCTTCGCGTCCTCTATCCGCTTCTTCTCGAGCTCTTCCATCTCCAGCAGCTTCTGCCTAATCATGCTGTTCAGCCTGTCGATGTCCTGGGCGTTCTTGTTCCACAGAGCACTGCCCGTGGACAGTGCTCTGGCGCTGTCTCTGGCCGTCGCCAGCAGCTGTCTCATCGTCCGCATCGGTGCTCTGTTTGCTTCACTGTGACGGTGGCGATGTTGATGTTGATGTTGATGTTGATGTGGATGGTGGAGGAAGGGGAAAATTCGCACTTTTGTAGGCTTCCCACCCCCACCACGCACACCTCAGAGCTCTGGAAGGACACCACCGTCAGAAGAGCACATCAGCACCGAGTCGACGCTTGAGTGCCACACTGAGTACCACGAGACCTCCCCTGTGATGCCAGCGCTCGAAGTTCCACCGCCAATTGATGATGTTAAAGAGCTGTCCGAGACAGCGTCGTTCCAATCAACACCCACGAACACTCCCACCAGGAGCAGGGCGCTTCAGCAGAGGTTTCTACAGCAGATCTCGAGCCCACGGTTCTCATCGAGGTCGTCTGTGATCTCGTCTACCACGAGAGCCCGCCGGTTCGACGAACGGATCCAGAGCCGGTTCAGTGCGCTGGCACAGGCCCACCGGTATGGCGATGCCGATGTTGATGTTGATGTTGATGATGAGGGTGTGGGCAGCAGCAAGTGGGACGCCTGCGGCGCCACGCTGCTGAATACACAAGTCAAGGACCTGAAATGGATCCAGCTGAACACGCTGAACACGCTGATACGGACGTCACAGTCCCAGCAGGTGTATGGTGCTCCGACGTGTTTGGCTGCCGGTGATATCGTTGCACTGGGAATGTCCAAGGGCTACGTGCTCATATTCGACTACCGCCAGATCCTTGTGATGGTACTGGGTGAAGGAACCGGTGCATCGACGTGGGGCAAGGTCACATGCCTGTCGCTGTCGCTGGACTCAACACACATCGCTGCCGGCTATGACTCTGGCGATGTGCTGGTGTGGGACCTGAAGGACAGCACCAGACCAAAGTACCACATTGCGCCTCTCGCTGACATCAGTGCCATCACTGATGGCCACATCAAAGGCTCGCCAATCAACAACATCACGTTCGTCGGCAAGAGACATAGCGTGTTGACAACCACCGACATTTACGGGATGGTGATGTACCACCAGCGCAACAGAGGCGTGCTGGGGTTCGCAGTGACCACCAGGAGAATACTGGGCCGGTATGAGGATGTTGAGCTGATGAAGCCGACAACGGTGCTGGACTGTAAGTCTCTGCCTCTCGGGAGCTCTGTGGAGCCGATGGATGAGCAGGGCCTGGTGGCCATCATGAATACCAATTCCCTGCTCATCGTCTCCACCACAGGGTCAATAAGGACTCAGTTCAAGACAGGACGACCAAAGGTGATCAATGACGGCTTGGGCAAGTCGGGATGCCTGTCGTGGTACCCTGCCGTGGTTACCAAGGGTGGCACGAGGCTTCCGGCAAAGCTGGCATATTGCTTCAATAACGTGCTTACCGTCATGGAGGTTTGCACTGTGGGCGAACACCTGAGCTTCGATTCCAAGAAGAGGTGGGTCTCTGATGAGCTGATCGTTGGCGTGCAGTGGGCGAATCAGTCCGTCATCGCAATGGTTTCCAATACACAGAGACTCACACTCATGATTGAAGCTACAATGCAGGTGACTGCCACTGTTGATCTGCTGCCAAAGCATCTGTTCAGCTTAAACCTGTACTCCCACAGCTTTGCCCATGCTGAGCTATGCGACACATTTGGAGGAAGCTTCAAGGCTTACAAGGGAAAGCTGTTCTTTGTTGGAAAGTACGATATCCTCATAGGCTCTGTTCCCTCGTGGGTCGATGTCCTGCTGGACCTTGTGAACGAGGGCAAGTACATCAAGGCTATCAAAGTTGCCACGATGTACTACATTGGTGACGAGAGCTTTGTCACTCTGGGGCTACCAAAAGATGCTAAAGAGAGACAACAGGCAGTTCTAAAGTACCTCATTGACCTCGTCAAGGCTTCTGCAACACACGTCTTGAAGTCAGATCTGGTGAACATCCACGACTCAGAGCTTGTGACTGAGTTTCTCCATGTGGCCATCAACGCACTCATATCGATCAAGGCAGAGTCTGTGGTGTTTGAAGAGCTTTATGATGTTTTCAGTGGTGATCATGTTGACTACTTCTTCGAGGCTTTAGAACCGTTCATCCTCAATGGCTCGTGTAAGGTGCTCACACCCACTATCCTGAAAGATATGGTGAAGTATTACATCTCGGTGAGAAAAGTGGAAACCCTTGAACAGAATATCTGTCTCCTGGATATCAAGAGTCTTGACATTGATTTCACGTTGAGCTTGCTGAAGAAGAACAATCTCAAGGACAGCTACACGTTCATATGGAACGTGTTGTTACACGATTATGTTACACCATTTTTGGATTTGCTTGACGAGGTGAAACTCGGCACAGATGATTCCTATAAGGCCTTTGCCTATTTGGCGTATATCCTCACGGGGAGACAGTATCCAACGGAAGATATGATACCAGAACCAGAGTCCACTGAGGCGAAGTTGTCATTGTATTTCGTTCTGTTTAATGGGTTGCCAGTCGAGCATGCAAATGGGAAAGTAACCGTGGCCAGCACTGTGACTGACGACATTGCATTCCCATATCTTCACTTGCTTGCGTCTTTTGATTCCAAATCGTTCCTATCATCCATGAATGAGTGTCTTGAAGATTCTCTCCTGAATGATGACGAAATTGTGCACCAGGAGAACAAGCTAAAGGTCAACAGACAGTTCATCTTTCAGGTGTTGATCGAGCTGTTCAGCATGAAGGAGTTTTCGCAAGAAGATCGGGTCAACTTTGCCATATTTGTTGCTAGAAACTATCCAAAGTTTCACCAGTTCATCAGATTATCCGAATGGACGTTGCAAGACACGCTACAGACGCTGTGCTCAAACGACATCGACGACGATGGTGTTAAAGAAGACTGTGAACTGAGCTTACAGAGTTTACTGTCGGTTTATCAACCACCAAACAGGAATGAGTTACTTGATGTGTTTGAAAAATCACAGTTCAATGACGTTCTCATCAGCATGTACCTGAACGATCATAGATACTCAAAGGTGCTCGAAGTGTGGTTGAGATTGGATAAGAGCAACTCGATCGATACCACTGATGGAGTCCTGGAGAAATGTTTCAGATCTACGGAGCACAACTCGAAAGAGCGTACATTGCTAGAGCAAGTCGTTGAAACCAACTTCCCAGATATCATTGAGTTTGATACGTTCAAGATTGTGAATATCTTGAACAAGTATGCACCGAGATTGCATCCCCTGTGTCTCAGATTAAGTGACAATCAGCTCAAGTTCCTGTATCTGCAATCATTGGTACAATTGGAATCCTACGGTGACTTCAACTTGAACGTCCAAGAGAGATCGGAGTACGTCAAATGCCTGGGACTCTTTGAGAAGAGCTCACTACTGTCGTATTTGAAAACCATCAACAAAGGTGATATCGACTTGGATGCGTGTGTCTCATCTCTCCACGAGAACGGCTGTATCGAAGCCATTGTGTATTTATTAAGCAGGGAAGGGAAGCTACGGGAGTCATTGGACGAGGTGGTGTCATATATGGAGGAATTATTAAACAAGCTACCTGATGCTGTGCAGAAATCAAACAAGGAGGACTTGGACCTCATAGAGGCCGACCTTTGGGAACAACTACAGTGTGGAATCACGCTTGCTAATCACGAAGGCTCACAGACACAGACCACAGGCAGCAGCAAGCTCTCTCTGAACGAGGAGATGTGGCTTTCGCTGATGAACTTTGTCGTCCACAAGCTGAGAACATTCGACAGGGAAGGCCAATCACCAAGGACCCTTGAGATTATAAAACGGTTACTACAGGACCTCTTCACCACCTTGATCAACACCAGAACACAGATCAGTACCATCCAAATGGACGCCCAGGATGTAAAGAGAACGCATAGCTCGTTCCTAAAGATCTTCACTGAATTCCTCCATTCAAACTCTTCGATTGGCGTGACAGTTCTCGGAGACGTGAGGTTTGTTACAAGGGAGATTTACCTCGCACTATCCTATGAAAAGAGCATATTCACAATCACGGCCAGGCTGATCAGCGACACCATCTACCAGAACATGGCTCTGCTCACAGAGCAGAACCTCCGTGGATGGTCTGTCCTCAACTTTGAGTGCGATGCCTGTGGGAAGATCATCTGGGGAAGACACCTCAACTCAGAGTACTACCTGGCATGGGAAAAGGCACTACGAGCCTCCGACGACCAACATCGTGATGCTGTTGATAAGGACCACGACCTCGTGAGCTTCAACTGTCGTCATTGTTACCACAGATCATGCCTCGAGAACCTGGGCAACCGTGGTGGCTACCACTGTGTTATATGCGCAGATAAGAGAGAAGCTTCACAGTCAACAAGGGCCTGAAGCACCACAAAGCCAATGGCAACGCCAATGGCAACGCTGCCTGTGTTGCTATCGAAGGGTTTTGTGTCATTATGCCAACAGCATTTGTTGATGTTTTGCTCTTGTGTTTGTTGATTTGATCTTGAAGATATATCCTTACAAGCAGGCAAGGAGTACTTGGATCACCACACCAGCTGTTGAAGATGTTGATTCTCAGTGCTGTGCTTCTAACCATCACACATTTCCAGTTGAGCTATGCTGCTGATGCGTCGGCTGTGTCAAACACGGACACCAGCGAGTTTGGAGCATATGTCAATCCAAGCCCAAAGAACATCTGTGACGGCGAGGAGTTTGAGATGTTGACCTTCTGTGCCAGTGAGGTGCTTTCCAGATTGGATGAGTGCAAACCTGATGATTTAGCGTGCGAGTGCTGTGCCTTACAGAGCATGAAGCGTGATTGTCATGGCCTATGTCCAAATACTCCCAGTGGTAACTTCTTAGCTGTGTTGTACGACGACTGTGAAACGATGAACGATGTCAATGCATGTAATCTTCCTTTTAAGAAGCACGATGCCCAGGTGGCAAAGTTCTTGAGACCAAATGCCCGTATCCCAGTTGAGGAGAAGGAGCCTGACTTCATCTTGCAGTCAGTGTTGGTGAACACGTCTAATGAGACGGCCCTGGTGATTGAAGACACTGTTGATGAGCCAATAGATCTGGTTGTACAGTTGAATGAGACTGTGGAGAACATCACCGTGTATTCAAACTCCACCCAGAGTGCTGGAGAGGATGAGAGTGCGGCTTCAAAGATCACCGTGCTTTACTCTGAGAACGCCATACTCCTCGCATTCTTCTGTCTAGGAGTCTCCATTTGCTACATGTCCTTCTAGTTCTATCTACAATCGACGAGACTTGGCTCCATTCCCTTTAACCATTTGCATCCATATATAAGTCATACTCTGAAGTACTATACATCTGCTTCGTAGCGAGTCGTGTAAAGTGATCATTTCTTACCCTCATCCATCCATTCTAGAGTCTTTGTAATGCCTTCTTCGATGCTGACTCTTGGGTAGTAGCCCAAGACAGTCTTCGCCTTGGTGATGTTGTGATAACGAACAGCACAGACCACTTTCACTCTGAATGGAGTCAAACCAGGCTCCTTCTTCAACAGCTTTGAGAAGAACACCGAGAGATAGCTTGCAGCTATGGCAGCTGGTCTCTGGAGAACAATGTTGAACTTCTCGATGTGGCCATCTTGCTTCCAAACAGCACGAGCCAACGTCCAGAAATACGTTGGAGCATCGTTGGTGACGAAGAACACTTCACCTCCAATCTTGTGCTGTTTTGCTGGATCCAGGATCTGCTGCGCAGCGAGGACGTGGGCATCAGCAACGTTGCCAGCGTAGGTCCAGTCGAATAAGTTGTTGTTATCACCTATTTGGAACTTGGACTGGCCCATAGCTGCCACCTGTCTCAAGCCTGGAACCAATTGACGGTCGCCTGGACCAAAGATACCAGCAGGACGCAATGCTACCGTCAGGAACCCGTCCTTGAAGGAGTTGGCCTTCAATACCATCTCTTCAGCTTCCGCTTTTGTCTTGTTATATCCATCCATTGGAACCTCTGGAATCGGCCAATTCTCATCAGCATTCTCAATGTTTTGACCATTGAAGATGACACCGGCTGACGACGTGTACACCAGAGCCTTCACACCAGCTTTCTGAGCCACTTGAAGAACGTTTCTCGTTCCCTCAACGTTGACCTTCTCGTAGATCTCCTGTCTCTGGCCATGGACTGGCGACGCGCTGTGGACAATAACGTCACACTTGGAAGCCTCGATCGCCCTGAGAACGTCAGCTGGCGAGGTGATATCACCCTGATGGAACACAACGTCATCTGCCGTGAAAGTGAAGCACTTTGGTAGAACTTCAGGTAAAGGACGTAGATCAAAGACATGGATCTTAGGCCCTGGTGAGACGTCGTGGAACTGTTGAATCAGGTGCAGCCCGAGAAAGCCGGCTCCTCCGATGAGCAGAACAGAATCTAACGACATTGTATGGTCAATTGGTGCCTGGTGATGATGCTGTAGTTGGTGCTGCTGTAGTTGGTGGTTGCTGTAGTTTGTTGATCACCGTCGTTTGTTGATCACCGTCGATCATCGTTTAGCGCTGGTCGCAGTGTCGGCTCACCAATTTTTCACCGGAATCAGCCGGTGCCTAAAACCGCCTAAAACCGCCTACAGAGCCTCCAGCCGGAGAGAACATCTACAACATCAGCCTACAAATAAGATGAAGATATCTCCACGTTCTCAGGTATGTTCTGCTGTTAAAAGGTGAAGAGGTCTTTAAAGGCTTCGACGCTGTTATCGTCCACGTCTTTGATCGTGTAGTCCAGGTCCTGAGCGTTGGGGAACTCGAATAGCACATGGCTCACGTGACCGTTGAGCTTTGATGGGGGCATTATCTGTGTAGTTGGTTGGTGTAGTTTGTCTGCTGTGGCTGTAGGCTGTTGCGGTGTCTGTGCAAAGGCGAATAGTGGCTTGTGTTCCTTGTGAGGAAGGGTATTGTCGGGCTTTGGCTGTGGTTGTTCTGGGGAGTCGGCGATGGACTTGTCGGAGTCGTCGACGGAGATGGACTCTCGAAGAGAAGAGGACTTGGCCGGCTTGTACTTGTCCACAGGGGCCACTGACGGGAAGGTCTGCTGTGGCTGCGGTGCTGGCTTCGGTGCTGGCTTTTCTGTTGCCTCTGCTGGCTTCTCTGCTGGCTCTGCTGGCTCTGCTGGCTCTGCTGGCTCCTTCAACGCTTCTTCAGCTTTGCCCTTCCCATCAGCCTGTGCAAACGACTCCTCCAATTGCTCCAATGGTGACAGCTTCTTCTTAATAATGTGCTTCTTTGTCGTCGTGCGTACGTAGGGATTGCTGAAATCAACCTCTTTCTCCACCTTTTCACCCTTCTCCTCTGTTTGGGCTGGCTCATTGCCCTCTATGAACGAAAGCAGAGCCGATGCTGTATTGCTCAGCTTCTTCTCCGGCTTCGAAACAGGCTCCGCCTTTGATGCAATTTGGTTACTCTTGATGGCCTTTTCTTTCAGCAGAGCTGTAGAGCTCTTCAGCCTTGTTGTTCTGTAAGGAGAAGGGAAGCCAGAGTAGTCAAACACTCTTCTCTTCGGAGTAGCAGACGATACAAATGAAGAGTCATTCGCACCCACCCCAGTGTTATACGTTGGCTTGAAAGACGGAGTCTCCAGCCCAGACGTGGACGCCACGGAATGTTTCAATACTTGTGAGTGTCCTTCGCCATCGCTATCGGCATCATCACCGTTACGAGCTAATCCATCGTCGTTCAACGCCGTTGCTTTCCCTGGCGTACCCAGATTCGAATTCGAAGCAGACTGCGCCAATAGGGCACGCACTCCTTCCATTTCAATCTCATTCAAGGGCTGTGAGCCCTTCTGCGCAAAGAAGCTCGCCAGTCGGGCATTGACATTGCCATTGGCACCGGCATTGGCCGCTGAGCGTGCCGAGGCCATGGATCTCAGAGGAGTATTGGTGGAACCCTCATCACCATCACCATCGTCATCGTCTCCACCAGCGGACTGTAACGTCACTTCCGCGGATGAAGCCTCACCAAGCCACGCACGTGGCGAGAACATCTGTCTCATCTTGCTGAATATACTCCCTGGCGTCTATAACACGTGTGCACACACACGCCCTGTTAGTATACGACTTACTCATCAACACAACATCGAGACATGGTGAACTTACGCTTGGTTCATAGCCTTGGCCATTGGGAGTGCCTGGAGCCCTTGAGTACGGGCTGTTGAGATGCTGGTGTGCTCTACGTGAAGGTGGCATCTGTGATCTCTGTGTAGCCGTTGTTTCCCTTGCTGGTTGGCTCTGGTCGGTTGTGTTTTGGAGTGTTTTGGAGTGTTTTGGAGTGTTTATCTCTGCGTTTGTCTGTTGAGCTTTTGTCTCGGACAAAGCATCAAATTTTCACAGCCAGAGCAAACGGGACATATTACGTAAGCAGTTGCTACTACAACAACCATTACTACAACAACCGTTACTACAACAACCGTTACTACAACAACCATTACTACAACAACCATTGCTACCACCATTACTACTACAACCACTGAGCCAATCAGAAGCAATCTTGCTTTCTTCACATCTCCACACGGTTATACCCACTTCCAGCTGTTGCCCTCGTACGAGGCGTAGCAGAAGAACTCGTTGCTGAGCCCATTGGCGTGTTCAGGAAAGAACGACGTCGGATTGGTGTCTGGGTACACCTCTTTGATGATGTCCTTCATACGCTCACCAGTGCACGAGATCAGACGGTACTTGGACACTCCGTTGCGAGTCTTGGAGTGCTTGTCCTTGTGCAACAGAGCATGTGCTGTTTGGGACGACTTCCTCTGGCACTCGTCCTGGAGGAACGGTGGATCAATCAGTAGACGATTCACGGTGCCTGCCAATCCCTCTGGAAGTTCCAAAGGCGAGTTATAGTCGTAGAAGCCAAAGTGGTCCCCTGCTAGCACTGCGAATCTCTTGTCAAACTCCAGCAGATAGATGTGCTCGGTTGGCAGCTTCCCTTCAGCCTTCTCGATCCTCTTCATTGCAGCGTAGACAGAGGGAGCAGAGACGATACAGATGACTGTATCGTCATCAGCCCCTTCCAGCAGCTCCCTAGCAAGTAAATTCGCAGTATCGTCGCTGTACCAGAACTGCGAGAGCTGCCAGTCCTCCTGGAACAGGTCCATCCCCTTCTCAGCAACCAGCGAGTTGTCCTGGTACTGTTTCTCTGCTGCTTGTTCCAACTTGGCGAACTCTTCCTTACGCTGTTCCTCCTCTTTCTTGAACTCCAGAAGAGCTGCTAAAGTGCTAGCAGAGAGGGTGCTGAACACGTTAATACACAGATCAGTGGACAGATCAGATGAGCACTTACAGTTCATCATCAGACATCTTTTCTAAATCGTGTTGATTGGCCTGTTTCTGGAGAAAGAGCCCGTGAAAGTGAAGGAGATACGAATCATGTCTGCAAAATTTTTCACTTTCACATCTAAGCAATACTGACAAGTATCAACAGAAAACACCAACTTGCACTGCTAACGCACACCACAGGGGACACAATGGTGAGAATGGACATGGGGTCCGACTCGATCACAGAGCACTCGCTCAATGACTAACAGCACGCCCAGAATGCTATACACAACCACGCGGTCAGACAGATCGCAACAATAAGGAAGGACCTCACCAAGTTCGAGGAGGACGTGGCATCAGCTCCTCTGGCGCTACAGGGCAGTATAGCGGCGGGACTGACACAGCTGACGAGAACCATCGACGAGTATGAAGGCTTTGTCAAGCAGGAGACCGATGATGACAAGAAGGTCAAAGTTGAGCTGAAATTATCAAAATTCCGTACTGATTGTGCGGAGATGAAGAGGAAGCTCCAGGAGCTCAAGAGAAGCCGTGAAGAGATGACACAGGCTTTGAACAGAAGTGCGCTGCTGAATCGACGCCCACAGGCCAATGACAACCCCTACGGCGTGCAACAAGACCAGCAACAGCAGCAGCAGGCACCATCGCTGGGGTACGCCGAGGGACTACACAAGGAAACCGATATCCTCGCAAGAGGCAATGCCCAGTTGGACGACATACTGGAGATGGGCAGGGAGGCCTTTGACGAGCTGGTGTCTTCGAACAGAACCATCCAGCAGATTGGACAGAAGCTAACGGGCACGCTGGGCACGCTGGGGGTCTCGCAAGAGACCATAAGACTCGTAGAGAGACGAGCAAAGGAGGATAAGTTTGTCTTCTGGGGGTGTCTGATTGTATTCTTTGTCTTGTGCTATTACTTCTACAAGTGGTTTGGTTGAAACGATGTTGTATCTATTTACAAAGATGCCTATTTTGGTGTGTATATGCCTATTTTGGTGTGTAATAAATGGCACTGGCCTTGGCTCCGGCAACTATATGCTGGTTCTCTGAAAGTTGTAGCCTGTTGGCAAAGGTTAGATCCTTGTAGGTGTCTGCTGTGAACGAAGGCTCAATCAGTGAAGGCGGAGAGGTTGGTTTGGGGATCCTGTTCTTTTTACCAGTGCCCAATTGGCCATAGTCATTAGCTCCCCAGTACAGGACATCACTGTTATCCAACTTGACAAAGCTGTGCTCTTCACCAGAGCTCCATTCCTTGATGTGGATACGGTCCATTTCACCAGTTGCCTCGTTGAAGTCCTGGAACTTCTCTAGCTCCTTAAGCCTGACAGGGTCGAATTGTGCATGGATGAAGAGCCCGTTACCGATCTGGCCCTTCAATGCGGTGCCAAAGCCAACGACGAAGGACTCGTCATCCACCTGAGGCCTCTGCGATGTTGAGCCCTTCACCAGCTGGTACATGTGAACCGGCTTGACCTCACAGAAGCTCGTATCGCCACCAGCGTGTATGTCCAGCACCTCCGGGAACATGGCTCTCTTGACGTGTTTGTTCAGGATGTCGACTTTCTTCGGGTACGAGATGTGCTCTGTCTCATAGCTCACAGGGTGTGCCAGCTGGCCATATGTGTTTTGGCCAAAGGTGAAGAGCTCGCCGTTTGAGTCCAGCGCCATCGTATGGTTATTACCACACGCAACCTTCTCAATGACCCTGTTCTCAACATGATCAATCTTATTCTTCGAGTTGTAGTGAACAACTTGGTTCAACAGCACAATCTCGTACAGCTTGTTTGGCTTTGGAGGAGTCTTGAGGTGGGAGAACTGCGGTATGCCAAACTGTCCAAAGGACTTGGACAGCTGTTCGAACCCTGTAGCGCAAGTGAAGGCCCTACCTTTATCAGTGATCAGCACGAGGTGCGACTTGCCAACATCAAAGGATCGAACAGTCTCGCCTTTGTCGAAGCCAGCCAGCGCCAGCTTGGTGAAGGGCTTATCAACCTTCTGTAGCAGCCAGTTGCGGCTCTGCAATCCAGCCAGCGACGCCTGGTTCTCCTTGCTTTCCGGGATTATCAACACTTCGTTGTGCTTGTTCAAGGCATAGATGATGCCATTGGAGAACTTTGCTGACCTGAGCGCTTCGCCTCTGATGGTGACCTCTGGCGTGGAGCCGCCGTTGAACCCTCTCCCCCACTGAATCAAATCACCGTGAGTATCAATGGCCAAAGCACTCGTGTCTCCCAGCTCCACGCAGCTCAGGTACTTCCCATCAAACCAGTCGTGTCTCATCGGGAAACGGACATCAACAGCGTTCTTGTTCATCGACGTGATGTACTCCGTGTTATCGCCCCACAGGTACAACCCTGGCACGGACGAGTCGTTCTGGTTGGTCAGCACGGGCAGCTCAACACCTCTCTTCCTCTTCTTGCCGGGCTCACCGCTGTCAAAGCCCAGCTCGCCAGTGTTGTACCACCAGGCCTGTAGCCTAGGCCAGTTGGCGTACAGCGAGTAGCCGCCCATCAGCCCACCAATGGTGGCAACACCAGCAGCCAGGCCCTTGATGATCTCGATCCGACGGAACCTCCTGAGCTCATCCGGCGACGAGGCACCCTGTGCCTCGTCGTCGTACCCTGGGTCCTGGTCCCTCTGTTGCTCCTTGTCTCTCTTCGCGTAGTAGGGCTCCGTGTCCAGTCTCGACCTCAGCATCTCAGCGTCGTCGTACTCGTACTCCGTGAGCCTCCTCTTGGATCTCGCAGCCACCGCCTGTGAGAGCCAGCGACGCTGTGCTCCCACTCGCTGCGCTGACATTCGCTGTGCTGCCACCAGCACAGTATCACGAGCACCTCTTACAAGCATCGCCACCATTCGCCAGTGCCTTGCCTCCTTGTTGCGCACGCCTTCCGTGGTGATGAAGCATCAACAGCGTAGAAAAATTTGTCGCGTTTCGAGGGCAACAAGCGCATATGTTCGCAACCCAATGAAACAGCGAGGATTACCAACATCAACATCAACATCAACAACATCAACATCAACATCAACAATGCGCGCGCTCAGACTGTTCCACACCACCAGGACCGCGGCTTCGCACTTCGACACCCGCCGCTTCGTCGTCGACCTCCAGCACAGCGGCTTCTCCAAGGCGCAGAGCGAGGGCATCGTCAACATCGTGGCGGCGGCGCTGGCTGACGGCGTGGGGTCCATACAAGGGAATCTTGTAAGTAAAGAGACTTTGAATCGGATGACATACCAGCATAAAGTGGACTTCACCAAGTTGCGCGGTGAGCTTCAAACCACGGATAAGTCAGAGTTCAGTGCAATACAGCACGATACCGAGAAGCTGAAGCTGGAGCTGGAGAGGATGAAGACCCGGCTGCGTGAGGAGATCACCAAGGCCAACGCCGGGGTGAGACTGGACCTGAACCTGGAGAAGGGCCGTATCCGGGAGGAAGGAGCTCAGCACGAGCTCCACATCAGCGACATCGACACGCGGATCGACCAGGAGGTGGCCAACATGAAGATGCAAATCGATGCTGTCAAGACCCAGGTGATGCAGTGGCTGATTGGGGTGTGCACTGGTACGTTTGCGCTGGTGCTGGCGTACGTTAGACTACTGACGTAGAGGAGGCGGACAAGTCACGTGTGATTACGGTGTTACGTATCTAAAAGAAGAGCTCCTTGAGGATTCTGATGGTGTCGTCCGGGGAGTTGACGGCGTGGCCGATAGTTCTCGGGTCGGTGTAGATCTCGTAGTCGTTTCCTCCCTTGTAGGACTTGTCGCCAAAGAAGTGGATCTCGGTGAATCCCTCCTTCTCAACGTGTTGCAGGGCATACGTCTTGTCCCAGCCTGTTGGGAACACGTCGAAGGAGATCTGGCCGCCAATGGAGTAGGTGAGGCCGTAGTCCGGGAACTCGTCCTTCAACACCTGGACAAATTTCTCCCTGATCTTGTTCTCGAGGTCAAACTTCTCAAACTCGTTTCTCTCCTCGGTGGAGGCGTTTCTGCCGATTGGCGACACGTTGATCATACCGTTTCTGAACTCGAGGAAGGTACCACGTCTCTTTGGAAGCTCCAATTGCGCCAGGTAGCCCAGGATGAATCTGGCAAGCTTGTTGTACTTGTCCTCGCCAATCCAGTTGATGAAGGACTGAGATGCCAACTTCTCACCGAGCTTGTACGCAGTCAGCCCGTTCTCAGAGAAGCAGTAGTCAAAGTCTTGCAGCACAGAGTCACCGAGCTGTTCAACCTGCTTCTGCAAATCAGAACCACCGACAAAGCCAATGACGACTTTCTCCCTGAGCTCCTTCAGCACCTGCTTCATCTCTGGCGAGATCGTGAGTCTCGCAGGGGTGAGGGTACCGTCAACGTCGAAGAGGACAAGGGTCTTAGGGTTCTGCTTGTGGGAGAAGGACATGCTGTGTTGTGTTCTCTAAACTTGAGCAGAGGGAGAAGGACACGTAGTTGGAGGAGGAAGGGGAAGATGTGTGAAATTTTTCCGGCATGTGGGTCGTTGGTGTTGGGACGCGTCGCGGAAAAACCACGGTTGTGGTTGCTGTGGTGACCACAACCGTGCCCATTTGCCTCTAGCAACTGCTACAATGGAGGATTAAAGCACTTGGAGATACGCTACAGAGAGAGACTATTCAAGAACATCACGCCGTTTTCAAACATATTACTTAATTTAAGCTTGGAACTGGTAGTTTGGGAACTGTCTCAAGTTCTCCTCCAATGGACCCTTCTTGGACAAGAACTTGACAAAGGCACCATCGTCCTTGACCTCACCGAGCTCTTTTCTTCTGACGTACTCAGCTCTGTCCAAGTTGGTGAAACCCCACTTCTTGGAGATGATGATCTTCTGTTGACCTGGGAATTTGTATCTAGCTCTTCTCAAACCCTCGATGGCAACCTCCTTGTTGGCGTCCTTGGTTCTGACAGAGAAGATGATCTGGCCAATGTCAACACGGGCAGCAAGACCGTGTGGCTTACCCCAAGCACCTCTCATGCCTTGTTGCAATCTATCGGCACCGGCACAGGACAACATCTTGTTGATTCTCAAAACGTGGAATGGGTGGACACGGACTCTCAAGTGGAAAGCGTCACGACCAGAGATCTTGGTGATGTACTTGTTGGCACAGATACGAGCAGCCTCCAAAGCCTCGGAGGAAAGTTGCTCCAACTCGTTGGAAACCAAGTGGATACACAATGGGAAGTCATCGACGGAGGCCTTCTTTCTACCCAAGTCGTAGATACGGATCTTAGAGTCTGGAACAGCTCTGTTGTATCTGGACTTTGGGTAAGGCTTGTTCTTTTGGTATCTGTAACATCTAGCTGGACGACGAGCCATCTTGAATGTATATCTTGAAGATGTTTTCTAAAGGTATATAGATGGCAAAGGAAGATGGAGATGATGAATGCCTTTTTTTTCCACCTAGGGGGTGACGCTGCATTTTTCACTGTGTGCTTAGAAATCAAAGCCGGCGCTGTGTGTGTGGCGTGTGGTGTTTGGGTGTATGTGGATTTGTGACTGCTGAAAACGCGCGGTGTGCGTCGCTCGGGGGTATGTGGTGTGCGGGTGTTCCTGATGTGTGGGTGACCCCAGCACGGCGCTCATAACCAGCACCCGGGGCTCTGTAATGGAGAGGGGTTATAGCCAACACTTCCGCATTCGGAAGTCAACAAGCTCATCGCATATAACCTTAAAAAAATTATTCCATAGGTTCCAGGCCCTATGAGACATATCTTCAATCTCTGTCGTACAATTGCTGGTGTGCCATCGGTGTGACTGTGGAATCAGCAGGTGCAACAATGGGAAGATACTCCGTGAAGAGATACAAGACCAAGAGAAGAACGAGGGACTTGGACCTCATCTACGACGACCTGAGCTCGCGCGAGTCGATCATGAAGCTCAAGAACCAGGAACTCGATGAGACCAAGCCTGGCATGGGTCAGTTCTACTGCATCCACTGTGCTAAGCATTTCGAGAACGAGCATGCGATACGAGGCCACTACAAGTCGAAGGTGCACAAGAGAAGACTCAAGGAGCTGAAGTTTAAGCCGTATACTCCGCTGGAGAGTGAAGCTGCCTCCGGGCTGAACGTGAACAAGTTCTTGGAGAGCGTAGAGAAGGCCAAGCAGAGACAGGCAATGGAGCAGGAGCACAAGCAGGAGCTGACGGAGCTGGTTGAGACTAACAACCCGAAGGGGATCATGCTGGAGTCGACGAGCGAGGAAGCACTCGAGGAGAAGGAAGTGGTGATGGCTGATTGAACGGAGGAGGCAGGGAGGGTGCATATATAAGTAGAATTGCAGTATCAACTCTCTAGTTTCCAGTTATTACGTGGGTTTTGGTTTTTAATAATGAATGTGGCTTTCTTAGTTTGTGTGTGTGTGGTTTGTTTTGATTCATTTCTCTCAAGTATATGGTATAAAATGGGTGGTTACACTTCCCCAAAGTTATAATGGCCATGTGTAGACGCATGCTCACTAGCATCACGTTCTCCGTGTAGAACCGTGCCACAGTCGTTGCACTTGATCTTGAAAGTAGAGGTGTTTGTAACGTAACCTTTGTGATTCAGCTGAGCCCCCAGTTCCCTCAGACCTTTGATAAAGGCTTTACCTAGCTCACTCTCCCTGGTGAAGACACAGACATCCAGGTCTTTACAATCGACGTTGCTCAGTGGAGTGAACGCAGCTGTGTCATAGTGGATCCCACTGTACAGGAGCACGATGAACGTTGAGCAGCCTGGATTGAAGTCGTCAATACGGCCATGCTCAACATCAAGTGAGTGTATTGTGATCCCCAGATGCTTTGCGAGTATCTGAAGTTCGATAGCACCACCCCAGCTATTTGGCCTCTGGATCCACTCGGCGTACGAGGACGGCTCCTTGCCGAGAATGGCACTGGAATAGCACACCTCATCGTCACGTATGGCATCGGCAACAACAGAGCGTAGTTGAGAGCCCTCCTCCAGGTTCGCAAACACAGCATACGATATCGACCTGAACAGGCACGAGTTATCATCAGGGACTCTTCTCAGCACACAGTACCCATCCTCAACTCCCACATGGGGAGTTGAGCTTCGTGGCGTATCATCCTGTTCAATTGGCACAATTGGACTCACCGAGGGCTCCTCTAGCACCAACTTCTCCCCGTTGTGGATGCCAACATCCTTCAGTCTCACATTCCCGTCAGCCACGCTGACGGCTCTTGGTGGGAACCCAATTTTGATCCTCACATCACCATATCCCTGCTCCTTGAGCACTTCCAGCAGGCCAGCCACGTTCGCATCGTCGTCAACAGTGACGATGCTCTGTTTGGTGCTGCTCTGTAGCTTCAACCTCATTATATGGAGCCAATTGATATGTGTCAAGCCACGGTGAAGAGCGATAACGTTGTAGGAGGCAGAAGTCCCCTGGCGAGAAAAACCGTAGGCAGGAGCCCCCCCTAGCGAGAAAAACCGCAGGCAGAAGCCCCCCCTGGCGAGAAAAACCATAGGCAGGCCAGGCGGACACACCTTCCAGGCCGGGGAGCTCAGCTCAGCTCAGCTCAGCTCAGCGCAACACAACACAACACAGCACAACACAACACCGCAAAATCACCCCCATGGACCCACCAAAGAGCATCAAACAACTTGCTGGAGAGGCTCACAACTACGAGTTCTCACACGATGTCTCCCCAAAGCTGTACTTAGGCACTGCGATGAGCCTGTGCCGGCACGTATGTCGATGTATTAATCCCCGTGGAGGGCCTCAGTGGGACGTAAACCAATGACCTGGCACTAACAAACACCACGCTAACCGTGATGGTGACTAGGCAGACCTGTATAGAAGTGCCCACTCGTACGAAGACGCGTATGTTCTGTACATCCGGTTCCTCGATCTGCTGATGAATAAGCTGGCAGGGCATCCAGGCGTGAAGAGAGATGCTGCGATGCACAAGAGCTACCTCAAGCTGGTGAAGGAGAGGGCACCAGGGGTGTTTGAAGCTGTTGAGGAGGTGAAGGCGAGGATTGAGGAGAAATTGAGAGCGTATGATGATCGAAAGAAGATGCTTGACGACATTCACAGGAGGGAAGAGGTGTTGAAAGCACAGAGAGTGGCTGATGAAGAGAAGAGACAACAGCAGGAGAGTAGCAGTGGTGATGACCGGGCTGAACTGAGGTCAACGAGCCCGGAATTTGACGATTCGAAGTTCGATGAACACTTGAGGAGGTTCAGAGCAGCTGTTACCAATGCCGTGGACCATCAGTCGCAGGCATCGTACCCTGAGCTTCCACATCTGGTTCATCAGCAGCAGAAGTGGAGCAGCCATCCACCGGTGCCTCCAAAGCCAGCTACAATTGCTGATGAGAGCCATCCACCGATCCCTCCAAAGCTGTCTGAGTCAACGGCTGTGGAGCCACGGACCCACAAGTCGCTGGCAAAGACAGAAGGAGGGAAGCCTCTAAAGACAATCTTCCTGCCATTGAGTCTGGAATCCAAGTTCCTGGACACTGCCATGCCAAACACTCAGAAGAAGTTGGAAACATGTGGCATACTGTGTGGTAAACTCAGCCTTGATGCCTTCTTCATCACCACTTTGGTCATCCCCCAGCAGGAATCTACGGAAAATACATGCCAGACAAAGGATGAGGAGACCATGTTTGAATTCATAGACTCAAAGGACCTATTTGTACTGGGTTGGATCCATACTCACCCGACACAATCATGCTTTCTGAGCTCTATCGACCTGCACACTCATAATGCCTATCAAATCATGCTCCCTGAGGCCATTGCCATGGTGTGCTCTCCCTCAAAGACACCAAGTCTGGGGATCTTCAGACTAACAGACCCGACAGGTATAAACATCATAAGCAAGTGCAATAGAGCAGGATTCCATCCACATGACGAGCATGGATTGTACACGACATGTGATAGAAAACAGCATGCTGGCCATGTCATTACAAAAGATGGCCTACCATTCGAATGTGTTGATTTGAGGAAGCAGTAGAAATGACAAATGACTCTCAGCTTCACCTTACAAGACGTAGTCGATTAGAAAATGGATGGAACTGTATGACGTGTATTATTATCAATAGGTGTAACTCACAACAAGGAGATCTGTAGGCTCATTCAGTCCAGCCTAGCTGAGCCAATTCGGCCCTGACTTTCCCTTCAGTTTCAATCTTGAGAACCTGAGTCTCTTCCAGAGGCTCAGCATTGGCTTGCTTCAGCTTCAGCTGTTCTATGGCCCTAAGCTTCTTCAGCAAGCTTCTAATCTTTTTGTCTTCGATGCTCTGAACACCACCAGCAATCAACGGTTCTGGTGCAGTAGCAGCTTGTTGTGGTGGCTGCTGTTGTGCAGCACCGGCAACAGACTCATCATCCTTGGCTGCCTTCTTGTTCTCTCTCTTCTTTCTGTTTTTGGCAGCAGACTTGCTCTCCTTCTCAGCTGGAGGCGTGAATCCAGGTGGTAACTTTGGAGTTCTAATACCTGGTGGCTTGAAGCCTACCGGTGCACCAGAGTTCCCACCTAGAGACACATTGCTGAGGTTGGCACTCAGCTCTCTCTGGTACAAAGTCTGTGGAGCTGCACTGCTTGCACCATTTGCTCTGGCACGTGGTGGTCTGTAGGCACCCTTTGGCTTTGAGGAAACCTCTGCGGATGACTTAGGATGTGACAGCACGTAGTCAATGGCAGACTGATGTGGAGCTGGGTTCTCATCAAGCCCTCTCAAAGGTGGGAACAAGTCCAATGGACGAGGACGCCAATTGACAGAGTTCACCTCTTTGAACTCTTTGAAGTAGACAAGCTTACCAGATGCGTACCAAATCTTGATGCTGTTATCAACCCTCAATCTTGGAGAAGTGGTAGCAGTCAGGATGAATCGTCCATCAGGACTCCATTGGCACACTGAGGTGTTTGGAGCATCGAAGGAGGCCACTTTGGCAAACTTTTGGGTCCGATCATAGATGTCCACTGTTCCTTGTAGGTTACCAAATCCTGCCACGAGAATGTATTTCGCATGAGGAGAGAACTGGACGGTGTTTCTTGGTGCAGGAGGCAACGAGTAGATTAGATTACCTCTGGCATCAAAGAAAGACGTTTGAGCTGGCATATAACCATAGACGACACCGAATTCACGCGCAGTTGGGGACCAAGTGATATCGTGAATAGGACCTTCTCTGTCTAGGGTGATACGGGAATCATAAGAGCCTGCAATACCCAAGAGGTAAAGCGTCGTCTCACCATAGTAAGATTGGTTTGATGCATCGACATCGGTAGAGGCCAAGGCCAATAGCGCAGTACCCAACGAATTCCACTTCAAAGAGCATCTCTCGGCTTTGAAGAACGTTTTAGATGAGACAGGTTGCGTGATCTTCGTTGAGATGTTCCAGACAGAGACGTTGGCTGGCTTACCTTGCTTCTCTGGGACAAAAGTTGCAATTGTAGGGTTCTTTCCTGGAGACATTTGGAAAGATGCAACGTTATCTATTTTGAGAACTGACCATGCTCTTGACAAGTTCGAGCAGTTGTTGACCTCGTAGAATCTGATCTCGTTCTTGAAGAGCTTTGCAAGAACAGTTTCATCCGATGTGAACGATGGTGCCCAGCCAGATTGATCTCTGGCCAAGTACTTGACGGCTATGGAGCCGGCCTTGACGTTGTAGATGTTAACATTGTCGGCGTAGTTTCCACTGCCGTCTTCGCTCTTGACAGGTCTCTGCCAGATACAGAGATACGAGCCCTTTGGAGAGAAATGCAAATCAAATGGATCTTGAATGTCAAGCTTAGACACAACAGAGCCATCTTCTGGGTTGAGAATCGTCACGCCTGAAGGTTGAGTGAAGGCAAAGTATTGGCCATTTGGAGAATACAGCGCCTGGCGAACGTCATGGGACAGCTTCTCGATGCCTGGGACTTCAGTATACGACGGAGCAGCGTCTATGAGACCCACAAGCTTTGGTGCTCGGTAGTAGAGTTGCGTCAATGCAGTGGCCATTATCTATTGATCAACGGTGTATGGGGAGATGCCTGGGTGTATTAGCGTGTAACTTTGTACGAGTGTCCGACGGTGAGATGGCTTATGATGTGCTAACGGGCCCTCTGTCGCTTTATGCCTCGCTATTAATGTCTGTCTCTTTATGTCTCTCTGCAAACTTCAAGATGGGACAGTGATGTAGCTGATACCAAAAACAGAGATGATCGGAATATGGATCAAGGTATAGAAATAGCGTACAATAAACGATGAGAAGATCAAAACCTGTGTGTGTCTGCCTCTTCTTCTATCGCTTTTCGATGATCAAAAGAGAATTCCTGAGAGTGTTTCCTGGTGGTTCGCTCAAGAGTGTTCGAAGACCAATGCCGACGTTTTTCGCCAACCAAAATCCACAAAAAAAACACAACGAAAAAGTCGCCAATCCAGCGACGTTTCCCGCGAATTGCGAACTGCGAACTGCGAACTGCGAATTGCGAACTGCGATGGGCGAAAACCGAAAACCGAGGGCCGAAAAAAAGTCAGACCGAATGCTGCTGCGCCTACCGTTGCAGCATTGGTGTCCGGATGTTGTCGGGCGAGACTCGGCTTCTGGGCAAAGTGCTGTGTGTGGGTGTTCTCCCCATGGTGGATGGGCCTAGCAGCTTGAGGATGAGCTCGCTATGAGAACCAGCTGAGACAGTGTAATGTGGCGAGTTTATGAGTTGCAACATCCTTGGGCCAGCGCTCGGGTGGATCTCGTTTGGCATGTCGGCCGGCCCTCAGAGACTAAACCATTCTGCAGTCCTGCTGTGTACGTAGCGGTGCGTCGACTGACCTCACAACGTCTTACAAATACAATCATCGCAAGTGGGTCCGGGAATTTTTTGAAGAGAGTTTACGCGTAAGCTCTTGCGTCGGAATTCACCAAATTATCATGCCATAAGGCCCATTATGTGTTGTATGGAGGCCGATTTAACAGCTGTCGTCTTCAGCTGTTGCTCAGTGTCGTGTAGGTCCCCCCAAATCAATGGATAGGCCAATACTCTGCCGACTGGGAAACGTTGTGTATGTTGAAAGTACAAAGCGCGTAAAATTACAAATGTTTGTTGCAGGCCAGCAAAACATGGAGTGAGGACGGAAGACTCGACAACATCCACTCGAAAGGGGTTTCCCTTTGTTGTGTGTTTTTGTTGACACGGGTCACTTGAGGTTGGAGAGCAATCTTTCCGATTGCCGATGCGTGCTAGATTGTAGCTGAATACCTGAATTGACTTATAGCAACGAGAAGCTTATCAGCCCTGCATTGTTTTTCGCGTTGAGCTGAGTGCACTGTCATCCCCAGCACGGGAAGGGAGAGGGACTTCCAATAAGCCATGCCAGCAGCAGCAATACATACTGGACCAGGTAGTATGCCCGCGTTCAAATTGCAGAGGACGTCGAACAAACAACGGGTTGCACGCCGAACACAGCCTTGGACGAGCTTTAGCCAACACCCATAGTCAAGCAGTCATTGGCCCACGAGCTGTGCTACACTGTGCTTGTAAATTTACATAGGTGTTAATCCGTGGAACTTGGCAATTCGGCTGCGTTACAAACAGAGTGGTCTTTATCTCTTATCGAAACTGCTTAACAACTGGTGCGAAGGTTCATAGCGTTGATCTATAGAATGCTGTGAATAGTAGGCATTCTTTGGTTGTGTGGTGCCTGGATCAAACTTGTTTCAGGTTTACGCGACAGCGTCTTTCGCGCAAAAAGAAACCACAAGCAGAATGAGAGCAGAGTAGCCGAGAGTTGAGGGTCGAGACACCAGTGCTTCTAAAAATAGGTGACGTCAAATGCATGCAAAAAAGCCCTACTCCTTTCCAAAAATGGAAGTGAAGAATGCAAAGGATCCAAAAATTGCGCCTATTCCGGCAATGCACTTTTGAAAACGCAAAAAAATTCCCAGAGAATTTCGCCCGAGAGGTGAATCTTGAGGAAAAAAGCGCGCGTGAAAAAGAAAAAATGAACATTCGCGAGTCTCATGGGCGAACAAAAAAATTTTTAGAACCGCGTTTCAAGGCGAAAATCAAGGGAAAAAGTCCCGAAAGTCCCAAAGGCTTCGCGCAACTCAGCGAAATTCGTGTACAACTCCACAAAGGGAAAGCCAACAAAGTCTATTTCTTGTTTTCGGCCTAGCTTCCTGCAACTTTTATACGCGTAATTTTCTTTTTTTCGGTCTCTTAGACCCATCAAGTCCCTAATGAGGTCGCTTTTTTTCGCTTCCCTTGATTTCGATCCCCTTAGTACGTTCACAGACGTTTAACTGGATTCAATTCCTCTCTCTCTCTTTCTTTCCTTTTCTTTTCCATTCATCTGTCCTCAACAACGCCCTTTAAGAACAACCCAAGTGGAGATTTATTCAAACACGGAATCAACTTTCGTTCAATCAACTGCTTGGTGTTTTTATTCTCAGTTCATCCTGCTTGCTGCTCACGAAGTGTTTGTGTGTGCATCTTTTTCCTTCTTGTTTGCTTCGCCCTTTCCATTGTTTATTTACACTTGAAAGTTGCAACGAAGAAGAACCGGAAAGTACCAGAGAACTTGATTTGATCTGCGTGTGTGTTCTTTTGCTATCGCTGATATACATCGATCTTTTCCTGAATCGCTCCCCCAGCTTGTTCACGGAGAAGTTTGCTTTGAAGGGTATACACTGATTCCATCGTCCTGCCGAGAATCAACTTCCAGAAACAGAGCAACGTTTTGATCCGGAAAGTAAGTTGATCTTCGTCCCAACGCAACGTTTTGCTCTCCTGTGGTTCAACTCAACTAACACATTCACTCATAGAACCCTTTTTCGGTCTCCCATAAACGCGTTTCTACTGCTTGAGCTTCAGTTTTTGATTTGGTTTGATATTTTCACCACCCGGTGTTTTTGTTGCCTCGGTGATCCTTTAAGCGTGATTTAGACTATAGCGTGTCCGACCATGTCTAACAACAACAACTACAACTACAACGACCAATACCAAGGTCAAGATCAAGGTAACGACCAGTACAACGATCAGCAGTACAATGACCAACAGTACCACGATCAACAGTACAACGACCAACAGTACGGCGATCAGTACCAGTACGACAGTGCTAACCATCAGGACCCTTACTACGGTAACGAAGGTTACCATGCCTCTCAGGAGGGCTTGAACCAAGGTGAGTACTACGACCCACAAAATGATGGCTCTTATTACAACCAAGGTTACGATAGCCAGGGTTACTACGACCAGCCAAGAGGCGTTGCTGACAACGATGGGAACTTTTCTGACTTCTCATACGGTGGTCCAAACCCTCCAGGTACCCCTGGTTATGACTACGGCACCCAGTACACACCATCTCAGATGAGTTACGCGGGTGGTAGATCCTCTGGTGCATCCACACCAATCTACGGCTCTCAAGGAGTATTTGATCCTTCACAAATTGCCGTTGCTTTGCCAAACGAGCCATATCCAGCTTGGACTGCTGATCAACAAGCACCAGTGTCTATTGAGCAAATTGAAGATGTGTTTATCGATTTGACTAACAGATTTGGTTTCCAAAGAGATTCCATGAGAAACATGTTTGACCATTTCATGACCTTGTTGGATTCCAGATCTTCCAGAATGTCACCAGCACAGGCCTTGCTCTCTTTACACGCTGATTACGTTGGTGGTGACACTGCCAACTACAAGAAGTGGTACTTTGCTGCCCAACTCGACTTGGATGACGATGTTGGTTTCAGAAACATGAACTTGGGTAAGCTCTCAAGAAAGGCTAGAAAAGCGAAGAAGAAGTCCAAGAAGACTAAGAAGGCTGTTGAAGAAATAGGTGCTGAAAACACTGAGGAGACTTTGAACGCCTTGGAAGGTGACAACTCTTTACAGGCCGCTGACTACAGATGGAAGGCAAAGATGAACAAGCTCACTCCATTGGAACGTGTTCGTCAAATTGCCCTCTACTTGCTCTGTTGGGGTGAGGCTAATCAAGTGAGATTCACTCCAGAGTGTCTCTGTTTTATCTTCAAGTGTTCTTTGGATTACCTCGACTCCCCAGCTTGTCAGCAACGTGCTGAGCCAGTTCCAGAAGGTGACTATTTGAACAGAGTCATCACCCCATTGTACCGTTTCATTAGAGCTCAAGTCTATGAAATCGTCGATGGTCGTTACGTCAAGCGTGAACGTGACCACAACAAGATCATTGGTTATGATGATGTTAATCAATTGTTCTGGTACCCAGAAGGTATTGCCAAGATTGTCTTTGAGGATGGTTCAAGATTAGTTGACCTTGCCCCAGAAGACCGTTATGTCAGATTAGGTGAAGTTGCCTGGGACATGGTGTTCTTCAAGACCTATAAGGAAATCAGAACTTGGTTCCATTTGATTACCAACTTCAACCGTATCTGGGTTATCCATGGTTCTTTCTACTGGTACTATATGGCTTATAACTCTCCTACTTTGTACACGCACAACTACCAACAATTGGTGAACAATCAACCTCTGGCTGCTTACAGATGGGCTTCTGCAGCTTTGGCTGGTACTTTTGCTACTTTCCTCCAGTTGTGTGCTACCATTTGTGAATGGTTCTTTGTCCCAAGAAAATGGGCTGGTGCTCAACATTTGTCGCGTCGTTTCTGGTTCCTTATTCTCATCTTTGCTGTCAATTTAGGTCCTATCATCTTTGTCTTTGCCTATGATCCAATCACTGTCTACTCGAAAGCGGCTTTGGTGGTTTCCATTGTGATGTTCTTTGTGTCTGTTGTTACGGTGATCTTCTTCTCCGTCATGCCATTGGGTGGTTTGTTCACATCTTACATGGGTTCCAACAACAGAAAGTATGTTGCTTCTCAGACATTCACGGCGTCCTTCTATTCACTGCAAGGGCTTGACATGTGGATGTCTTACCTATTGTGGGCAACAGTCTTTGGTGCTAAGCTTTCAGAGTCTTACTTCTTCTTGATTCTGTCTATGAGAGATCCAATTAGAATTTTGTCCACTACTGATATGAGATGTACTGGTGAATTCTGGTGGGGAAACACTCTTTGTAAGGAACAAGCCCGTATTACTTTGGGTTTGATGTACTTCAATGACTTGGTCTTGTTCTTCTTGGATACCTACTTGTGGTACATTGTCTGTAACTGTGTTTACTCTGTCGGTCGTTCCTTCTACTTGGGTATTTCTATTTTGACCCCATGGAGAAATATCTTCACCAGATTGCCAAAGAGAATCTACTCCAAGGTGTTAGCAACCACTGATATGGAGATTAAGTACAAGCCAAAGGTCTTGATTTCTCAGGTTTGGAATGCCATTATCATTTCCATGTACAGAGAACACTTGCTTGCCATTGACCACGTTCAGAAATTGCTGTACCACCAAGTTCCTTCTGAGATTGAAGGTAAGAGAACTTTGAGAGCACCAACTTTCTTTGTATCTCAAGATGACAACAACTTTGAGACAGAGTTCTTCCCAAGAAACTCTGAAGCTGAACGTCGTATCTCTTTCTTTGCTCAGTCCTTGGCTACCCCAATTCCGGAGCCATTGCCTGTTGATAACATGCCAACTTTCACTGTTCTTACACCACATTACTCTGAAAAGATTCTTTTGTCTTTGAGAGAAATTATCAGAGAAGATGATCAATTCTCTCGTGTTACATTGTTGGAGTACTTGAAGCAGTTGCACCCAGTTGAATGGGACTGTTTCGTCAAGGATACCAAGATTTTGGCTGAGGAGACTGATGCTTATGAGAACAATGGTGAAGAGGAGAAGGATGAGAACGTCTTGAAGTCCAAGATTGATGATCTGCCATTCTACTGTATTGGTTTCAAATCTGCTGCTCCAGAATACACCTTGCGTACTCGTATCTGGGCTTCTCTAAGATCTCAGACCTTGTATCGTACTGTTTCCGGTTTCATGAACTACGCCCGTGCTATCAAGTTGTTGTACAGAGTTGAGAACCCGGAAATTGTTCAAATGTTTGGTGGTAATGCCGAAGGTTTGGAGAGAGAATTGGAAAAGATGGCTAGAAGAAAATTCAAGTTTGTTGTTTCTATGCAAAGATTGACCAAGTTCAAGCCTGAAGAATTGGAGAATGCTGAATTCTTGCTTAGAGCCTACCCTGATTTGCAAATTGCCTACTTGGACGAAGAGCCTCCTCTCAACGAGGGTGAAGAACCAAGAATCTACTCTGCACTTATCGATGGACACTGTGAAATCCTTGAGAATGGTCGTCGTAGACCAAAGTTCAGAGTCCAATTGTCTGGTAACCCAATTCTTGGTGATGGTAAGTCTGATAACCAGAACCATGCTTTGATCTTCTACCGTGGTGAGTACATCCAGTTGATTGATGCTAATCAAGATAACTACTTGGAAGAGTGTTTGAAGGTTAGATCTGTCTTGGCTGAATTTGAGGAATTGAACATTGAACAAGTCAACCCATATGCTCCAGATTTGAGATTTGAGGAACAAGTTACCAACCACCCTGTTGCTATTGTCGGTGCCAGAGAGTACATTTTCTCTGAGAACTCTGGTGTTCTCGGTGATGTTGCTGCCGGTAAGGAACAAACATTCGGTACTTTGTTTGCCAGAACTTTGTCTCAAATTGGTGGTAAGCTCCATTATGGTCACCCTGATTTCATCAACGCTACTTTCATGACCACCAGAGGTGGTGTCTCTAAGGCTCAAAAGGGTTTGCATTTGAACGAAGATATCTATGCTGGTATGACTGCTATGTGCCGTGGTGGTCGTATCAAACATTCTGAATACTTCCAGTGTGGTAAGGGTAGAGATTTGGGTTTCGGTTCTATCTTGAATTTCACAACCAAGATTGGTGCTGGTATGGGTGAACAAATGTTGTCTCGTGAATACTACTACTTGGGTACTCAACTGCCAATTGACAGATTCCTTTCCTTCTTCTACGCGCATGCCGGTTTCCACATTAACAACCTGTTCATTCAATTGTCTTTACAAGCCTTCTGTTTGACCTTGATTAACTTGAACTCTTTGGCTCATGAGTCTATCTTGTGTTCATACAACGTCAACACTCCAATCACTGATATTTTGTACCCTATTGGTTGTTACAACTTTGCTCCTGCTATCGATTGGATCAGACGTTACACTTTGTCTATTTTCATTGTGTTCTTCATTTCCTTTGTTCCAATTGTTGTTCAAGAGTTGATTGAGCGTGGTGTTTGGAAAGCCACTCAGAGATTCTTCCGTCATTTGTTGTCTTTGTCTCCAATGTTCGAAGTGTTTGTTGGTCAGATTTACTCTTCCTCCTTGTTGACTGATATGTCTGTTGGTGGTGCCCGTTATATTTCTACTGGTCGTGGTTTCGCTACTGCTCGTATTCCATTCTCTGTCTTGTACTCCAGATTTGCCGGTTCTGCTATCTACATGGGTGCTAGATGTATGCTTATGATTTTGTTTGCTACTATTGCTCATTGGCAACCAGCTCTTCTGTGGTTCTGGGCTTCCTTATCTTCTTTGATCTTTGCTCCATTCATCTTCAACCCACATCAATTCGCTTGGGATGATTTCTTCATTGATTACAGAGATTTCATCAGATGGTTGACAAGAGGTAACAACAAATGGCATAGAAACTCTTGGATTGGCTACGTCAAGATGTCAAGATCTCGTATCACTGGTTTCAAGAGAAAAGTCTTGGGCGTTGAATCTGAGAAATCTGCTGGTGACTCTGCAAGAGCCCACCGTACCAACATTATGTTTGCCGATGTTATTCCAACCACGCTCTACGCTGCTGGTGCCTTCATTGCCTTCACTTTCATCAATGCTCAAACTGGTGTTAAAGATGCTGAAACCGTGAACTCTGTCATCCGTGTGATTATTTGTACACTTGCACCAATCGCCATTGACCTAGGTGTCTTGTTCTTCTGTTTGGGTATGTCCTGTTGTGCTGGTCCAATGTTGGGTATGTGTTGTAAGAAGACTGGTTCTGTCATGGCTGGATTTGCTCATGGTGTTGCAGTTGTTGTGCACATCATCTTCTTCATTGTTATGTGGGTCCTTGAAGGATTCAACTTTGTTAGAATGTTGCTTGGTATGGTGACTTGTATCTACTGTCAAAGAGTGATCTTCAAGTTCATGACTGCTTTGCTTTTGACCCGTGAGTTCAAGAACGATAATGCCAACGTTGCCTTCTGGACCGGTAAGTGGTATGGTAAAGGTATGGGTTGGGCTGCTTTCACCCAACCATCCAGAGAACTCGCTGCTAAGGTGATTGAATTGTCTGAATTTGCTGCTGACTTTGTCTTGGGTCACGTTATCCTGTTTGTGCAGTTCCCATTGGTTTGTGTTCCACTCATTGATAGATGGCACTCTGTGATGCTGTTCTGGTTGAAGCCATCCAGACAGATTCGTCCACCAATCTACTCTTTGAAACAAGCCAAGTTGAGAAAGCGTATGATTAAGAAGTACTTGTCCTTGTACTTGTTGATTTTGATCATCTTCGTTGCTTGTATTGCCGGTCCTGCTGCTGCTTCAAGTCACGTCTCTAAGGATTTGGGATCCACATTGACCGGTGCCTTCAGCAACTTGGTCCAACCAAGAGGTTTGAGCAACAACGATACTGGTCCATCCTTCTCATCTCTATCGCACTACTACACCTCTACTCCATCTCTTTCGACTTGGTCCACCAAGGCTTGATTTTGGTATGGGAATTTGCATACTGGATGAGGTCATTTTGTACACTATTATTCCTTCTTGGTCGGGTTGGTAAGTTGTCTCGTGTTCTGTGATGGACTTGTGTTATTTGTTGGTCTCCATTCGTTGATGCCATTGGGTGTGACTTTCCAAGGGGGACTTTATGATAGAGGAATTCACCCAATGCGTCACGCTCAGTGATACCTCACAAAACATCCGAACAATGCATCAATCTGACTGCTTTCTATTATGACGACTTCTTTTCAATTATTCTTTTACATATGTATGGTCATTTCTTTGCATCAATGGTGTAGTTTACCGATGGTTGGAGATGAGCTGAGGGAGAGTGTCGAAACACCCGGACACCTAATCATCCGGACATCTAAACACCCGCACATCTGTACATCCACACACCCGCACACCACATCCGTTCCACAAAAACTTCAAAGACAAACAAAACATAAACAAAGAACCGTGTTTTACCTTCCAAAGACAACATCAACATCAACAAAGACGCCACATCAGAGCTCCCACAAGATGTCGACGAAGGAACAACTCACCTTAACGAAGAGGATTCGCGGACTGTATCAAGAGCTCTTTGACCTCACTGACCCGGAGTCAGGAGAACCGATCCAGTACATCTTCAACGTTGTTCCTGACAAGAAGCACTACCCTGATTACTATACTTTTATCAAGGCGCCAACCTCGTTCAACTCGATAAAGAAGCGTCTGAACCATTACCAAAGCCCAAATGAGTTCATCAAGGACCTCGTTCAGATCGTGTGGAACGCACGCACCTATAACGAGAAGGAGTCCTTTGTTTGTCGTTATGCTCAGGTCCTGGATGACTTCATCAAGAACAGGGTGATGCCCAAGTTCGCCAGTGCTGGATACGATGTTGGGTATCCAGATCTGTCTCCTATAGAGGAAGGCAGTGCTGGTGTGTTGCTTCCATACAACTATGGTAAGGAGAGACAGTCAACGCCATCGCCTACCCCAGTGATGCATCAACAGACCATGCGTCTTATTACTACTACTCCACGTTCTGTCTCGAGGGCGTCTGTCAGATCCACGCCAATGCACGACGAGGAGTACGAGGAGGAGGAAGAGGTTGTCAAGAAACGCTACACACACAAGGAGCAGAGTTTCAAAAGAGGTAGACCTCCTGTGATTGATAAACCGTATGAACAGAGAATCAAGAACGTTTTGAGAAACTTGAGAAGGGAAAAGGGTGTTGAAGGTGATTCTCTCACTCTTTTGTTTGAAAGATTGCCAGACCCAAGAGATTATCCGGACTACTACAAGAGCATTACGCAACCAATATCTCTAGATGAGATTAAGAAGAAAATCAAGCAGAGAAAATACAAGGAGGTTGAGCCTTTTGTCCAGGATATGAAACTGATGATCGCCAATGCCAAATACTATAATGATGAATCCTCCACTGTCTATAAGAATACACTGCTATTGGAGAAGTGGTTTGTCAGGTTCTTGGAGGCTGAGATGAAGAAACCAGACTCTGATTTCATCTCACACGATTCTCTTAAATTACCATTGGAACAATTAGAACTTCGTGGAAAGCTCTACAAAATCGGAGATTGGATCTTGATCAATAACCCAAACGATGCTCAGAAGCCTATAGTTGCCCAACTATTTAGAATATGGCAGACACAGGATGGACAACGTTGGATCAATGTTTGTTGGTATCTACGTCCGGAACAGACTGTTCATAGAGTTGATCGTTTATTCTACGACAATGAAGTGTTCAAATCAGGTCAATACCGTGACCACTTGGCAGATGAGATCTTGGGTAAGTGTTATGTTGCGTATTTCACCCGTTATCAACGTGGTGATCCAGCAATCCCGTACGAGGGGCCATTGTTCATCTGTGAATACCGTTACAACGACAATGATAAGAACTTCAATAAGATCCGTACATGGCGTGCATGTTTGCCAGATGAAATCCGTGACCATGAGGACCCAATCACTCCTTTACCTTCACTACGTCGTTTCAAGAAAATTGAATCCCCGTTGAAACACTTGCTTCCACCAAATGCAACGCCTCATATGCCTATACCTGAACCAATTATTGGGGCACCAAATGCACCACCACTCCACGGTGCCGTTTACCTTCGTGATGTTGATCCAACCGATGATTTGGGCCAGTATGCGAGTTCCAGAAACTGTCCTAAATACATCATTCGTCCAAATGACCCACCAACGGATGAGAACGACGCAAGCCTCAATACTCCTCTGGGTAACTACACTAGAAATGTTGTCAGCCATCCCCAACCACCAGCTCCAGTTTACCATGCAACCCCCTCCCTCACTACAGTGTCCACGGCGTCAACATTTACCGTGCCAATCGCCCTTGAAACTGCCACCTCTGGTGTATTAAAGATGGACGTTATGAGTAACAAGAGACGCTTGGGAGGGCTTGATGTGCACAGCGAAGGTCCAGTGATATGGTTCAAGACACCAGGTGTTCTGATTCCAAATAGAACCGTGGTGAACGTTTGTGGAGATTTTGGCCAGGCAGACGAGGATGGTCAAGTGAATGAAACCATTCCCGGCTCAGGCCTCGCTGGTGTTGTGAGACCTGGTAACTCAGCTGCATACCTTGCTTGGAAGAAGCAGAAACTTGAAGGATAAGAGGCTTGCGTGTGTTATGGTTCTTACACTTGTAATAATCAAGGTTATACAGAAAATCAATTCGTACTTTATAAAACAGCTTGCGTAAGATACATGAAAAGTGCAATAAAGGTTGCAATTCTAGTCAAAGATACCCCAGTATTGTTCAACGCCATAAGAACCTGGGTCTTTCCACAAGTCGTTGAATGTAGTGAAGAGTAGTACTTGGTCAGCAACAGTGTCTGCAATGCTTTGCAAAGCCAACTCTTGGTTGGCCTTTGATGGAACACAAGATTGGTAGGCAGATCCTTGAGTTGGCCAGCCAGTTTCAGTGATGAGCACATCCTTTACACCACCACAGATGCTCTTGATGTTTGAGATTTGGGTCTGAAGCCAAGTACCAGAGTTTTCTGGTGACACATTACCGTCCCAAAATGGATGGGAGTTTACAGCGATGAAGTCGGAGTATTCACAAAGAACTGGGTTGTTCTGCACAGCAACGAGGGTATCGACAGAGACAACGGTTCCTGTGTAGCCGATGTTAGTGAGGGCAGATCTAGCAGAGTCCACAGCGGTTTTGATTTGGTCTGTTGTTGCTTCGCCATTATTAACCAATTCATTACCAACGGAGACGGTATAGACATCGCTCCAATCAGAGATGGACTCAGAAATTATCTGAACAGAAGCATCAATCTTGTCCAAGTAGTAAATACCCAAGAAGAGCTTTTGAGATGATGTCTTTGCATCCAGGACGTTTTTGATACAGTCACAGTCGGTGTCGTAGAGTCTGATGATGTCGAACTCGGTCAAGAGTGCGATATCAGAGGCAACATCTGATGCAGACTTACAAGTCCCGGAGTCTGTATAAGGAGAATAAGTGATACCCTTAGCTCTTGCGTCAGAGGCTGAGTCTGTAGAAGATGCAGAGGCAGAGGCAGCTGATGAAGTTGAGGTTGAGCTAGAAAGAGAAGCGGCATCAACAGAGCTTGAAGAAGAGACAACAGCATCGCTTGAGACGGCATCGCTTGAGACGGCATCGGCTGAGGAGACGTAAGATGGTGTCAATGTGGTCAACGTCACAAAAGAACTTGATGGCACGTAAGTACTCGATGATTGTTGAACAAAAGCGGACGCATCTGATAATGGAACAGCATCTGCACCCACTGTTACGACATGTGTCACAACAACCGTCGTGGCATCTCTCTTTCCGTGCTGATGGTGCTCGTGCTCAACAGCAGCAGCAACGCCCACCAGCGCAGTAATGAACGGGAGTGTGAATTTCATTGTATTCTTGGTCAAATGAACGGAATTGAGGGGGGTATTGTAAGGAGGGAATGTGAAGTTCAGACGACGAGCTGCCTTGGACAATTCTCTTAAACAGAGGTGTATATACAGATCAATGTTCCAGTTCAAACTGTACTGTAGGATTGAAGAACAGGATCCGCTGTCGTCTTTATATACACTCGCACCCAGAATTCCAGCACCTTTGAAGAAAAAGCTTCAAAGCTCTGGTGTGACGTATTCTACATCCGTGTTGTTTATATGATCTCTGTTCTAGATCAAGCAGACGGCCATGCACGATCTGCGTCTCTGCGCGTCTGAGGTGCATGCCTGCTGCAAATTGTTATATGAAGCGCGTTTTTAGAAACTCCTGTTCCCGGTGTCTGGCAAAATTAGCAGTGTTGGATGTGTTTCACAGGTGAAGACGTGTTTCAATTGGAGCAGTTGTTCCCGTCCTAGTGTCGTCAAACAAGCATAATCAGCTCTACAGTGTGAGCCACTGAAGATATTTCCAGCTCCCCCCTCCACGTGATCAGTTCCTTGTCCTTTAAAGCGTGATTTGGTATACACCACCACGCTATCTGCCCCCTTTCAAAATTGGCTTTTGTTCCTGATGCGTGTGCTCACTTTCAGAAAGCACAACAACAGCATGAAAGGCGTAAGGTATGTGCCTTTGGGAATTACCTGTGGACGCAGACGATGAGGCAATGTGTCAATCTTTGTCTGCTGAATGGGCGCAGCCTGGAATGGTTTCTACAGTTGCGGGAATCACACAGTGGGCAAGACTATTGTCTGCTAGCTTCCACGCCAACCTTTGGGGTTAAACTCCTATGGAAAGAGCACTTTTAAAGGACGCGTTGAGAAGGAGAAGGAGTAGATAAACACACACACAGCCCACAGAGAGATGGACAAATACGTCATAGGTACAGGATCTAAAACCACGTTGTGACAGAACAAAGGCACGCGTGGAAGACTGTTGGGAACGTCGTTGCTGGGACACATATCACACGCCGCGAGGTGTGGTGGTATAAAGTATGAGAGTTATCGTGTCTTCTCCCCAAGCCTTTACTTTCATCGTGGAATTTGAAAGGAAGCAAATGCCCAGTCTCTAAGCCAAGTTTTATATCACCGTGGTTTCAGCTCTTTTCACACTGGGAGGATGCCTGGGCAGGAGGAATGAAAGGGCACAACAGGGCTTCGAACTGGCTTATGAAATAAGCTGGATGGCTTAGAAGGATAAACCCAGCCTAACAAGCCCAGCCTAATAACCACAGCCTAATAAGCCCAGCCTAATAACCACAGCGCAATAACCACAGCGCAATGTGTACTTCACCTCAGTTACTTCCAGCCTAAACGATCCAGACCTTCCCCTTCCAATTGCCGAGAGTGGCATTAGGTTCACACACTGCAGAGCCTTAGAACCTTATGAAGGGCTTTGGCAATTGCCGGTGCGTTGAGGAAACTACATCAAAAGCCACGTTCATATACCTGTAGATGTTTCAGAATTGTATGTGTGTACTGTTTCGTACATGGCGATTGAAACCAAATTATTCAATAACGGTATGTAATCTGCGTCCCCCTGATCTAGGCTTGATCGCAGTTTGAAAGGACCGGAACTATGGTGATGTTCTCCAGTGAAGCATGGAACAGATCACAAGCAGATCGATCTGCTTGTATTAACCTCTTGTGGAACTAAAGGCACCTCCTAGTTGTGCGTGAACTTCCCTGGATTCCACTTCATTCGTTGGTAGCTTTTACGCTGCGAGTTACGGTGAAGGCTCGAGTTATCAATGCCATGCTTGTTTCCTCCATTGGCTCATTTACAACAGGTGCCCGCCACGGGAACTACACCAATCACTATGATTTAGAAACTTTTTTGTCATTAAATAAAACCAGAAAGTGAAAGAAAACCCTCCAAACATTACATTTAAGCGGAGGTCATAACTTGCCAGACACGGATGATAGAATCAGTGTAACCAGCGAACAAGTTTTGACCATCAGCAGACCAAGCAATGGAGACGGCTTCTGGGTCTCTAGCCTTACCGGAGGTGGCGAACTCTGGCTTGAGCTCGTCAACAACCTTGTACTCCTCCAAGTCGAAGATCTTGATGGAAGAAGCGGTGGCAGCAGTCAACCAGTATCTGTTTGGAGAGAAGGCCAAAGCGTGGACCTCGTCACCAGCAGCAAGGGTGTAAAGAGCCTTTTGCTCCTTCAAGTTCCACAACATGATGGAACCGTCCTTACCAGCAGAGGCAACCAAAGTTCCATCTGGGGAGATGGTGATGGTGGAGACGTAACCGGTGTGACCAATGTAGTCACCGGTCAAAGCGTACTTGTCCAAGTCCCAAGACTATTTCAGAAAAACACTGTTAGTAACATTCAAGTAAAAAGAGATGACTGTTATCCTCCACTCTTGCGTCGTAATTGTAAAACATCAGAGATCTTGGTGATTGGTAAATGTCTCATTCGAAGCTGGCAAGCAACGTCTGAAGTAGCAAATATGTGTAACATCATGTGAACCACGCAAAAGTAACAAGAAAACAGTTAACTGAGGATTAACTCCCTCAAGAAAAAAAAACATACCTTAACAAGCTTATCCCAACCAGCAGAAACAACAACTGGAGAGTCACTTGGAGAGAATCTAACAGAGGAGACCCAGTCGGAGTGACCTCTCAAAGTGGACATACAGGTACCAATGACGTTCCAGACCTTAACAGTCTTGTCACGGGAAGCAGAGACGATTTGTCTGGAGTTCTTAGCAATGGAAACAGACAAGACATCACCCTCGTGACCAACAAAGGTTTGGGTGGTCTCACCAGTGCTCAAGTTCCACAATCTCAAAGTTCTATCCCAAGAAGCAGAGAGAGCGAAGGCACCATCTGGGGAGATGACAGCGTCTTGAACAATGTGGGAGTGACCCTTAAGAGACTTCTTTGGAACACCGTATTGTTGGTCATCACGGGTCAATTCCCAGGTGATCAAAGTCTTATCACGGGAACCAGACAACAAAAGGTCTGGTTGAGCATCACTGGTGGAAAGGGATGTGACCCAACCGTTGTGACCTTCCAAGGTACCTCTCAAAACCAAAACTTCTTTACCAGACATTGCGTAAACTGTGTTGATATCACAAGAAAAGTCTTCTCTTCAGTCTTGAGCAGATGGAAAAGTTGGTGAACATGTTGAAGTTTTTCACCTGTGAGTGTGCGTGTGTGTTGCGCCGAACCGAAAACGTTTGCGACTTGGGTGTGCGATTGGTTGGGGACACATTTCATTTGTTAGGTATAAGAGTTACTGAGGGCAATGTATGGGGCTTAAGTAAATTTCAGCACGCTGGTGCTCGGATGTGAATTCTACCAGTCACATATCAAAACATCCAGACATCACGTTTTGCTTATGTAATCCCCATATTTTCTACGGCTGGTGTTGTTCTCCAAAAGAAAGACCGCAGTCGATGTTGATGATATCTGAACACGAGTCACTTCAGTTCAATTCACATCAGTTCGATCCAGCCATGGCCTCTGAGGAACAAGACCCATTTGTACAAGAGAGATTGGAGTCCTTGCACAACGTTGATACCGTGAGTTGAGACTGTATCGTTGTGTCCGTATGGGGAGAGAGAGCTAACAACGTCACCGTTAGGAGTTGGTATCGATTCTGAACCATGCTTCTCTAGCACTTAGCAGCCTGACAAGCATGAAGAGGAATGCGTCTGATAAGGAAGAACTGGAAAAGATCAAGCAAGAGTTTGCACGGGAGATTGATGGCTTTTACAAGAACCTGGAACAGTCAACCATTGGATTGAAGAAGGAAATCAAGATATTAGACGAGAGAATCGGAAAGACCGATGCTAATGGCATAACAATGTCACCAATTACAATCAGCAAGAAGGCTACATGGGCAGGGTCGGAAAAGCTCAAATCAGAGCTGGATCATATAGATTCGCTGTTAGACTAAAGGCGAAAGGGCGACAGAACACGCACACGCTAAATAGCATCAGTCTCAAAAGGATATGTTGATCAATTTGGCGTCACGGTCACTGGTGAAACCAACGTATAACCCATACATGGCAACAATTCCAATCACTGCTTTGAACGCTGCGGATTTGAAACTGACGATCTTACCAGTCCTCGCAAAGGTCTTGAAGGGAACCGTGGCAAATCTGGCCAAAGTGGCATCAAAGTTCGAAATTGGCCTATATCTGGCATCCAATAGAATCTCTGTCCACCAAGGTTGCTTAATGATGGCACGCTCATGAGAGAATGCCCTGAACGAATCATGGCCATGGTATTGGCCATAACCAGAGGTTCCAATACCACCAAACGGCAACTGTGGCATACCAACGTGCATAACAGCATCGTTTTGCATGAATCCACCAGAACGTATACGCTGTTGAATTAGCTTAGACTCGTTTTTCGAATCAGTAAACGCATACAACGCCAACGGAGTATCGTGGTTCTTAATGACAGATTCGATAGCACTCTCCAACGACTTGTACTTGAGAAGTGGCAAGATTGGAGCAAACAACTCATCAGTCATTGTGGAATCGTGCCATTCGACATTCTCCAACAACGTTGGATGGATGAAGCGTTCGTCAGCATTGTGTTCGCCAGAGTACAAGACCGTGGCCTTGGTGGAGTCCAAGAGAGACAGGATACGCTTCACGTTTCGACCATTGACAATCTTTGTATAGTTATCCGCGTTAGCATCGCCATACAACTTCTTTGTCCACTTGACAAGGTACTCTGTGAATTCGTTGTAGATTGATTCCTCAACCAAACAGTAGTCCACAGTAACACATGTTTGACCAGCATTGACAAACTTCGCATTGACAATTCTCTTTGCAGCAAGGTCCAAGTTCTTGGACTGCGCTGTGACAAAGGCTGGACTCTTACCACCAAGCTCAAGAATACACGGTGTCAAGCTCTCAGCACACTTCTTTGCGATGATCTTACCAACGGTGCCTGAGCCCGTGTAGAACACCTTGTCAAACTTTTGATCCAATAGCACCCCGGTTTCTTCAACACCACCGTTGATGCACTGCACCAACTCGTTATCCATCTGGTCCGCCAATATCTCAGAGAGCACCGCGGAGACGTGTGGAGACTGCTCGCTCTGCTTCAACACAACGGTGTTACCAGCGGCAATGGCACCAATCACCGGCTGTAGGGCCAAGCTGAGCGGGTAGTTGAAGGTCCCAATCACCAACACCGTGCCCAAGGGGATGCTTTCAACTCTCGAGCCGCTGAACTTGTACATCAAGGGAACCGCCTCCGGCCGGCGGTCCTTGGCCCACGACTTCAAGTTCTCCATGATGAAGAGCAAGTCGCCCAGGATGATGTTGATCTCCAGCACACGTGTCTCGTTCACCGGCTTGTTGAGATCCTTCTCAACCGCCTGGCACAACACGTCCTGGTTGTCCTCAATCGCATAGTACAACTTCCTCAAGTTGCGTAGACGGACCTCAACAGGGTCGAACTTACGAGAGTGGAAGGACTCCCTCAGCTTTTGCACCCTAATCGGGATCTCGTCCAGCGGTGTGTACTCCAATACCGACATTCTGCTGTGTGTGTGTGTGTTACAAGGTGATCGACTATACAGAGCAACTCCACGTTGATTAAAGAGACGGTTGCCCCTTTATAAATGCTCTTCTGTCTCCACTGGCTGTGTGCCCTGCCTATGGTTTCACCTGGAGGCTCCAGCCGGGGGCTCCAGCCCGGCGAGAACCAGCACAACCCACACTGAGAACAAAGGGGAAACAGAAGGGTGCACATGCCAACAGCAGGAGAGGGGAATCACGACGGTGTGAGGTGCTACAATTGATCACAGGATAAGACAAATATTATTTGTATGGTTTCACGTTGCCCAGGGCCGGTGTGAAGTGGTTGGTGTCTCCGTGCAGAGGCTCCAATTGTGTGTGTGGGTGTTCCGCCTATGACAGATGCCAGTAGCGAAGAGCGGTGAGAGGAACTGGGCCATGCCACCCCTCAAATAAGCGGAGTATTCGTGCTGGGACTAGTGGGTGTCCTCTGGCTTGCTCTGCTTGCCAGGGCCTCGCCAGCGACGGGAGGTTTTGATGTGTGGGCTGTCTTGTCTAGCCTGTCTTGTCTGGCCTGTCTTGTCTAGCCTGTCTTGTCTGGCCTGTCTTGTCTAGCCTGTCTTGTCTGGCATGAGCTCTAAGGAAGCACCGCAATGGTGTTCTCGTGCTAGGAGGAGGACAATAATGGTGCGGTTTTCTGCGATGAGCTGGGCTGCTCACTGCTTCACACGTTGGCTGGACACTGTGTGCTCTTCTCTGACGGTGTGGCATCGTTACACGTGTGTCCTGGTCTTATGTCCTGATCTATACATCTCCATCTCCTTCTCACCATCCACATATCCTCCAAGCAACGCTTCTAACAGCAAACCCACACACTCCGAGAAACTAGCCCCAGCCCATCTGACACCTCTCTAACCGTAGCTTTCCCTCTTCATCTCTCCCCAGCACACACCGCGTGTCTGTCCCTGTCAGCAATCTCCCACCTCTACAGCTCCAACTACTCTCAGAGGCAAAAACACGTCAGCCATCAACCCGACTGTCATCCCAACTGTCAAACCAACTCACATCAACGTGACACCATCTTGAAACATTCTCCATGCCACACACCCTAATCCTCACAGTTTATGAAACACCGTCGTATGCGGCTCGTTCATACGTTAAGAGACACAAGCATGCGTACGGAAGAAGGCGGAAGTTGAAAATTAGCACCTAAAACTGAATGCATCGTTTGATCCGTATACTGTTGCTTCAGTAGTGCTATAAGCAATAGCGAATCGTACCAGAGGACAGCATCATCATTGCATCCGTTTCAGACACTCACACTCACTTTGTCTCTCTGTCTCGTCCTCTCCCTCCTAAACAACATAGAGAGGTTGTGACCGTACTGAGGAGATGGTGTCTACAAAGCCGTGGCTTGTATCAAAGGAGAATTATTATTCTGTGCTGGAGATTTGTACACCGAATGTCAATCACGTGGAGCTGATCGAGATCAAGAAGTCATACAGAAGGTTGGCACTTCTGTATCACCCGGATAAAGGTCATAAAGCTGCAGATGTCTTGTTCCAAAGGCTACAAGAAGCGTACGAAGTGCTGACAGACAATGCTCAGAGGAAGGACTACCATGGATGGTATAGGTCCAGATTCAAGACGACATCTGTGTCGCAAGATGCATTGGATAAAGAGATTCAGAAGAGACAGAAGATTGTGGATCAGTTCTTGTCAGAAGATGAGAAGCAAAGGTTGAAGGAACAGAAGGAACAGGAGCTACGGAAAGAAGCTGAGAGAGCTGCTGCTGTGAAGAGGGAGAAGCAGAGACGTGCCAGGGAAAAGGCCCGTCAGGAGAGAATTAGAGAAGCTGAACGACTGAAGAAACTAGAGGAGAAGAGAAAACGTGAAGAGGAAGTGCTGGAGAAGCGTCGTCAAGAGGAGAAGGCCAGGGCTGAGGAACGCATCAGAAATATGAAAAGAGAAGAGGAATTGCTTAAGCAAGAACGGTACAAAGCAAGGGCCAAGCATGGGAATGAGCACTTGTCCAAGACCGAGTATTTTGATAAGTTGTCCAAGCTGCAAAATGAATCAACAGCAATGGCTGAGGAACGTAATAAACTTACAGAGGAATCAGAAAGATTGGCCAAGAAAGCCACTCTCATTAGAAACTCTGCCGAGAATGCTTTTGCAAAGGCCAAGCTCAAATACGAACGAGAAATGGAAAAGTCCAAGCTACAGTTTGAAAAGGCATTGGCCCTTGATTTGGAGTCCGATGCGATTCATGAGAATTTACTGGATGCTTTGGACCAGTACGAGGAACTGACGAGTATTTACACTGAAAAGTACGGTGTTCCTGATGATGAGATGGATGAAGAAGATGGAGATAGCGATACGGACGATGACATTGTAAAGGATGAAATCCCAAGTACATTCAACAAGAAGGATACATCTACAAGTGCATCGTCAACTTCACCAAGGCCACTATCAGCGAATGAATATGTCCAGAAATACGGCAGTCCTTTGAACAAGGGGAATGGATACACTGAGACTTCTCCTCTTAAATTCAATTGGACAGCCAACTCTGATTCTTCAAAGTCTCCTAATTCGTCCAACTTGAACACAAATGTTTCCAGCCCAAGTACAGCTAAGTCCAACACGACAAGAAGGCATGCAAGTGGGGTCAAACATCGCACGACACGGAGAACTCAACAAAGAACAACTCCCCAGTCACACTTTACATTTGCCACACCCTCAACCCTTGTCAATAACAGTCAGAACTCATCTACACCACAAAGGTCGGAGCCCTCATCGGCCGAATCAGCTTCCGCCAAATCTCCACTCTTTGGCAACACATCCGATATAAGTCACCCCGATACATCCTCAACGAAATCTACAACATCTTCAACCTTTTCCTTTGATACGACAGCTACGGCATTTGCAGCTACGAAGACGGCAATGCCATTCTCATTCGCCTCAAATTCCACAGAGTCTGGTTTCAAATCAAGCTTCTCAAATTCAGCACAGCCGGCATTTGGAATGAATTTTACATTCTCAAGCTGAGGCCCTAGGCCATCTCTGGACAGTTATTTAGCAAGCTTGAAGTATTCGGTCATCAAGTGTTTTAGATATGTCTCAACGATGTGTATATATCCCCCTAAAATATGTAGTATAGAATGTCTATCTGTGTTTTCGCTTCATAACACTACACTTCTGTTTCTAGTCTGAGAATTTGGTCTATTCCTGATCTTAACAACCGCCATCTATCAAACATTGGTGAGTGTTGTGCATCGTATTACGGGCATAAACCCATGTTTCCTGTAGGAGACTTCTACCGTTGTGCCGTGCAGCTCACGCCTTACACTTGTTAATTGTGTGTTCTTGCCAATGGTGAAACAGGCTCCACCAAGACAAACTCGTCAATTTGCTTGTCGGTGCATTCAACCCTAGCTTCTGGCTCATACCCTTCCCTGGCATTGTTCAATCTCTGGTTCTCTTGGGCCGATCGTAACGCAGTGGTTGTAGCGTCATCATCATACTGAAAATCTAACAACGATGGCATTGGGTCAGCTGATAATAAATTCCAAACAGAGTCACTGTTCGTATATCTGCACATATCAACTTGGTAATGTGGAATGGTGGGTGCCTGATCAGCAATGGAACCCAGGTCATTTTTTTCACTCTTGAGGACCTTCCTCATGACCTTCAACTTGTTTGGTCCCAACATTGAAGGATGTTGTGTGTTTTTAATAGGTGAAGATTGCCGAAACACAACGACTAGAAGTAGAGCTGCCAACACCACCACGAGTAGAGTTGGTCCTAAAATAGCTCCACCATGCTTATGCCCGAGGGTATAAGTTTGCATAGGGGATTCCATGAGAGTCATGTGATTATCGGTAAGGAATACTAATTCAACATGCCCTTGGTAGGGTTAGTAATCTGCAACTCGGACTGTTAGCAATTCCCCCAGAGATATGCAAATCAAAAGAGGGACGCAGCATCTTTCATGAGCCCAATCCACTCTCTTTCATTTGTTTCTCTCTTGAGATCGGTCATACTCACTGTACTTTGTCAAAAAGAAGACAATACGACAGAAGTGTCGAAAACATGTAAGGGTAAGGTGTAATAAAATGAACAGACAAGTCGTTGCGAGTACGTAAGAATATTTCCAGTGCCGCATCCAAGTGCAGTCCCTGATCATCCGTGGATCTTTTAATTTAGCGATTACCAGTGCATACTCCTTTGAAATGCGAATGTTCGGCGTGTAGGTCATGGTCGTATACAAATTAGCCACCTTATAGCATATGGGTTGTATAGGTACGTGCTCTAATATCAATAGCCGATCTCTTTGGAGCAAAACAACACGATACATGCGTACTTGCCTGTTTCACAATCACGCTGTGTGATATAGTTTGAGGGGCTGCGTCGGTTTTGTGTCACCAAGATATGCAAGAGACGTTAATCCACAGAAATGCGGCTCCTGTGTAGTTCGGCCGTGAAAATGTCTGGGTGTTACTGAATAAAGTTTGATTTGAGTTTGGCCTTTGAGGTGCTTCCTGCATGATTACGCACTGGTATTCTTCCAGAAAATAGGAACATACATACAGCTGCAGTGCTGCCAATGGGGAACGATTGCAAAAGAAAAAGCTATGAGGTAGCGACAAACTACTGGTGGAACCTTGCTTTGCTCTGGAGATGGAGAGAAAAATGGCAACAGCTACTAGCCAATCAAGTGCTTGGCATATAGCATATGTGTTTCAGTGTTCAAATATATACGAGCCATGCATAGTTGAATGGCGTGCATTCTCGGGGCTCATTTCGAGCATCCTGTATGGCATCTATGACTGCGCCGCAATTGTGGTAGGGTGGACGTGTGAACAGCACAGCAGAAGAAAGGATCATCACCGACAACAGCAACTTTTTAAAACTGCAGGAGCGCTTGGGAGAGGGAGGGAAAATGTAGAGTGCGTGTGCGCAAGGAGTTATAAAAACTACAACGCACAACACTTTAAAGTTTTGCGCTCCATAGTCTGCCGTGCAGTGTGCAGCACGGTTTTTTTTAGTTTGGATTAAAGAGCCGAAGGTTGATATTCAATCGATTAAGGGGGGGCGGAGAGACCAAAGAGCACCAAAGAGAACCAAGTGAAGGAAGGAGGAAATGGAACAAGAACTGGGGAACTAGGGATATTAGTGATGGGCCAATATGAGAAGGCGCATATTGGTTATAACTTTAAGTACGCTTAGCTGGTTATAATATGTACGACCTGCTGTGTTGAATGTGTGCCCAAGAGCGTGAGGCCGTAACACTCATGGTTGCATACCGCTTGGAAATTTCAACTTTTTTAAGCTTCGAAATATTGTTTGCCTCATTGACATTAACTGTCTCGTTCTCGACTCTGCTTTTTTTTATATAAATTCGTTGATTTTAACCTCATATCTTTCCTCTCTGGTGCTTGGACTAGTCATATACTTTGATTGATTGTTGTAGATGATGTCGATTACTTACAACGCTCCTCAGAAGATAAAGCTACCTGGCCTTAAAGAGTCATTTCCCATACCTCCACGTGATGTTCCAATGGCAAACAGCTCTACCAGTTTAATACTGGACAGTCCACCGTATACACAACAGCAGTACATGGTTCCAGTCTCCCACGCACCATATAGCACTCCACAAGTTCCCTCATTTGCACAGTACTCACCACAGACGCCGCTGGCTATGAATACAACTGTCCAGTTTCCAAATTACCCTTATCCTTACATATCACGTCATTACCAATCACATATCCCACAGCATACACAACAGACTCAAAACGGCTACGTTACATTTATGCCATCAAATTTTCAACACGGTCAAGCTGGTCTTGAGCTTGCGGAATTTGACAAGCCCAAACAGTACAGTCTATGGAGCACCGATGATGATCGACTTCTACGTCACTTGAAAGAGGAGAAACACTTGGGTTGGAGAGAAATTGCGATGCACTTCAACTCTCGAACTGCTAGTGGTTGTCAATTTAGATGGAGAAGACTTATGGGTTTAGAGAAGGATCGCAAGAGAAGAAAGAAAGTTAGCTCACTTAAGAAGCTACTAAATTGAAGAAGGATGGCAATGCATGTATATTTGCTGCTTTGACAAGTTCTGTAGTGTCCATTGAAAGATGTAGTGATCGTATTGACCTTTTGAAACATGTTTGAATATTGTCTGAAAGCAAATGGCACGTAATCTGACACCCAGTGCTTATTGCATCATTAAAGAAAATGCGCTGCAACTAGCAGCAGAGTTGTATTTTTGGGCTTTCAAATTTTAAAATAAGCGACAATTCTATCCCGATCGGTAAATACTCTATCATCTAGATACAGATAGTTCCATGAACTTTGTTTAAATTATGTGGGCATATCCATCTCCCTTAATTCTCTTGTCAAGGCTGGAAAACCTAGAATGAATCAAACTGTTCTATTAGGAACGAGTCGGAGCTTCTTACTCAATGCGTAACGGACTCCTATTCTGAGGCGGTTTTCTAAGAAGTTGGCTTTATACCCATGCTTTGATACTGACATTATAGTACATACTACATAGGTGCACACAGCGCATATGAAACCCTTACAAAAAAGAAACTAGGGTAAGCTCAAAATGAATATGTTTTTTAAAGAAAAATACAGTGCTTATGAGACCAGAACATGGTCTAGATCAATCAACTAGTATGAATGTTAGTAGATAGACAAGAACGCTGCAACCAATTTATCTCATGTCAATAGTAAATATGCGCTTGTGGTCTTAGACTATACTAAATTACATTCTTCTGAATCAATGAGAAGCTTAGGTGGAACCATATGTTTCAAGTTTTATGTTCTACTGGTTCAGCAATGAGAAATGTTACATTAACATTGCTGAAAGTTGGAGGGGGTTGTCGTAGTATGTCCACCGTATAGCTCACACAATCAATGGCTGTAGTGAATAAGGTCCCTGGACCAGTTTCAAATATACCTTTGGTTTAGACTTTTGTCTGAGGCTTGAGGTGCATAGGACGCAGAGTCTATACAGAAACCAGCATGAACCTATCCAAAACCCACAGAGCTCAGGATGTCTAACTTCTGAGTCACCGGTATTCTTTTGTAACTTTTTTTACCGTGAACACCGATGGTCATAAGAGGACTTGCAAACAATGACAGGTCCAGAACCAACTTATCTAATGAGTTCAATGCGCTTTATCGTTAGTTTTTCTTGATTGAACCCCACTATTTTTATAATAATACTGTCGAATCTAAACGCTCGTAGTCCCCGACTAACTTACTATTCATTTATCAATGTGTAGCGCATTGTTATTGGCAAATTGATTCCTGTGGCTGCCGAAATAAATGTCAGTACAAAATGCGGCAGTGGAAATGCATCGTTGAAAATATGAAGGTACGGTGCTACTTGAAAATTTGTTGGGTGGAGTCTTATTATTTTCATGCCTACCATGATTCATAGCCGGTAAAAACGTAGTGACAATACAGGTAGCATATCGTCCTTATATTTTATATGTACCATTCGTAATTGAAATTGTCATTTGTATGCCCAGTTTGCCACCTGCATTTAAATCATTTGTCGATTTTCATGTACTAATATGCATTTTGTGCATTCACAAACCTCTAACCACAGTCTGAGGGCATTCACGGCTTACAAGCATAAAGACACAACACCTTGGAACATTTTGAGGATAATACGGTATTCTCAATTCCCTTCCGCCAGTGGTTGCATTTCAGCGGTACGATTTTAAACACAGAGCCAGCGATTCCGCATGACGCTGATAGACTTTGCCAGCGAACAGTACTGGATAAACCCATACGTAAAACATGCCCCAAAAACCGGTCATCTGTTCGCTGACCATAATCACTGCATCCTAGTTAGGGTCGTTTCTGGTATGTTTTTGTACATTTGGTGTTAAGTGTATACAACTGAAGGTATGATTTAAAACATCGGTGTCCGCCAGTGAGTGGATAGCGACCTCAAGCTTCAAGCTTCAAAGTTCAATGTCGTGCCAAGGTGACGTAAGTTGATGTTCATGGCAGTAGAAGCTGCAGCCTTTAGGCCCCAAACTCAAATATGGCTTCCTCGCATAAAACATCTAACTTTATTATTCCATTTTCTGATTGGAAAAGCCAATGCTGACTCTGCTACTACAGATTTTCAGATAAGGTTTGAAGATGTAAGAGCAGCATAAGTCATCAATTAACAGGTTTCCATTGATGAGCTCAAAGTGCGCCACCATGATATGTTGGATTATTCAAATGTATTCTACATCTTTTGTACGTATGCTTGATTTGGAACAGAGGACCTTATAACATGGCGTCCAAAAGCACTCCTTGTGTTTTTTTGCAGGATGTCCTTACCACAATGCATACATGGCGATTTATGAAGCCCTACCTCTACTCAGATACCAGGTGAGCTCTGAGTACTATATTTATCTCAGAGATGACCTTAGTGCAAACAGCTTTTGGTAACTCTAGAACCTTATGTATAGCACGAGCTTTAATCAGATCAGTATGAACATAACACGCATAATAAATCATTGTCAATCACGGCAAATTTAATTCTTTACACTTCATTGTAGATATATCTAATTAAAATGATGTGTATTGAATAATCTCTACAGGGATGACCACTTAGACAGCACGGCTTAGAATACTGGAATAATTATACATTATTCCGACTGTTTGTAGACCCCAATGTTCGCTATGGTTCGAATGAAACAAATTTTTTGCATACAAGATAGACTGGTGGAACCTAGAACGTATTAAAGTCTAATTTTTCATTCTGATATTACGAAGGACTATTCGAATTTTAACGTAATGATGATAGCACTCAGTTAAGTGTTTCCATGGCTGATAGACATACATCTTGCGTGTCAACAAATTTGCTGGCTTACAAACTATAGTTCACTTTAAAAAAACTGCTGGAGTACCTCAAACCCCAACCCATTTGATCACCCATACCTCCCAACTACATGTATCCATGTTGAATGTGGTGAGAAGCCAACGATTGGCTGGATGTTTTTTCCGAGAAAAGGCTTGAATATTGTCAAACTGAAATTATGCATGTAGGAGCACATGTCTACACATAAATGCACATCCGCTGATGAGTATATGCTACATTTCCCAAGCTGGTACAAATTGGCAAGGTAAAAACAATTCACAGACTCAAGTTGAGCTGTCGCTTGCAAACGGGTTTGTAACTTAGATGTCGTTGGTGTATTCTTCTATGCTTTCTTAACACTTAAGGTTTCCCGCTGGAAACCCCACTCAATTTTGGGGCATTGTTGCGGGCATAATTTATGTTGCTTTATTTCTACGGTTCCAAACTCAAATTGAACCAAAATGATTCACAAATACACAGGGAGAGAAGACGTTATGGCATTATTTGAGCTTGTATGCTCCTCTTAAAAAAAGCTGTAGGACATGAGGTTAACTTGGTTTTGATTCTGACTGTCCGTTCCACAAACAAATGTGGATCATGACAATATATTCCGAAAGTTGTCCCCACTCGCCAACGTCGTGTGCATCACTTTGAATGATGAAAAATTGGGGTCGCCATAGTGATGGTGATAAAGGTAGTTGTAACTATTGCATTTGAATGATGGTTTTTGATGCATAGTGCATACGGTACCATCTATGGAGGCGGAATATGCGTAAAACATATAGAAACTTGAGCACACGCTATTTGTTCTTTGCTTTTGCAGCTCATATGCGTAATTGATGAGTTAATTCTAGCTTGACCAACTGAAAAAGTTTTTAAAGTGCATGTTCGATGTTAGATGCAAGCCCGAATGATATGCAATCACATAATGTATTGAATCGTTTAGGAGGCAACATATGTTATACCGTAGTCGTTGTATATTCAAATGCATCGGTTCGTAAGACACAGCAGACGTGGTTGATTTTTCTATTGTGGCTCTGTTTTTTTTTCACTTCAATAGTTGATCATTATGGGACAAAAAATATTGTATTCTTATCTACTATTTAGTTTGCATATATTTTGAAGCCTGTGAATCTGATGTTCATTACTCCAACAAATATGGAGTTCCAGGTTAATGATGTCTATTAATTGGCTCTGCCACTTTTCCATAAGGTATGGATCAAATGATTTACGTTGACTCATTAGTCGTACCTTGTGATTCTGTGAACTTTCTGGAGCATTTCGGACTGGATTAATCACACCTGATACGGCAACCCGCATGTAATGGGTATATTGTAGGTGCATGTCCTTGAAAATCTGCACACATCCTCTAGAGCTCGAAAGATAAGCCACCCAATGTATAAGCACATCCCTTTGCAATCTGCTTTGGTACACACGGTGAGCAGATTGGACGCACTGGTGTGAAATTTGAACAATTGGGCGCCATAACCACCTTAGACTCAGACATTACTGTTCCGCCATATGTATGTAACCGAGAAAATTTGTCAACAGTTGGAAATATGTATCTCCTCTAACGTCATGGCTTTAAGAACTCTCTGTGCCCCATCGCCTGCATACACATGCTCCTGTTACTTCTTGATGGTTGTAGTCCAGGTTACAGTTCGTATAGCATTTCATGCTGTGTATGAGCATGCAATTGGATTGTTCATATTGGTCATACATGTCATGAAGGTTTGTCTTAGATCGTATTAAGGTCTTGGTAAGCTGAAAGTTAATTGTATAAAGACATCAAGCATATTAATTGCATGATAACGAACTTCAAACTGTACGGTAACTGCTTGCCATATATACTGATAACTTTAAACTAACTCGGCATGGATTTTCCATATATTATGCGGTACACGTTGTTCACAGGATGAAGTGAAAGTGTACATGAATGCACTTGGAACAAGCAAATAATAACTCAGTGACTAGATATATGTGTATGCGACCTTAAAGCGAAACCACTTCGTATACGGGTCCAATAATCTGTCACTTCGACTTACCCAACTTCTGGTGAGTGTGGAGTTCGAGTCAGGGAAAAAATTCTATTTCTAGAAATGGCTTCCATTTTGCATTCCAACTCTTGCTCTCCTGTCCTCCAACTAGCTAAGATATACGCCTTGTAATTTAGCACCGTGAGTTTGACGATACGTTTTGTAAAGCCATCGATAACGTTTGTTGTCTTCGAACAGCCTTCAACTGCTCAACACACGGTTTACAGTCTATATTCTAAACAAGCTGGTCAAGTTTGCTGGGAAACACAGTCCGAAGCAGTGACGCTGAGTCCTTGCATCAGCCGCTCTCTTTTCCGTTACGGTATCACGATAAGCTCATTTCTTCTGGCTGAGTCCGCCAATACCCGCAAAGGGTTACAACTGTTGCGCAAAAAGGTGCCCTTTTGTAGACTCTTGCCCCAAATGTGAAACTGCTGTCAAGGCACGAAAAGGACCAGCAAAATGATAGCAAAACTGATTTATGGCAGGAAAAGCGTCCGATATGGGTAATTCAAGCCTTAAAATTAAAACCCTTCCCGCAAGGAACATTCTACGAAGCATACAAACGGACATTTGACAAGCTCCTTTTCCCCATCATTACGAAGAAAGAGCAGTTTAAAGTTGAAAAACGTCAACGGCATGACACGGATAACCTGGAAATTAAGCACGACGTTAAACTGCACCTCAACCGCTTGTCGCGCAGATTCCTTCTCATGATCCCTGTCGAAGAAGAACAACATTCACGGCTCTCGTGGTAAAATTGTGGCATTGGACCCCGGCAGCAAGCACTTCATCACTGGGTATTCTCCAACTGGGGTGTCCTTTCATTTCTCATTGGACAGGGGTAAAGTAATGGCGTTAAAGGAGAAGATAGGCATGATACAGGCCGCGAGGAAGTCAAATCAATGTCGCAAACTATACAAAATGTAATAAGTATAGTGACTGACAATCATTGGCGAATCATAAGACATCTAACATCATCGTACGAAAACATCGTGCTACCACCATTTGAAAGTTAAGAATTGGTAAGCATGAGCAGGAACCGCGGGATGAACAAAAACTTGGTTATGTGCTTGCATTAAGCCTTTTACCAGCGTTTGGCCTTCAAATGTCAAGTCACGGGGACACGCCTCTCGAGAATGACTGAAGAGTACACGAGCAAGACATACACCGACTGCGGGACAGTAAATGACACACTGTCTCTGACCAACCACATCTTCTATTGTGCCTATTGCAACCTGTTTGTCGACCGCGACGTCAACGGCGTGCGCAATATCCTCATCGAATGTCTTTACCGCATCTCAATAGACACACACACAAGGAGTGCGTTCATGCTACTCTAAAGAAATCGCTACCTTTTTGCTGTCTCTTCCACTTTCCAAGGGGAGCACAAAATGGCACATTTTCATGAACGGCAAGTGACTGATCCTAGGGCATCAGTCAAATTAATCGTCAGACCACCCTAGGTATTACCTAAAACGCTTAAACATCTCATGTCTTTCGGTCTATCGAATTTGCCCCCCCCCCATGTCCCTCATGTCCAGGACTCCATGAGCATTGGTGTCCGGATGTGTTTCCCCGCATTTTTCCACGTCGACGCCTAAATCCTTCGCCCGCTGATTTCTTTTGGCATTTTGGTGCGTTTACCATTTTCGAACAAATCGCGCAGCTGTTTCCTAACGGTCAAGAAATGTTCTTTCTTTTTTATCCACTCTAAATCGAAGTTGATGACTTGCAAACCCTGAACCCAGTAAGTGGTCAGCTAAGTTTATTATTTTCAAGCTCCTTTGAGAAGTCTCTTACTTGAGTTTTCTCCACAGGGCTCTTGCTTCAAATATTGTTCCCAAAATCAGACCACATCGACGAATTGTACCGATCTCCCACTCAAGCGCTTGCTCTTCGTTCTTATCGGCCCAGGCTGCCCATGTTGATTGGGGTTCATCGCAATGGTACGATATTCACTCTCTCCCAACGCTGATGGTGGGCATCGTCGTTGGGGTTGGAAACAAAACTCCTCGGTAGTTTCAACTGCTCTTCGTCAGCATCCGGGGCAACTGCGTTTATGTAATCAGCGCCCCTGTTTCTCTACTGCGTAGAGCCTAAGACGAAAACCAGTGGTTGTAGGAAAACACACGCAAAACCCCAGAAATTTCGCGAACTTTTCCTTCCGTCTCCTACGCTCCCCCAATACTTTGTGCACACACAAAACGCACAAGAAACCGCGTAACCGAGGCACAAGGCTTTAAAGTGTCAGTTTTTACTCCGCATAAACCACCGTAGCGCGCGGGGCGACAAGAGACGAAGCTAAGCAGAATTTGCCAGAGGGAGAGGGAGACGGGAGCATCTACACGGTGGCTCCGGTTAGCTCAGCCTTGGTATAAATATGATGGATCTGCCCTGGTGAAGGCGTCTTCTTTCTGTAACTCGTTTAGTCACAGAGAAAGAGAAACACACAATGACCAACAATTTGCAAAAGGAAAGGGCTCAGCAAACGCTCAGTGTCGACAGCCTCAACGCGTTCCTGGACCCGGATCACAAGAACACCGCTGCCATCTACCAGCAGATCATCAACGACCCGGTGCTTGTCACTTCGAAAAGCTACTACGATTTGACCAAGCCGCAGTTGAGAGAGCTCTGTGCGCATAAGGTTAAGCGCTTGTCCAGTTACATTGAGAATGAGAGCTTTGAGGAGTTTGAGAACAGGCTGAGTTTACTCTCAGTGTCTGACCCAGCCGTCGCCACCAGAGTTGGTATCAACCTGGCGCTATTCTGTAACGCCATTAAGGGTAACGGTACCGATGACCAGATTGACTACTGGCTCAAAGAGAGAGGTACTTTGAAGTTGAGAGGAATCTACGGGTGCTTTGCCATGACCGAGCTGGGCCATGGCTCTAACGTTGCTGGTTTGGAGACGACAGCAACTTATAACCCGGAGAGACAAACGTTCACCATCAACACGCCAAACTTGGCTGCAACAAAATGGTGGATTGGTGGTGCTGCGCACTCTTCAAACCACGCTGCAGTTTATGCTAGGTTGATCTCTGGTGGTAAGGATTACGGTGTCAAGGTGTTTGTAGTTCAGTTGAGAGACTCAAACTTTGACTTGCTTCCTGGTGTCTCTATTGGTGATATTGGTTCCAAGATGGGTAGAGATGCCATTGACAATGGTTGGATCCAATTCAACAATGTGGAAATCCCAAGAGAGTATATGTTGCAGAAGTTTAGTACCATTGATCCAGATGGAACTGTCAACTTGACACCATTGGAGCAAATCTCCTACTCTGCTTTGCTCCAAGGTCGTGTCAGTATGGTTTTGGATTCCCACAGACATGGTGCCAGATACATCACGATTGCTCTGAGATACTCCATTGGTAGAGAACAATTTGGTGAGGTTGGTAAAGAGACTCAACTGATCGATTATACTCTTCATCAGTACCGTTTGTTGCCATACTTGTCTCTAGTTTACTTGCTTGGACCGGGTTCTCAAAAGCTCATGGCTAGTTACAACCGTATCTTGAATGATTTGTATGCAGCAAAGAACATCAAGAAGTCCATCACCGAATTGAAGGACCTGTTTGTTGCTTCTGCCTCTTTGAAATCTACAAACACTTGGTTGATTTCTCAGTTGATCGATGAGGCTAGACAAGCATGTGGTGGTCATGGATACCATGCCTACTCTGGTCTGGGTCGTGCTTTCCAGGACTGGTCTGTCCAACAAACTTGGGAAGGTGACAACAACGTTCTGGCCATCAACGCTGGTAGATCCATCATCAAGTACTACCAAGCAGCACAAAAGGGTAAGAAGATTGGTGAAGATTTTGCCTACTTGGGTGAAAACTTGCCTGCTGATTTGGACTTCTCAGATTTGAGATCTTACATCACTATCTGGGCTGCCATCATCCAAAAGGTTGCACAACACGCTTTGAAGATTTACAAGGGCAACTGGGAACTGGTTTCTCAAGAACGTTTGCTCCTTTCCAAGTTCCACTCCAATTACTACCTCCTTACTGCTTTCCTCGAACGTATTCAATCAGGTGAGTTGACTGGACAAGAGAAGGAGATTGCTATCACTATTTTCAAGCTGTACTCTTTGTACTTTGTCGATAAGTTCTCTGGAGTCTTTTTACAATTTAACTCTTTCCAGCCATCAAAATTGGGTGAGATTCAGACAGCTATCAAGGGCTTGTTTGCTCAGCTTAGACCACACTTGGTTGCCCTGACCGATGCATTCAAATACCCAGACGAGATTATCAATTCCTCTTTAGGTAACTTCAATGGTGATTTTTACAACAACTACTTTGGCGACATTATTCAAAACTACGGTAAGGGTGATAAGGCTCCATATTTGGATGTTCTTGCTAGTATGTTGGGTAGACCTGACCAAGAAGAGAGATTATTCCAATCAAGAACCAAGGATGTCTTGGAGAAGCTTGGTAACTGAAGCGGACGAGCTAATAAAAGAAAGGAGCAGGTTGTTTCTATTCAACTTTATAATGTGTATATGCCAATAACATTGATTTTATTTAACCAACAGATTCTGTATGACAATGCGATGGTGAATACATAATATGAATCTATTGTAGAGACCTGGAGTATGCCTGAAAGTGTATCACAGTGCTGAATCGTGCTTTTTTAAGGTACCAGATGTCACTATTTACCAGTCCACATGAGTTCCGAATAGATTGTAGGATAAGTTCGAATTAGTTACTCAATTCTTACATTACACTGAAGCATGGGTTCGATTATAATAAACTTTTATTAAAAACAAAGCACTAATTATTAATTATTAATTATTACTCAATAATGTTTTGCTTAGTTTTTTTAAAAAAAAAAATAGCTTATCAATATTTCTGATAAGAAATGGACTTATCATTGGCTTCATCATATCATATAATGATTAATTGGTATAATCAAATTAATGAAATGACAGTATCAGCAAGTTGGCAGAAAGTTTCATAGGATGGTCTTATCAATGTTAAATATTAATTTTGCGACATTGCTTTGAAGGCTTCAATTCAAACTCTCAAACGCTGATCTAGGTTTAAAGTCTTACATAGAGCACTTTGCTCCGACATTTATCCATACAATGCCTCTGCAAATGCTAGTACTTTCAACACTAGTTGACCACTTTTTCTATCTGGTCCTCTTTTGTTTACAACATTTGTTTTCAAATCCCACAGGCAGGATATCCATTTTGTTGAATCTAATGACACTCCGAAAGCGATGATGAGAACAGGTCCAACTCTCCACCTCAAACACCTCTGCTAGCTATTTGTGTTGATAAGTGAAGATTAGGCTAAAAAACCCAGCATAGGCCTTATTAGATGTGTTTCAGTACTATGTAAAATGGCTGGAAACTTTCCATGATTCGGATTACGATTTATTATAACACTGCGTTGTTGTTAATGTTAGTGGATGTTGCACGTTGAATTTTACGGTTTGTTAGTGGAGGTACGGTTGTAAATCCCAAAAAAAAAATGGACGAGACCGGAGTCGAACCGATGACCTCCTGCTTGCAAGGCAGGCGCGCTACCAACTACGCCACTCGCCCGTTCGGTGAAAACGAAAGAAGTGGACTATCTCAGACTGAGACTTAAGACCACTAATGATTGCCCGAAACACGATCATAATGATTGTGAGATTTCGAACGGCCTCCAATTCAACCTTCAGTTCAACCTCCAGTTGTCTTGTCCTCTAGAGGATATTACTTTAGGGCGTTCTTATATTTAAGTTGAGTCATTGGAGTTTCCTATTATATTCCAAGATTGTAAAAACATCAATTGAACGATAACAATTCTCCTTTTGCTCTTCTAAATCTCAGGCTTTAGAGCTCAAAAATAACAACATATCTACGAGAACCCAAGGTGTTACCCTTAGAGCATTTTTTAAGCGAATTTGACATCCGACAAGCGTGTGGGGTGTCTCTTAGAGCTTTATTAGTATATGAATTGGAAGTCAGTCTATTTGAGAGCATGCTTTTCTGGTTGCTCGAAGAGAAAGACAAAGAAACTGTGGGACCACGTTTCTGTCAGCTCACAACTTAGAAGTAGGTTGGGGTTGTTTGGCGAACTGATTCCTCTCGAGCAAGATTATACAGCTCTTCTGGGATGGAAATACCTCAAGTTTTAATGCTTGAACTGTCTGATATACCGTTATTAGGTGACTAAGACTCTGTAAGCTGTCACTGTGTAAAATCAATCTATGGATTATACATCTTCTTGCCCTCTAGTCATGCCTATATGATTGCAATTGGAATAGTGCTGGCGCCATAAACTACAATGTCGTGCTTTGAGAGCAGTTTTGGCTTCACGTCGTGGTTTAAACGTATTGGACCGCATCACAATTGCGCTTCAGATGGATTTACTGCTTTCATCAAAGCAAAAAAAAAAGAATGCGCGAGCCCGGAGTCGAACCGGGGGCTCCAAGATGGCAACTTGGAATTTTACCGCTAAACCACTCGCGCTTTTTGTTGAAAGTTTAAATATGCTCTTTACTAGCATGGATAGCTTAAGCGAGACTGTCTAGTTACTTAACAGATATAGATTCTCTGTCTATAACGAACATCCTACATGGTCTTCTAGGTGTACTGATTTAGGTTCTATAGCTGCTTTGTAGAGATACCAAGGACACTGTACAATATTCAATAGGTATATGTTCTATTCAAAAATCGGTCTGTTGTAACGGTATGTATATGTATATTCATATGAATATGTGTATTTATAAATAAAGGATATCATGTATCAATATCGGTTTCGCCGATAAGAACCATGGCATTGTCATCACCAGCTTTAATGGCTGGTTGATCAAGAACATCTGAGACGCAGAGCCATGGATCTTTCGAGCCACCCCATTTGAGAACGCTTTCCTTGAACTTTTCACCATTGACTCTGTTGAATGGATCTTTCACGAAGAGATGTTCCCAGACTTTGGAAGCAATCGCACGATCGAGGAGGTATGCGTAGTACGATGCACCATAGCCAAAGAGATGACCAAACTTTCCGTGCCAGTTGGATTCTGTATCAGAGAAGACACGTAGCTTACTCTCAAGGCCGTGGTAAAGCGAGGATGAGTCGAAGCTGTCTGCAAGGACAACGTCAGAATGTAATAGCTGGTCTAATAGAGCCATCTTTATCTGAGAATACGATTCACAATGTTGCAGGAATTTACTCTCCTTTTGAACCTGTGTGAGAAGACTTAGAGAGATTGGGTGATCAGTCATGTAATGTCTTGCAAATGTTTGAATGACTCTTGGATCTCTTGCAAAGTGTTCCATCAAGACACTTGGAAGCTCAACAAAATCAGTCGCACAACGTGTTCCACTGGTGTTATGTAACGCCGTTCTTCCAAGCATTGAGTGCATGGCATGGCCCATCTCATGGAATAGAGTTTCCACTTCTGAGAGTGTGAGTAAACATTTGCCAACGTTTGAATTGATTTCAAATCCACACACGAGAGATATCACTGGCAGTTGGAACGTTTCGCCAGTTACAGGTGAATACCCCTTCTGAATCAATTCCAGATCCTCCTTTGATTCATCTGGGTAGATATTTCTTGAGCAGCACACAGTAAAGTGTGCAGGAGCAGGCGTCTTTCCTTGTCTATAGATCAGATCACAGTAAACAACACCCATGAGTCCCTCAGTATCACTAACAACGTTCAAACGACGAACCTCTCGACTCCAAGTCTCACCTGGCTTGGAGTTCTCTGGAACAAGCTGGATACCATAGATCTTCTTAAACAGGTTGGACAGCCCTTGCATGACCGAGCCGAGGGAAAAGTACGAACTTATGGCTTCATGGTTTGATGAGCGTTGGTTGGCAGTATACAATGTACCGAAGTAGTCACGATCCCAAGGTTTCAAGAACTCAGCAACCTCTTCATCACTTAACTCTTTATGTTGACCTAACAATTTTTGTTTCAGTTCAGCAAGGGGACGTATTTCCTTGATGGCTTTAGGCTTCGTCTCTTCTGCGAGTCGGCTTAAAAAGTTCATAACGTGCTCTGGTTCCTTCGCCATTTTCTCTTCAAGCTGGTAGGCAGCAAAGCTTTCCTTGCCTAGCATATGTGCCAGTACACCACGGTACTTGAGCATAGTTTCCAAGGTTCTCACCTGGTTGTCACAAGTACTATGTAACTGAATCCAGACCTTCTTTCTAACGGCCTCGTTGTCTGATGACCTCAGCACAGCATGTGGGATATGGCCCCAACTTGGTATCTTATAATGAGTTCTAGTGATATCCATCTTTATCTGATTCAAGATGGATCTATCCAACGTCTTCAAGTCATCTACCGGGATTGACACGTAATCCGTAGCTGGTTGTCCAGTGCCACTGGCAAAATGTTGTCCATAGATGGCAATCTGTTGTGAAAGCTCAATGAAGTTCGATCTCGTCTCAGGATCCATGTTGATGCCTGATTTTTCGAAATCAGCTAATAGAATCTTTCCCACTTGTATCTCCTCCTCGGACAACTGGCTGTATATCTTCTCCTCTGTGAGTACCTTCTTGAGAATCTTGTAGAGGTCCACGTTCGTATTGAGCATGTTCATGAACTCGAACATTTCTTCATGGACTTCCTGCGCTGCACTCACGTACCGCTTGTCTGGATGCGCAACTCTGATGAACTCAGTTAGATCAATCACACGACACAGGATATCACTCAGCTTATCCAGGTTCGTGATGTAGTTTCTCAGGCCCTCGTCACTTTGATCCGACACCATCCGCGCACACAGAGCCTCTGCTTTCTTCAGCGAGTCCTTACTGAACTTCCTCAGACCAGATGCGCTCGTCAGGTACGGGTTCTGGAACAGCCCAGTCTTACCCTGTGACGAGCCCAGAATTCCAGCTGGCAGCCAGCTCGTTGACAACGAGTCCCCGTTCTTCTCCTTGCAGAAGTTCGTCCAGAACAGCTCATCATCAAAAACCTTTCTTATGGTCTCGTTCTCAGTGATGAGCGGTGAGCCGGCAACCGAGCCTTCCGTCGACTTGCTGAAGCCGCCAACGTCATCGACGACTCTGGGTGATGGGACAGATTGGTGTTGCCATCTCACCTTCCCAGCTGATAGACACCGTAAGCTGGTAAGAGCAGCCCTTTGTAACCGTGGCCTATATGCTTGCATCATGGAAAGAGGCGTACGAGAACACTGAACAGCAGGGCGTATTCAGAGCTTTGAATGGGACGGTCCGAGGCTGTTGAAGACATAAACAGTCTCGAGAGGCCTGTTTTAAATTTTCTTGCCTCGAGGGCCGCCGGCTGGTGGGGGGGGGAGGTCTCCGCCTACGAAATTCAACGCTAGGGGGACATCACCAACTAAATGACAGGCTCAACATTACAAGGAAGAAGCACAGATATATGTGTCATATACAATATATACAAGTTCAAGCGGTTATTTCTCGCCCTGTTCTCAGGTGTGGCGAAAGGAAGAGGCCCTAGCGAGTTGATTTGGCAACGTCGACAGTGAAGTCTGATGGGCCCTTATCGTGTGCCTCCAACAGTGCTTCTATCTGGTTGGCATCGGAAGGGGACTCCTTTGACGGGTTAGTTTTTTCAAGGGCATCACGTACTTTACCGAGTTCATTCTCAGCGTTCTGGATCAGCTCCTCGTACCCAGCAGCCTTTGCTCTGAGTCTAGCCTCACGCAGCAGGTTTCTTGCAGGTATTAGCTCACCGTTGTGTAGCTTTACAACGCCGAGAGAGTAGGTAGCCAATGCGATGGACTCCTCCATTCCTTCTGCACGGCGAATCTCCGTAGGCAGCCTCTTAGAAAATTGTAGCACTGATTCATAGCACTTCTCTGATGACTTCAACGATTGCTTCTGGCCTTGTCTGAGTTGGTTGAGCTCCGATTCGTCCATCCCGGAACGGGTTCCCTGGGATATCTTGTTGCCCAGTGCCTCAGCATTCAAGAACAGGACGGATCCCAAGTTGTTCTGGCATTCTATGATCTGTACTGGGGAGCACTCAGCGTTGATCATCCAAGCAACTGTTGCTGTTGCGGTACGAGCTGCGGTCCAGATGTCACCTGTGGAGATGCACAGAGCGACGTATAGCTCTCTGGCGTTGAACAGCTCATCACGGAACGGTTCCCAGGCTCCTCTGTTCAGCTGCAACTTTGTGGGATCCTTTAGAGACTCTTCAACAGTGTTGGCATCGCTTGTTATCGAGACATCTTCTTGATCAGCGCGTAACGAGTCTCTTGAGATCAGTTTTGCCACTGCAGCGCTCTTTTTGGCAACCTCCTCCTGAGCAACCAGCAAATGGGTCATCAGCATGAGTTTACACATCTGTGGGTCCGATGTGTTCAGCTGTGCACACTTGATTACAACACGCAGGTCCTTTTGAATCAAATGTGGTCTCAATGAGTTCGACACAGCACCAGGTGTAGTCAAGGCAACGAGGTAGTTCGAGCAAATCTCCGTGTAGATCATTAGCGCCTCGGGGAACATACTCAGCTGTTCATACATCTGGCCAATCTTCAACTGGATCCCGGTGTACTCGTCGCTCAAGGGGTCCAGATTCTCACTCTGTGCAAGCTGCAACGCTTCGATGTAGTACTCGAGGGCCTTTTTGTAGTCATTGCCCTCACGGTCACTTTCAGCCCAGAGACCCTTTCTCAGGATCTTCGCCACTGAAGAGCTGAATGTATGATGGGGCCAATACAACCACCAGGTCACACCACCAACAACCCCCAATCCTCCAATCAAGGTGAGCATGGTTTTCGTCCAGCTACGACGTGGGGGATAAGTCCCATACCCGGAGTAGCGTGAAGATGAGCGGACGGCTTGCCAGCGCGAGTTGTGAAACTTTGCTGGGTTAATTACTCGAGCAACACGTCCTACCTGTGATCTCAGCATTGTTGTGTTGAAGCGCTGTGTCGTGGTGGATGTTGTAGAGCAACTGTCCGCTGGAAAAAGCTTTTTTCCTGTTCCCCTTCTCGAATATTCGTCAGCTTAAAGCGTGAGATAGCCAACGGGACACTGGAACAGTGGGAATACTGAAGCTATGAGGAGCTGGCTCTGGGGCAGATGGACTCAGCGCTTTGCCAATTGGTCAATTGCTACCCTCCATCGACCAAGAATTGGCCATTTTGTATATGACCAGAGGTGGAGGAGAATCGAGTCTTTGCGAATGCCGTTTCCCCAGTTACCACCCAATAACACGACTCCTATATATGCCACTAGATATGACGTCATATACACTATCACCATTTCCGCCCGTCAACCCCGTTTAAAACACATCGAATGAGCCAGCTGGAAAGGGCGTAACCACCAATTGTAGCCAGCAAACCGGATTGTACCATCAGAGCTGCTTAAACCAACCAAGTATGACGAGATAATGATACTAATTCGAAGAAGAACCGACGTTGGAGCTGCGGACAATTCCGTTTTCTTCCTCGCTGCCTATGCGCTTGGCCCTGCGGAGAGAGAGAGAAAAAATACTCGCAGGAGGCCCAAAAAAAAATCTACAACCCAAACCCACCAAAAATAAAGAGCAAAAGCTGAAGTCGAACAACAGGGCGGCAACGTTTACAAACAGGGCGGTTAGGATAAAACACCGCTGAACACACGCTGATTGAGTGCTTTATCACCATAGAAGAAGAGAGAGTGTCTTGGAGCCTATTTCAAGGGAAGTTAAGCGGCCAATCTCTACACACAGTGGTTGTTTTTTTGCTTTTCATTTTTTTTTGCTGCTTATCTAGCATTGTTTATTGAGTCACACAAGCGCACAAGGAGAGAGCGGTACACACGATGGACTCTGGCGGCTTCTTCAAATCACTGACGAGCACGTTCAAGTCACACAGCAATGGAGACCGGCAGAAGATTTCTGCTGAGACGGTCACCGATGACCTCATGAAGAGGGAGCTGTTTGAAGAGCTACAGACGGGATCAACTAGCACACGAGCGAGAGCAGCTGGCCAAATTGCAGAGTCGTTGTATGATTTCTACCCTCAGAGCATACCCGACGTGTGGTACTGTGCGAAGGATCTTATCGCGCCGGGTCAGCAACAATCGACAAGGAAGGCTGGATTAGCGTTGTTGACCAAATGTGTGAGCTCACCATCGGACGATCCAAACTCGCAATACGTCTACTTCACAGATGCCTTGATGAATTGCCAGTTCGCTAAGGGCAAATGCGATCCGGAGCTACAAAGCTTTGTCCAGATATTGAAGATTATGACGGATAATGGAACTTTTATTCATCATTTCCAGGAGTCTCTTAAACAACCGCTGCTGGATTTTTTTACAAGTGCATTGTCGACGAATGACCTTGTCAAATCACCAACGGTTTTGGAATTGCTCCAGTTCTTGATAGAATCAATCAAATCGGGGATTTTCAACATTGATCAACCGGAAGCTGTCGTTGGTTACGTGTCCAAGATCTTATCGCTGATAATCAAACTGTCGCTGAAGACGTCGGACCGTGTCATATTAGAGTATTGCATACAGACCCTGGATGCTGTGGCGTTGTACCAAACAGTGCCACAGAGTTTGCTATATGAAACTTTGGAGATCCTTTGCGGTGCATGTATATTGGATTTGCACTATTATGATATGGTAACGTCAGTAGTGACGAATTTAATCAACAGGGTCCAATCTTCGTTGGTTATTTCTACCCTTGTGAAGATTGTGCTCTGCCACAACTCTAGAAACGATAAGAATATCAATGCATCCATTGGCGCAATGAAAGTTATTGGATATCTATTTCCAAACTTTGCATATCAGTTCGATATAACATCGTTGCTATCTGCACTAGAGGAAATCGTTGGTTGGAACAAACAAAATCTGTTGATTGTTACTCTTCAGTTCTTTAATGACGTTTTGCTTTCAGACATCACACTGAATCAAATACCCGCACATAATTGGGACGGTGAGAATCATTCAATATTGAATCTTTTGTCTGTTATCAGTTCAAAACTATCCAAGGATCAAGAAATAGATTTGTTCAAGATTACACTTATTACATTACAAAATCTAGGAGAGACAACCAGGTACCCAGGTAACCTGAAAAATTTGGTGACTTTTTTCTTAAGACATCCAAAACATCTTTCGACCAAGGCTTGTATAGATGTCTTGAGATATTACGGCATTCACAACCTCTGTTCCCCATTGAACGAGAATTGGAAGGGAAATTTGGAGCTGTTATTGAACACTTTTTATTACGATGAGTCCAAAGATGTAACCGTGAGAAAGGCATGTGTTAAGTTACTAGATGAGAACTTTGACTCTGCATTAGATCTTGTACAGAATGGAGATGATACTGTTTTGTTTGAAATATCTGACTATATATTCGACGGATTACTCTTTGAAACGAGCTCGGAAGTTGTTCAGCAGTATTTGTCACATCATTTGCAATCTGCGTTGACTTTGCCTTCAGAATTGTTTGAGAAAATAACTGAGCGTTACTTTTTACCAAGGTTATGCGCAGCTACACCAAGAGAGAGGAGATCAAGTTTAACCTCAAGTTTCAGCAGCTTAAGACTGGATAGAAGTGATGTTAAACCATTCCCTGAACAGACAACCCTTGCTATCGTCAAGAACTTTGTTACACTTTTTGCAAAGACTTTAAGCACACAGGCAAAGAAGGCCCAATTCATATTCAATCTCCTTATAAACGTTTTGAAACACGCTTTGCAGACAAAAAATGTTGATTTGATGTTGACAACGTCGAGATTATTTGTTAGAATTAGGGCGTCAACCAAGAAACAGGTTTATTTGACAAATCCAACGGATATGGATGGTTTGTCTGCTGCGTTTTCCAGGAATCTGAACTTGAGAAAGACCAGCGATGCAACTGGATCTGTGAGTCTTGACGAAAAATGGGTATACCCCGAGGAAATCTCATTTATACCACATGATACACTGGATCAACCTTCTAAAGAATTGACAATTATGGATTATAATTCAGACAAGTTGGTAACAACACCGACGATCGATATTCAATTATGGCTCTCCATTGTTATCCAAATCTTGGAAATTGCACCAGATTGGGAGATCTATTCCTTTATTTATTCGCACTTTTGTCCGCAACTTTCAAATATAACACTTTTTGAATCCTGTGGTGATGGTATCAGAAAATTCAGATCATTGGTGTGCGACCAACTTACATTGAAATTACCATCAGGCTTGAGTATACCAGATCACACCACCAAACAGGATGTACAAGTGGCTATTGTCAGAAACTTTACTGCACTTATCTCATACAGCGCACTGTTTTCGAAACAGGATGAGGACCAAATCATCAACGCCCTTTTGTTCGGATTATCGTCGTGGGAGAAAACGGCAATTCCATGTGTTCATATCTTGACTATCTGTTGCTATGAATTACCAATGTCCGTGAAGAAGTTCCTTTCGGTGATATTGACGAAATTGCAAACAAGGATATCAAGTGCATTTGCAAGTGCACATATTTTAGAGTTCCTCCTGGCACTGTCTTATATTCCTTCGTTGACCTCAAACTTTACTGTGGATGAATTCAAAAGAGCCTTTGGCATCACATTTAAACTGATTCAATATGCACACGATATTTCAGAGGTAAAGGACAACGAGCATCACGGTATTTTGACACACGGAGAAGAGTTAGAGGCCGAATTGCTCCCTTCAACTGAAAACTTTGAAGTAACGCCAGTGATTTCCATATATCTTTTGTCATTATCATACGATGTGATTGCCAATTGGTTCTTGAACATGCGTTTGAGTGATAGACGCCAGCTCTCATCCTTCATTATCAAGAACCTGATACTATCTCAGTCGAACCGTGGATCTGAGATCAACAACCAGAACATGTCATTTATTGATCTGATTAGTCGTTTCACTTATTCAGATCTAGAGTTGAGTTTCTCACCAATAAAACCGCAAGGGTTTGCATCTGAAGATCCTGTCTTGTCATCGAAGTGGGTTTATGGTAATAGTATTATAACCATAGATACTCATGCAAAAACCGGTGAATCCATAGTTGCTGTTCGTCGTGCATCTGGATTCTCAGTTTTCCGCATCACACCGGATGAATCTATGATTCCGTTTTACACTAATCAACTTCACTCAAAAACAGACGGAGAGGACTTGTTTTCTGCTAACTACATGCTACTTCAACTGGTTGTCCATCCAGAGACGTCAAGGTCGATCAAACCTATCCCAATCCCAGATGATTCTCAGTTCACGAGATCTTTGAACAATTTTGACCGCATTCCTGTTGTTGAGTTCCACAAGGTTGGATTGCTCTACATTGGGCCAGGTCAGAGTACCGAACAGGAGATTCTTGGAAACTCCAAGGGATCTGCTGAGTTTGACAGATTTTTGGCATCCATTGGTAGACCAATCACTTTAAAAGGATGTAAATCATTCTACGTTGGTGGTCTAGATACTGAGAACGACGTTGATGGACCTATTGCATATGGTTGGAATGACAAGATTTTGCAATTGATCTTACATACCACAACATTGATGCCTACTCCAGATGACAGCGACCCAGGATTTTCTGCAAAGAAGCGCCATATTGGAAACAACTATGTGAATATATTCTTTGACGAATCCTGTCATCCGTTCCAATTCAACGTTATAAAGTCGCAGTTCAATTTCCTCAACATCCTGATCCAACCTCATTCTGTAACGTTTGGAACTAAGGACGAAGCGGGCTCTCAAGACAAGGGCATAAAGAAGTACAAAGTCAAGATTCACCGACGCTCTGGGGTTCCTGGTTTGTTTGCTACATGTCATTTCAAAATTATCTCTGAGGAGAATCTACCGATATTTGTTCGTTCTCTCGCTCTGATTGCCAACCAGTTTGCACACGTCTGGCACTCAAACGGGTCATATGCTTCTAACTGGTCTCACAGAATGAACCAACTACAAATGATACGTGAGAGAAGTATTAAAGCACACGAGGAATTGAAAACGAGTGCTCAACAGGATACATCTAAAGACGCCCATACAACAATGAGTATCTTTGATCAGCTGAACAACAAGGGCTCTACCAGTGGCAATAGAGTTGTGAGTAATGGACGTGGACCAAGTGTTAACAGCTACGAATTTACAGAAGACGACGATAACGAAATATTGAAGAACTTGGAGTTTACCAGCTTTACTAAATGAACCTGTGTTATTGTTATGTACTTTAGACAACTGTAATTGGTTAAATATTTTGAGGAGCTGCGCAATGTGCGAATCGGACTTTTCTTGCAACGCAGATCCAAATGCGATGGGCTTTCTTGGACAGCAACCCTGTTTCCGCGGGGAGAATCAAAACCAGATGATGTAGTTAACTACACAGCCAAACAGTAAGAACAGTGACAGTTGTGTGCTTTAAGATGACGTTGCAGATCAAGTTAGACACGGAGAGAGAAACGTATTCTCCTGGTTCGCTAATTAAGGGTGATTTGGTGGTGAATGTCGAAGAAGAAACCAAGGTGGAATCTATAAAGGTTAGCCTTGAAGGGGTGGCTACGTCCATAATTGTCCAACAGGTTGATTGGAATCGTCGAGAAACTGTTGAGGAGCATAAGTTCATACAGTTGGACCAATACATGCTGGAGAAGCGATTGGATGGTCATAGGTATCAGCTACATAGGGCAATTGACACCTTCCCCTTTATGTTCAACCTCCCACATGACACAACGTGCGCCAGTAGGCTTATTGACGATCAACAAACGCTCATTGGGCTGAGCAGCGCATCCCAGAGTGACGATATCTGTGATGCACTCTCTCTAGTGCCTGTTCTAACCACTGAGCATTTATCCAGGGAGCATACAGAGAGTCTATTACCGGCCACGTTCCATTATCGCAATTACCAGAACGGGAACTCCTTTGACGTCGAATACACCATAAAGGTTGTGGTGAAGTTTTCCCAAAGCCTCAAGGCATTCACGGTGGCATTCCCATTCAAAGTCGAGCCCATAGAGGTGCAAATCCCCGTTGACGAGGATCACGCTGTTCGAGTTTGCAGCGATCTGTTGAAATTTGGGCACGGTTTACTTCATAGATCCGAGCCAGATGTTCCCTTCCACATCGTGGCACAATTCCCGAGCATCTTACACAGGGAGTTCGAAGTCAGGATATTTGTCGTCTTCCCGAGAGAGATACGCAGTCTCAGTGGAGTTGTCTTGAAAGATCTCACGATAAAGTTGAAGAGCGCACTAAGCATGAGGGCGCAGGGCGTCTATACGCTCGAGAAGAAGAAAATGGTGTTATTTGAAAAAACCATAGCATTGGAGGAATGTCAACTGATCACGACACCAGACGAGGGATCCTCGCAGAGACGGAAGGCGCTTGGATCACTAAACGGCCAGTATATCGAGTTCGCAACCAAGGTCAGAGGCATTCCATCCACTACACAGGATTTTAAAGTGTGTAACGGCGTCCTAGGACATCGGTTGAGCATCCAGGGTAGATTGGGGGTGAAGAAATCGATGAAGCAAAGCTTCAAGTTGGAAGAGAACGTGTGTATCCTATAGAAAGAACACACGGTTAACTGGACATTGACTTGTAGGAAGCACCACAGGAGCTATTCGATTAGATAACTAAAGCTGGCCATTTTGGACTTCTGAAACAGCTGTGTGTTTTGTTGAGAGAACGGAAAAAACATTTAGGCCTGTCAACTGATGACACAAAACAACGGCTGCAACCGCAGAAAGTATAATTTCTTTTGGAAAAAGCCGGCAAGCCAAAAAATACTAAAACCTCCGGGAATCGGGTTTGTCAAAACATCCAGACATCACCTTCTCATATCTTTCCAAGAGGCTTCCTCCGGTGTTGCGAAAGAAGATGGATAACTCCGAGTGTCGGTGCTTCGCACAACGCCATTCGCTACAGAGGCTGAGGCCCGCCAGCGTTGCTATGCACAACGCGAGTTCACCCGAGAATGGCCATGAGGGTGTGAACTGTCACCTGTGTGCATCGCAGTCGTGTTAAACATGTGTTTGATTAGTTTTACAGTGATACGGCGATTTCTAAAAGGACACAAATGGAGCGTTTTTGCTTTCCTCATCTATTTGTTCCTTTTGGTACTTGGTGAGCTCAAACCATAATATGTGTCTTAGTATTGGGTTTCCTTTTGAAATTTGGAGCCTTCCGAATGGGTGGAAAATTTTTAACGGAAGAAACCGCGTGTCAGATGATTCCTCTCTCTTACCCTTTCCTTTTTTTAGGCGCCTGGTGATTTTTTTTCCGCCGCTTAGTCTTGAACGCCAAAAACGTACATTGAAGGAAGGAACGAGGAAAAAAACACCCGGGGTGTCCCGTAGTGATATAAAGAAGACGCCAGAACGATTTAAATATGATAGATTCCATTCTTTCGTTGTCGAGAGAGTTTAAACCTTTCCATTTCTTCATTATTCACAAGTGTTTATCTATTGCTTCTTTCAAAGCATAAAGCTTTTTCTTTCAAAATCACATATTCCTAATTATCACTATGATGTTTGCATCTCTTCCTACAGAGGTTCAAGTGCAAGTCTTGTCACAAGTGCATTCACCTTGTGACGTTTCACCGCTGTTTGATTGTTTAGCTCAACACGTAAACAGTAGGAAGCTCGACTATTACACACAACAACCGCTTTTGGTGTCAGTTTATTCTTCAAGCTCGAAGGAATCACACAAGAAGTTGTTTTATACCGGCTCGGTATCACGTGACCAAGATGTGACACATATTTCACTCGGTGGTTTGGATCACAAAGAGTCTTTGCTGCAGATAAAGAATTTGAAAGAGACGTCGCATAACCACGAAAGCCATATGGATATGGTTCTCTCTGAGGATCAATCTTCAGTGAAGCTGTTCATGACCATCCAGTTTGGTGGTGAGATTTTCCTCGAGACAACTTTTAGACTAAGAGAAGGTACAAAGACCTTTGTCAAGAATGGTGTCTCTATAACGTTTGACCTTGTAAAGGGTTCTAAAGAGGAAAAAGAAGGCGCATACGAGTACGACGAGAGCTTCAACTATGCGCTAAACATTACAAACGTTGAAGTTAAAGACCATGATATGGTCAACCTGTTCGAGAAGGACTTGGACAGATGCATGTTTGTCAGATGCTAGTTTTATTCATTGGTCTGGCATTGGTATACTAATAGGGTTAGTACGTATTATATATTTCGGGTAAATTTATAGAGATCCGTCATTTGGATCATACTTCTGGGTCAATTTGGAAAGCACAACGCTTGTAAGTCTTCTTATTGGTAATACAGATCACTTTTTGGTCTTATAATAAGTGTAACTATTTGTCAAAAGGTATAAATAAAAGGAGAATTTTCAAATAAATAGAATGGATAATAAATAATAGAGTGTACAGCCATGCGGGAGATATCACTGCTCCTTAGCAAACTTGGCTCTAGCATCTTGGAGTTGGTTGACTCTTTGTTCAATAAGAGCATCGTTGTGGTCAACAACTTTGTAAAATACGTATCCAAGACCTGTCCAGAACGCAGCGGAATAGACATAACCGGCTTTACCAGATGAAAGTGGTCTGTTCAAGACACCGAGTTGGAAACCTCTAACCAAAACACCTATAATTCGAGTACAATTTGAAGTTAGTAACCTTTCCATCAATCAAGGGGAAGAGCGAAAGAGAGAGAGAGGGAGACAAGTAGGGGTTAACGGATGATTAAAATCCACTGGTGGAAAGAAATCAAACATTAGTGACTTGGATACAATGCAACTTACCAAAAGCTGCCCATCCGGCATATCCCAAAGTAGTTGCTGCTGGCATTTGTCACTTGTAATTGTTCTTTTGAAGTTGTTTCCTGTTCAGAGAATCCTTTTCAAAGGGCAGTTCCTTTGGGGATTTTGTGATGTTTTTTTTTGATTTTTCGTTGAACGCAAAGACGAGAAAAGTTTACTATGTGATTATGTAATGTTAAGTACAACGATTACATAATGTATTACGTGGACACATAGACTTGGTGCGAGAGAGACAATAGGACACAAAGATGGCTCAATTCTGAATACTTTGGGAGCTAGTTGTGTACAGAGAGACATTTCTCATAGAATGAGCAGACATGTGCAGTGGAACCACCATACCTCAGACGGGAAATGACGGTTAGAAGGACCAAAGATACGATAATCAAGATAAAGAACTGCAAGTTCTCACTTCTTTCTGTTTTGTCATATCTGTTCGACTGGCTGATATACACTGCAGTGCTTGTTTTTGCCTTGTGCTATCAGAAAAGGCCTCCAAGATATCACGAGTTTGCATTGGACGACAATTCGTTATCCTTCACATACTATGATGACGAGAACGTTGCGGTCAGTCCACAGCTGTTACTCATCGTCAGCATAGTATTACCATTGGTTCAAATTATTACAAATTTTGCATTCACTTGTCATTGTATCAGTAGAAGGTTGTGGAATCTACACATGGCATTGTTGGGATTCTTCGCAGCACATGTGTTACAATGTTCAGTGGTTTCCGTGCTCAATATCAATTGTGGGTTACCGAGACCAGACCTCATTCAAAGGTGCATGCCTAGTGATTACTCACTTGCACCTATTGGTATGCTTTCCAACGTTGCCATCTGCTCTAACCCGGATATCACCATTATCAATGACGGATTCAAGAGTTTCCCCTCCTCTTACGCTGCTATTTCGTTCACATCTGCAACGTTTGCATCTCTCATAGTGGCAGCAAAGTTCAAAGTGTTCGATAAACGAGGCATACTGTTCAAGTTGTTGATATTTGTCTTGCCTTATGCCACGGCTCTATACCTATCTACAACCCAGATATCAGATAATCGTTATTCCCTCTTGGATTCGATATTCGGCACCTTGATTGGCATAGCGTGCGGACTAATGGGGTATCACATATACTTCCCTTGGTTCCTCGAGACCAACTGTAAAGGTATGGCATTCCCACCCAGAAGACTCTGTCACAAGAGTGGTAAGTTCTGGAGAATTTCCCATGACGACTCCTTTGAGTATGACGACGATGCAATGTTTATAGATGATGAAACGACAGGCGAGGAGACTTCCGATACATCACTGGAACCACCAAGATCCATCAGATCAAAGAAGTCAAGACCCTCATCTTCCAGATTCAGAGTTTAGGTTTCCTTTCCTACGTTCATTCACAAGATCAAGTAGATGTCCGTCTTGTTGAGCCTTGTTGTTCTCTTTTGTCCTTCCTTGACAATGACCAACTCTGTAGATGTGTGCTTTGTAGAAACACTTGGGGTGTTTTCCCTCTCTCGGCTAATAAACGAGAAAAAACAACAACACCGAGAACTTCACCACCACAGCGGGTACTAAAGCAACGGAGCAAGCAGAAAGAAAGGTAGAGAACAGCATGTCGTGGAGGCAGTTTCAATTCTTTGAAACAACACCTATAAGGGATCCAAATCTTGGGACGGACCGCCCGTTGTATTCTGATCCTTCGCTCACAGCGGTATGTGGATTGGACCAGTACTTGGTGATAGCAACACACAACTCAACGATACAACTGATCGATAAGAACCTGCAATTTGTGAAACAGTTTGTGTCTTATGAAAAAGGATGGAACGTTACCTTCCTACATGCGCTACCTTCAGTGAACATGTTTGCCACGCTTGCAGAGAGGCAAGGCCAACCGGCACAGTTGAAGCTATGGGACCTTGACAAGGTTATGGACAAGGACTTGGATCCACAAGGCTACCATACAGTGGTTCATATAAAGAACGGTTCGAATGCTTACCCTGTGACGTGCTTGTCATCATCAGAGGGATTCAACATTGTTTGTGTTGGGTATGCCAACGGTGTTGTTATTGTGATACGTGGTGACCTCCTGAGGGATCGTGGATCAAGTCAGACGGCTGCCTTTAAGAACCAGGATCCAATAACAAACGTACAGTTGGTACAGGGGAATAACAATGACCCGATATTATACGTGACATCCACGTCAAAGATTGTTGCAGTGCCAACAACACAGAGCTACAAGCCAGGTTCAGAACTTGTCCTTGACAGTTCAAGAGGCGCAGATTTGGGTAATGCCATATTGGACGGCGATAAACTAGTTGTGGCAAAGACGGATGGATTGGTGTATTATTCTGCAACTGGTGAACCACATTATACGGTTCCGTTGGAGATGCAAAAGAAGCGTATCTTCAAGTTTGGAAAGAATATGTTGATCGTGACTACAAATACACAAGAATCCTCAGGATTGGTCCTCAATGGATATACAGAACCTACAAAGATCGTCATGGCTGATATGGAACACAAGTTGTTAGCTATGGCTCATACTATTGCATCAACTATTCAGCACATTTTACTATTGTGGGATGATGTGTACTGTCTCACCTCTGATGGAGTGCTCTACAGGGTCCACGAACGAGATGTCAATTCTCAAATCGACATTGTGACAAAGAGAGGACTATACCCAATTGCGATTCAAATCGCTGAGGGTAAAGTTGATCATACAAAGCTCCTAGAGATCAAGAGATCATATGGTGATTATCTTTATGAAAAGAATGAAACTACACGGGCAATGGACCAATACATTGAAACAATTCAACTTGGGAAAACAAGTGAAATCATTAGAATGTACAAAGATAGCAAAGAAGTTGGAAACCTATCGAGATTTCTTGAAAACATGTTACAAGCTGGTATGGCTGTGAAAGAGCATGTCACGTTGTTGTTGTGTACTTATTGCAAGTTGAAGCAAGTTGATAAGTTGAACGAATTTATCGAAAGATATGACAAAGAGACGAACGATCTTATGAGAGTGGAATTTGATCTTGATGTTGTTGTGGGGCTTTGCAGAGACACTGGGTTTTTAGAGCAAGCATCAAAGCTTTCCCAAAACCTCGGCTACCCTCTGTTGGCTGTTGACATTCTTCTCAGAGACAACAAAGATGCATATTCGGCACTGCAGTACATCAAGACGTTACCAGTTGATGAAACTCTTCGAGTATGCATACAATACGCCCGACTCTTATTGGAGGCTGCACCGAATGTCACTACAGCGATGTTGATAGAAGTCTTTACGGGAAAATATAAACCAGAACGAGAGGAGAACAAGGTCATTAAAGACGAGACACCGGTTTTATTGCAGAGTTATACTGCTTTTGTCAATTACATGTCCAAATTAAACTCAAGAGATGAACCTGACGAGGATGTTATTCAAGATACTTATCAGCCACCACGTCCGAGGGTGATCTTCCCATCTTTCGTCAATAGACCAAATGAGTTTGTTATATTTTTAGAGGCTTGTGCTCAGAGCTATGACAAGTTTGAAGGGAACCCCAAGGATAAGAACGACGTGTTAACTACATTGTATGAGTTGTACTTGACGATTGCGTCTACAAGTGAGAATACTGAAGAATGGCACGAAAAGGCACTGAATTTGGTTAAGAGGAATGATCTTAATTCAAATACAATTCTCTTGATATCAAACGTTTTTGAGTTTGACCAAGGTGAAATCATCGCCAGAGAGGGACCTGGATTCCAAGTTGATTTATTCAGATCTTACGTGGCTTCAGGCCAAGTAGAGAACTGTATCAAACTGCTAGACTTACATGGTAAAGAAGAACCAGAGTTGTGCTCATTAGCTTTGATGTTTTACACGTCGAGTGATGAGGTTTTCCAAAGAGTCGGAGAAAAGAGATTCAGAGACTTGTTAAGATGGATCAAAGATGACGAGATAATGACCCCTCTAGAGTTCATACAAGCTTTGAGTGTGAACAAGATAACGACTGTTGATGTCATCAAAGACTTCATAGTGGAGTTTATGGAAACCGAGAGAAGGGAGATTGAAATTAACGAAAAGTTCATCAAGTCATACCAGGCCGACATCGATACACAACGTGAGAAGATTCACAAGACTTCCGAAACCTTGACTGTACAACCAACCGTGTGCTCTTCATGCTCGCAAAAACTACGCGATGATACTGTTTATTTCAGATGCTCGCACGCGTTCCACAAGAGTTGTCTACCAGAGGAGGTTTGTCCACTCTGTGCCCCTATGAGGGAAACTCTACGGAACATCAAAGAGAACCAGAGAGCCATTGGAGAGCGCAACGAACTTTTCCAAGAATCATTAGAAGAGAGCGAAGACAGATTCAGAGTCGTCACTGACTTCTTTGGTAAAGGTGCAATGACAAGGATATAACATTGAAATGAGATGAGTATGACGTAATGTAAAGCTTATGGTAGAAGCAACAGAACTAAATAGTAAGGCCACGACCGTCGGACAAACACGCTTTGCTTTTTTTCTTTTTTTTTGCACTTCCACGTCACTTTGGGACGCGTTCGTTGTACATAAACAATAGGAAACAGGACCAAAGATCGTGTTGAGAATCAGTGACAATGGGCAAGGAAGATACACCGTCCGATGCCAGGTTAGCATCCACTCATAGTGAAAGTCTACAATCTGGCGAGAATGGTGTTGCAAACGGCTCCAGTGCTAGTAGCTGTAGTGGAAGAGATGAGCTTAAGCCAGACAATGGGAAGAAGCAGAGAAAGTCGCCATTCATCTTCAAAGATGACAACCAGAAAACCGAATTGGTTGAACTTGCCATTTACAAGGAGCTTTGGAGGAAGCCGAAGCATATGATGTATCGTGAATTGGCAAAGGATTTCAACCAGTCTGAGAAATTGGGCACTCACAACAATAAACCACCTGCGACGCCAAAGTCCGTGAGTAGGGCCTTTATTGACATGGAGAGGATTGCCAGAGAAGAGATTAAGCGTGCTGGAGGTAGCTATACCGTTACAGAGTCGAGGATACTACCTGAATCAATAATTTCGATGATTCACTTTTTGCGGAAGAAAGACAAGTATTTGAAGTTGAAGAAAGAGATCACGTCCCTTGACGGCGGATATTATGGTGCCCTTGATGGGGAAGACATGATGGACTCTGAAGATGAAGATATTGGTGATGTATGGTTGCAAGGAAAATCAAGTGATCAGGAGGATCAAGAAGAGTCTCAAAATCAGGTAGAGACTGAGGGAGGACAACCTGAGGCTGAACCTGAAGCTCAACCTGAAGCTCAACCTGAGGCTGAACCTGAAGCTCAACCTGAAGCTCAACCTGAGGCTCAACGTGAAGCTCAACCTGAGGCTCAACGTGAAGCTCAACCTGAGGCTCAACGTGAAGCTCAACCTGAGGCTCAACGTGAAGCTCAACCGCAGTCTACACACAATTATCCACAGGCACCTCCAGGTATGCACATTGGTCCATATCCTTTTCCACCCGGTCCACCTGGTCCACCTCAGGGACCACCACATGGAATAGTACAAGGACTACCACATGGAATAGTACAAGGATTACCACATGGAGTGGTTCAAGGACCACCTCCTGGAGTGCTACATGGAGTACATCAGGGACCACCTCAGGGACATCAAGGTTATACACCTAGACCTCCACACCTGCAAGCACAGAAACCTTTAGGCGAGCACGAGCCAAAAGGACCAATGTTCAATACCATTCATTTACCCCCTTCACAACATCAGATTCCTCCTCACTTATATCCTCAGATACAACATCAAGGCGTCTACCCACCACAGCAAACTTATTCTACAAATAACACTGATGGTCCTGCAGTGGTGTACAACCCTCCGATTATTACAGGCCCTCCACATTCTACGTCAGAGCATGAAACTGTAACTGAAGGTGATAGAGACGTCCTTATCAGAAGAATTGCCGGGGCAGTCACAGATTTTGAAGCAAATTTGACTCAACGTCTAATTGAGGAAACTACTAGTTCTAAAAAGATGGTCGACAACTGGCACAACTCCATGAAACAGGTCCAAGATGAAGTAGACTTGCTTCACAAGCTGGTCATGGGAGTAAGTTCAAAGCTGGATAGCATCTTGGAGCTGTTACAAGCGAAGAAGTAAACAATTAAAGGTGATATTATAATGTACAGTGAGCTATAGTATTAAGATTGTAATCATTATTCATCTCTATAACTTTTCCGGCCCGTGGGAGTTTTTCCGTACGGAAAAATAGCATCTCACATTGCATAATTGCGACTACGGCTTTGTATGTAGGAACACAACTTTATTTGATTAGTGGATAGAGTGACTTTTCAGTAATGAATCGCTTAAATAAGGGGATCATTGATGTCTCAGAAAGCTCACTGGAGAGAGCTCTTGTTCTCTGAACTCTGGGCTGTTGCAGATGTGATTTGCTTTTTGTTCTGTTCTTTTAGTTGTTGGTCCCGTTAATCTATCGATGAAACAAACATGACACATCAACTCATCTGGGGGAATTGTAAAACAATCACAAAACTTTTGTTGAATGGTTGATTATAAACGGGTATAAAGCTCAATGAGAAGGCAACTTCAACCTATTGGAGCTGAGTTATCCTTCACAACAATCAGGGAATGTCAACATCTTCTATCTACTCATCGGTCTTATCAATTTACTCGGACTCATCAAATGAAGAAGCAGAACCAATTGCGAGCGACCTTCCAACAACCTTCAACCCATATTCCAAATCACTATGGATTAACACGAGAGGAGAAGTCGGTAATACAACCATTAAAGCCATCAATGAAAAGATTACGAGAGAAAACACGAGGCTCTATCCGGAACGAACTCATTTCACAGAGAGTTATCAGTTCCCGAAGAGAACCAAATCTCTCGACATTCGCATAGAAGATTCCAAACATGAGCCCAGTGATGATGTATATTACATTGATGATATCGTTTTAGAGGAAAACCAGCTCTTGAGTCGATTACGCATCGCCCAGCTATACAGGAAGTACTTGCACACGAAATATGCACACATTCTCACGTCTAAGATGGAATACCAGGTATTTGGGGACTTAACGTCACTTATAGAACTGAGTTTAACCTTTGTGAGGCTTCTCCAATCGCACGGTATCGAGGCACTCTTCTCACATATCAAAGAACTACAAAAAGTGCGTTATCCTGATCCAGATGCTCTGGAAGGTCTAATGGATACCAATGTTTGGGATTGGTTGGATGAATGTGAGTTTAATACGAAAATGAGACTATCTTATGCATTGAATAGTCCAGAGAAGAGATTACTAGAATATCTAAAGATCATTAATTCTAAGCTGTTGACTTGTGATGACCAAGTAAGAGTTACCGTGTTACACGATGAGAAGCGAGCATTAGAGGGACTGATTGACTCCGTTTCAAGGACCCATGAGGTTGAGACTGAAGATGGATTGGAGAACCTAGTGAGCACATTCAACAGGAAACATCATTCGTTAACTTTGCTACTTCAAAGTTTCCAACAAATAGGCTTACCAATGTTGAAGTTTCTCCAATACCAGAAGAATCTCACTGTTAAATGGGAACGGTTCATGGAATACGAGGATGACTGTGATGAACGATATATCAGATCGATATACCAGTCATATCTTAACAAACTGGGAGAGCAAGAAAGTACCACGCATAGAATGGTTGTGGAGTTCAACGAACGTGTTCTCAGAGCCTTGGGGATGATGCTTGAGAGTTGCGAGAACATTGGGAAGCTCATCAAGAGGCATAAATCTACACAACAAAGGAAAATAGAGAACCAGATTCTTGATGAATTACCTGATTTCATATCTATATTGGCCCAGTTTGAAGAACAAGTTGTACTAATGTACATACAGTTCGTCGAAAGGTGGTTTTGTATGATGTGTGATGGCAAGAAGCTGAAGATCATTGGTGATAACTTTGACATAATTGAGATGTACGCCATGTCAAAGTATACTACAAAACAAGCCATGAAGGAATTCAAAGGAATTCCAGAGAGCAAAGTTGTTCGTCGTCTGTTTGGTGTATAGCCCAGGTTTATTATTATCATCACGATCAATTATACATAAGTGCTCTTCAACTGTTATTCTTCAAGTTACGTTTTTGTTGCAATAAGTTTTTCTTTACAAGTTTCTTTCTCTCTGCTCTGTTCAAACTTCTTGGATCGATGAGTTCATCCTCTGTACCCTTTACCTTATCATCAATTTCAACGAGCCATTGGTCATCCAAATCTTTATTCTTACCTTTATAACCCCATTTTGGAACCCATTCACCAGTAGCTTCGTCATAGACCATCTTACCCGATTTCTCCTTGGCTTTAATACCTTTCTTCTTAGCAAACAATTCCCATTTAGTTGGCTCTTTAGCCTTTGGCAATGGCTTCTCTCTTGGTAATTCCGTTATTGGTTCAGGAAGTTGAACAAGAGTCAATGTGGCCTCGTTATCTGTTGTTGTTCTCAAAGGTAATGACAGAATCTGATTAATCAAGAGTTGCGTATTGTCTCTTGCTATGGACTGTAAATACTCTTCTCTTTCAGAGCAATTCGAAGAGAGTTTCTCGTTCTCTAGTGCGTTGGTATCAAATACAGCCAAGTTACCCAGGTCATAAGACACTGGGATTAGTTTTTCAACGGTAACCGGTTTGCTTCTTGAAAGAACTTGTTAGTGAGGTCTAGCAACAAACGAATACCGAAAGGTGGTGACATACTCAGACATTGGTTGATAGATCTTTAGACCTCTTTTAAAATCAATATGTCTCGTTAAAAGTTTTGCGATGAGGTGAAATTTTTTTATGCTGGGCTTGCATTGAAAAAAAAAAAGCCAAACGCTTCATAACCATTTCGCTTAGTAAGATGTTACATAATCACAGTACTATTCACGCTTTCCGCTACCTCGTAAATGTTTTACTGTCCCCTAATACTTTACCGCTATGATTTACCGGCAAGCGTTATGGACTGTGGTGAGGACGATGACCTCGTTGGATAGATACATACCTATGATAGACGTTAGTATGGGACGTGGGGTCTCTGGAAAATGCTGTACTAACAAGGATCGAGTAGGCGATTCTCTCGGCTTCCGATTTCGAGCAGGTTTCAGTGAAGAGGATAAGAAAGGCCCTACAAGAACTGTATGCAGTGGAATTTGTAGAGAATAAAGCTCAGATCAACGAGCTCATTTTATCACGATTCCATTTGTACGAGGAGAGGGAATCGTCTGGAGAGCCTGCTCCCAAAAAGGTGAAGAAGCCAGTCGCCAAGAGAAAGAAACAGGTCAAGAGTGAGTCCACTGTCCCTAGAACGACCTCAATATCTTCGTTAGAGTTGAATCTGAGCCCCAAACTCACCAACCTGCTGGGTGAGACTAGACTGCCTCGAACACAAGTGGTGAAGCGAGTATGGGACTATATAAAGGAGCATAACTTGCAGAATCCAAACGATCGAAGAGAAATCTTGTGCGATGACAAGATGAGTGAAATCTTTGGTAAGAAGACGACCATGTTCAAGCTGAACAAAGCACTAAGTGCGCATTTGTACAAAGATGACGAATGAACAAGTACTTGTATTATCATACCTAATAACCAGCCTGTATTTAATTGTTTAATCATTGAATCTGAACAAATTTGTAGACAAAGAAACACCGTGGAGTAACAGTAAACGGCCCAAAACATCAAAACATTTCCGAAAAATAAACAAAGGTCTTGAACCGATCGGCGGCTAAACAAACACCACAGCGCTTAGCTACATCGTCGGCGTTAAGATGTCATATAGACCTGTGCTTCAACTGCTGCTATTGGAGCATCAACAGGATCCCAAGTTCAGGAAAGTCTCCAACATCGTGAAGGCAACGCTGCCCATAGGGTTCATACCGCTTTTGAAACAAGAGCTCCAGAAAATCGCTATAATGAAGACGATGTATTCTCAACTGTCCAAGAGATCGATGCTTCATCTCTACAACGATATGCTTGCGCCGAACTTTCGAATATACACGCTAGAAGAGCTCATTATGGCGTACATCACGCTGATGAAGAAAGAGCAAAAACTGCTGGGTGAAGATGCTCTCCCGTTAGAGGACTTTTTGGATGTGGTGAAGAGGGTGTTGAAGAGGTGTAAGAGTCCAGAGCAGTGCCTGCTCAAGCTGGAAACTTTCTACGGAGAGGCATGCAATCCTACGTATAAAGTATCACAGATCAGAGACTCACAAACTCTGATACGTGTGTATGCCTTGGATCCTGTCAATCTACAACGAGAAGTCGATTCTATGCCCAAGCTGACACTGAGTAATTGGTATGGCGACCTCACGACAATGAAACAACAACTGACCACGAACACGTACAGGGTCAACCCTGACTCCTTTGATACACCTGAGCTGTATTTCGAATGGAGAAATATACAGATCTCCGAGATAAACGGACTCATGAAGGGGAAGGCAATGGGAGGAGGTGTAATACCACAGGATCCGGAGATGGCACTACAAGATTTGATAAAGCATATGTTTACAAACGATACGCTATACGGCGGTTTCCCATTGGTTGAGAAATGTTGCAAATATTGGAGAATTGACCAGAACTCGAGAAACGTAATTTTGCACAAAGTTGCCAATGAAACTGTTTTAAAATCGGATTTCTACAGCACGGAACTTTCAGAGAAGATCTTTACAATCTGCTCAGACGTGGACCCTCTATGGACCAAACATAACAAGTCAGAAAATGATGCGAACTGGGATGAATCTCTCAATAGGCTAATGATGGAATTGCGTTCGACATTGCAAGACATCTTCACCTTCCCCAAGTTCTCCCCGTTACTTCAGATATACTACTCATTCTTTCAAGAGATTCCATCTCCCAGATGGATGAAAAGACTGAAAAACACACTGTTATCGACCACGGAGAAGAAATACGTTGAATTTTTACAATCAGTACCAAGAGACAATTCCCTCTCGTTTAATCATATTGAAGACGTCTCATATAAAATTTACGAAATGGTTCGAACTTTGCAGAAGAGGTACCCTAAACCTTTGTTAGACCAGATAAATATTCCAAGGGAATGTGCATTGCTCTTCATACGATTCTTTGGTGAGGATACTAAGAACATGTTGAAACATATTGAACATTATGCACTGAAGTCACCAGTGAATAACGTCGAAGCCATGGACTGCTACAGTCAGTTGAACCAATTGAGGGACGTCTATTCTCAAATCTCAAAAGACCCATTTCCAATTGAGTTGGAGAAACGATTCTTCCAATACTTTGACGAATTTACAGATGATATAGGAGAAAATTTCATTCCTGTTACAGAAAGAGCCATCGAAGCGGATAATTTCCAACCAATGGATCGTGATGCTGGAAGAATGTTCAGCCAAAGTGCACTGGATGTTAAGAAGATGGTAAATGAAATGTGGTCCCTAGTTCAGAAGTACCATTGGAAGAACGATATTCAACTGGCATACGTCTACACAAAGTTGCTGAAGCACTTCTCCCAGTCAATCAGTACATACTGTTTTACTCTTATCAGCAAAGTTGAACATGACTTACGTGATCCAGTCACTGTTGAAGATAAGAGGAAATCACTCTGGATTTTCAAAAATAATACCCAGGTTCCACAACCTTTTAACTTCAAGACTGAGACCTGTGTTGTGTTGAATGATTTATCGGAGTTAGTCCATCAACTTGTTCAACTGGAAATGACCATAAATCCAGAGCAAGTCAGGCGTATCTTGCACGATACACTTGAGAACGTTGCACAGAAGAAAGGAAGCTCTGTTTTCACCATACGAGTCATTGATGCAGAAAACATTAAATCATCAGATGCCAATTCCAGCACATATGTCAGCATAAATAACACATCGACAAAAATGGAAATTGGAAGTACTACATTATCGACCAATACTATTAACCCAAGGTTTGATCAGATCTTTGAACTTGAGACTCACGAAGAAGTTAAACTATCATTCTCACTTTGGGAGAAGTCTTCATCTCAGTATGATAAGATGATTGGACGTGCATTGGTCTTCCTGAATCCAGAAAGGTTCAGTCCAAACGGTGAGCCAGTATCTATGACCAAAGATTTTGATATCCAAGGTTCATTGAACCTGGAGATATCTCTAGAATCTGAGAAGAACGATGCAATTTTTTACATGGGAAAGGCACACAGAACAATCTTAAGATCCGTTGATATGGTTATCTCTAAAATTGTTGACAAGTTTTCTGTCTTTATCACACAGTGCTTGTCAAGGGATACCTTGAAGCTATGCTCTTCTGCTGATCCCGCATCTGCGTATAACGCACTTGAGCCGTTATACGATTATCTTAATGCAAACCTACAAACGTTGGCCATGACCCTTACTCCGGAGTTGTTAATCAAAGTTATGCTCCAATCATGGAACATTGTTCTTGACACACTCGATTCATTGGCTTTACCTCCTTTGAGCGCATCCAGGAAACTTCAACTCAACAACAAATGGACATTCACTGTTATTGATCGAGGCATACCGGGCTATGGTAAAGTGTTGACATTGGACGAAATCAAAGTTATTCAACTATGGCTAGATTCCCTGGTGGAATTTTTCCACAACAATGGGAATGGGCCTCCTCTTACTGTTATGCACAACAAGCATTACAAGAAACTACACCAAATTGTCGAATATTACGACATGTCAGCAACAAGGCTCAAGAACCTCGTTGATGAATGGACACCTGCCTGTATCAGTGCCATAAAGGAACGCAACGTCATGTTAGATGATCCCTTCAAGAGATCCGGTACCATTGTTGCATTCGGATCAAAAAAGAGAAGAGAACAGAGCACACCCAAATCACAAAGCTCACAATTGGACCTCGAGGATGCTGTTTTGAGAATTCTCATCTGTAAAGATGAAAGGGATTTCGTACACAGCAGACTGAAAGAACGCGCAAGGGTCCTGAACAGTGTAGCGACGGAACGCTTAGCGAAGTTAGCAATGAGAAAACAGTGAGGCAAGTACATTTCAAAACGATTTCCTCTCATTCTCTCTCTGTTTTTGTTCTTGCCTATATGTGCTTGATATCTGTAGTACCCCGGGTTTGCTTTTTTTTGTGAGTCTTTTACGACAAAACGGAGAAAAACAAGTGAATTTGTGAGTACAAATTGAACGATCCTCCATACTTAAAACATCAAAAGGAGTTGATAGCTTTAACTGTCATGGATGATCCACTCGTCAATGAGAGTGTTTGGTCACTATCAAGCTCTCCAGAGGCACAAGATTCACAAGGAGAACTGGAGAAGAGGCTACAAGCACCTGTTTATGTGTCGAAGCATAGCTCCGACAGGGATATCAACAAGAGCGTTGGGTTGATACGGAGGACGTCACAGTCCAGCAATGATAGTAAGTTTGCTGGTGTCAACGGTAACAGCTCAACTGTAAATACCAAGTCCTCGCCTGCAGGACCATTTACCACAGAGGATCACGCTGAGGCTCCAACAGAAGTTGCTACACCGAGGTCGAATTCTGGGTTTTTAGATAGCGTTCTTACCTCTCTATCTGAGAAGAAGGATGAGAGCACGAATTCTGTCACTTCGCCCACTATGATGAGTTATAGAAGAACTCCAAGGGCGAAGAAAAGAGGTGCAAGCACCAGCTCTATCGATATTACTTCGCCCCTGACAGAGGCACCCAAACCGTATACGACGTTTTCCTACGATACAAACCTATACGTCGAAGAGAAATTCAAAGATACCGATTACAGATACGCTACAATCCCACGTAACGAAGAATTCCACAAGCTATTCAAATCTGTTTCGCAAAGCGATCGGTTGTTGGATGATTTCAGTTGTGCGCTGAGCCGTGATATCCTACTCCAAGGACGAGTTTATGTTTCCGAGCATAACATATGTTTCAATTCCAATTTGTTGGGATGGGTGACTAATTTGGTGATACCACTACCTGATATTACAGGCTTTGAAAAGACTTCAACTGTTGGTTTATTCCCTAACGGTATCGCTATATCCTCTAAAGAAGGTAAGAACTCGTTTGCAAGCTTTATTTCAAGAGATGGGGTTTTCGAATTCCTTGAAACTGTTTGGAAAGCATCTGGAGGTGTACCTTCAACAATCGACCACTCAGGGGATACACAAACATCTCAAGTCTCATCGTTGCTACAGTTGAATGGTATGCCAGTTCTATCAAAGGGACTTGATTTAGATCAGGATTCTTCTTTGTACACTGCATATGGGGGCGCTCTAATGTCACTCGACAGTGACAATTCTAGAAAGTCTTCAATGACAAGCGACGACGTTGAAGAAGAACAGACTGACAACTCTGAAGTTGTGGAGGAAAAGGTTTCAAGTCAAAAAGTTCACGTTTTAAAGCCAGATTCGAAGTACTCGTATATTGGTACTCATGGGCACGGGGTAACACATTGTCCGTACAAACCAGAGGATAACAAGGAAACAATATTGGCCAGGGTTAATCTGAATTGTCCACCAGGTGTTCTATACGAGTTCTTATTTGGATCTAACTTCACAATGCTTAATGAGTTTTTGAGGACACAGGACTCCCGAGATTTTAGTGACGTTTCTGAATATGAAACCAATGCGGACAAGAAGAAAGAAAGACATTATGAATATATCAAGGATTTGAACTACTCAGTTGGTCCTAAACAGACCAGATGTATAGTAACTGAGACCATTGAACATTACGATACTGATGGTTACATAAACGTTGTTAACACGACCCAGACACCTGACGTTCCATCAGGAAACGCATTCTGTGTAAAGACAAGATATATTATGACCTGGGGTAAAGGAAATACCACAGACTTGGTCATCTCTTACTGGGTTCATTGGACTGGATCTAGTTGGATGAAAAGTATCATTGAGAAGAGTACGAAAGGTGGGCAGGAATCTGCTGCAAAGGCGTTACTAGATAAGATTAAAGAGGTTTTGGAGGAAAATATTCAAGAAAGTACCGAGGAAGTTTCTACAGCTGTTAAAGCAGACGAGGAAGAACAGGAAGAACAAGAGAAGGCTGAACTAGGGGGTTCTCCAGTGGAGACAGTATTGCGTTCCACTTCACCGATCACCACCATATTGGAGGGCGTGTCTATTTTCAATGTATTGGTCATTGTGTTACTATCATTGATTGTTGTTCTTCAGTTCCAAATTCTGAGAGGATTAAACGGAAGTTCTCGTCTCGTATTTGACTTTGTTGATGGGAATGATAACAGCATTGAAGGTGACCCATCCAGAAGAGTTAACAGTGAAGCCGTTGTTTGGAACTGGCTGGACGACAGAATTGGCACTTTAAACGAATCTCGTCGCGAAGAGTTGGACTTACTGCAAAGGGAGATAGATGTGTTTATAACGAAATGGACCACAGGTGACTTAGACTTGGAGCAAACTAAGGATTTGTTAAATCAATTCCAGTTGAGTTTGCATAACTACGCAAATGGAGTTGAAGATGATGAAAGACGGAAAAATCTCAAAGTTTTGAAAGATGCAATTAGTGCGTTATTATGAGATGACGATGATGAGTTAGATAGGTTGTTCAAAGAGTTGTAGTGCCTGGTAGAACTAAAGGATCATATATACATAGTGACAACATTCGAGTTCTTTAAAACGTGATCACGTGACCGTATTTCCCCAAGTTGCAAAAAAAAAGGGCCGAGCAGGGAATTGAACCCTGGACCACTCACACCCAAAGCGAGTATCATACCACTAGACCACGCGGCCGATTATGAAACAACGAAAGAACGTGCTTTGCCGGGAAGAGTATGTCAGACATTTCAAACAGGACATTTCTGACAACCCTGGCCACCAAATACATCGAACCGTCCTATGCTCAACTACTGAACGAATAGATGTACTATGTAGATGTACGGTCCATTTACCCGAACTCATTGAACCATGCAACCCAGATACCCAGGACGCTGAGCCCACTAATTGAACTGCACGTGTTGAACCAACACGCTAAAAGCAGCCACAGGGCTGAAAGTCTCATCAGGAAGAGCGCAAAGGGAGCGTTCTAGAGAAACGGTGCGAGAGAAGGAGTTTGGAACCGTTTAGCACGCCGGGAGAGTTCGATCGCCTTGACGTGACGTGTGAAATGTTGGCTTCTCGGGACCAACTGCTCCACCTCTGTGCAAATATGTGTATACATTATCATCACTTTGAACTGTGGTTCCGATTGTGTAGCGGAGATATATTCCACCATCTCTGTGATCTCTGTGATCTCTGTGATCTCTGTTATCTCTGTTATCTCTGTAGCAGATCTCTACAGTTCAAATTCCGCCTCCATGATAGGAAAACACACACAACTGAGTATTATCCGCCTATTTGTTATTGTTCTATGTGTTTATACCGAAAAAAGAAACACACTTTACTGTGGCTATTGCAGGATTTGAGAAGATGAATTCATACAAAAATCAACCCGCAGGAATTTTAACACATTTGGCTTGGATCAGCTCCTTTTCCTTTTCCTTTTCCTTTTCCTTTTCCTTTTCCTTTTCCTCTAAGCAAATTTATAACCACCGTGACCAGCATTGCTCATGATTTCAAGCGTGTAATACAAACGCTTATAGAAACAGGGAGAAGGAAAGAGCAGAACAGAGAGAGGAATACATACGCAGCGGGTCAACAGATGGCTTAGAGTTTAGCTACAAAGTCATTACCACGTATACCAGCATCAACAACAGCCGAAAATGACGAGCATGAACAGAAGCGAGAGCGATCCTCTGGTGAGTCCAGGCAAGCCCTCGACTTACGAATCACTGCACTCCCATCTCAAGTCGCCTACTGGCGTTTCCCGCTCTAGACCTCGGACAGTGGTGTCTGTTTTGAGAGATACATCAAAACAGAGGTCACAGTCTCCAATGAGCATACAGATACGGCGCCGCGCTTCGACATCGTCGTGTTCAACAGAGTCGCAATTCGAGGTTAACTTCTCACAGAAGTTACAGTACTATCTCCCGTGCTACTCCTGGATCCCGAGTTACACCTTTTCAAAGTTCATAGGTGACTTGGTTGCTGGTCTTTCGCTAGCGTCGTTCCAAATCCCCTTAGCTTTGTCTTATGCCACTTCTGTTGCTCATGTGCCAGCGCTATGTGGACTGTACTCGCTGGCAATCCCACCTATCATCTATGCAGTGTTTGGCTCTGTGCCACAGATGATTGTTGGACCTGAGTCAGCCATTTCATTGGTTGTTGGCGAGGCTGTGGGTCCCTTACTCGCCCATGATGAAACCCTGGACCCAGTGGACCTCGTCAGTGTCATGTCGTGTATTGGTGGATTCTACCTCCTAGGAGCAGGACTGTGTAGGTTTGGGTTCTTGGACAATGTGCTTTCAAGAGCTCTACTGAGAGGATTCATCAGTGCTGTTGGCCTTGTTATGATTATAAACTCATTATTTGACGAGCTAGGGCTAAGAGTTGTTAGCAAAGACATTCCAAACCACTTTGGCTCACCATACGAGAAGTTTGGCTATTTGATTGGCCATTTGAAGTACGTTCATAAACCAACTTCACTCGTCAGCCTGGCTTCATTTCTCGTTTTATTTATTGTCGGCCATCTCAAAAAGAGGTACATAGCACATGGCTACAAATACTTAGTATTTATTCCAGAGATTTTAATTGTTGTGGTTATTTCAACGTTACTGTGCTATCTCAACGATTGGAAATCACTAGGTGTCCAAGTTGTTGGTAGAATCCCAACAGACAACTTCACCTATAATAACCCTCTGACCTCCAAGATGTTACCCTTATACCACAGTCTCATGTCAGGGAGTTTTCTCGCTGCCACATTGGGATTCTTTGAATCAACAACCGCATCGAAATCACTGGGTTCGATCTACGATTTGCAAATATCCTCTAACAGAGAGCTTGTTGCTTTGGGTGCTATAAACGTATTTGGAGGTATAATCGGTGCTCTTCCTGCATTTGGTGGGTATGGAAGATCACGTATTAATGCATTGAGTGGTGCACAGACCACACTATCTGGTTTGATCATGGGATGTGTCACTCTACTGACAATATTCTGCCTTTTGAAGTTCATTTGTTTCTTACCAACCTGTGTACTATCCGTGATCACTTCTATTGTCGGTTTGAAGCTATTAGATGAAGCACCAAGTGATATCATGTTCCATTGGAGAGCAAAAGGTTATAGCGAACTTTTAACCTTTTGTATCACCGTGTTGGTGAGTATCTTCTACTCCATGGAGGCGGGAATCGCTGTTGGCGTTGGCTATTCGCTAATTAGAGTCATCAGAAACTCTAGTCATTCCAGAATCCAAATCTTGGGTAGAATTCCAGGCACCAGTACTTTCATGAATGCAGATGAGCCTTTGCCCGAAGAAGATGGCAATGTCCTTGAAGAGATCGAAGGGTGTCTTATCGTTAAAATCGCAGAGCCATTGACATTTTCAAACACTTCTGACCTGAAGTTGAGGCTCTTAAGACTAGAACGTTATGGGTCTGCAAAAGTTCACCCTGGTGCACCACGGTTAAGGAACGAGTATATGAATAGCCATGTGCTATTTGATATGAATGGAATGACGTACCTAGACTCATCAGCTGCTCAGATCTTTTATGAAATCCTCGATGGGTACAAGAAGAAGGGAATAAAGTGTTATTTTATAAGAGTCCCAACGAAGTACGGCATACGTGAACGTCTGAGAGATTCCGGTATTACTGGGCTCTATGGCGAAAAGTTTTACAATCATATTGAAGAAGTGTTAAAGCTAATCGATACCGATAGTGAATATGTACCGCTCTCTGCAGTCACTTCCGACCCAACTAGAGGAGGATACGTTGTATAAAAGGTTTAAATATTTCTATTGGGATAGCTTGATCTCTGTAGGAGTGCGTACGTGAACAAAGACATGGCATTGGAGGGAGGTGGTAAAGCATCAAAGGGTGCATGCAATACACGCGAGATTAACCAGGAGTGTGTGTTGTCAGTCTTATCTTCCACTAACTGTGCATGTCCCACTATTCAACGTGTCGTAAGGTGTAGCTTATAGGCGACGATAGATAGTGTAGAAGATCACATTTTCAGCATCCGGTAGGAAAATTCAGCACCATCGTTCATAACACGTCCGATATAGTGTAACGGCTAGCACGGTTCGCTTTCACCGAGCAGACCCGGGTTCGACTCCCGGTATCGGAGCATATTTTTTAACGGCTTTTTGCATATGGCCTGTTACCCGGACTAAACCACAAACCGAACGATTATCTCTTTTGCCGTTGAAAAAACTACCCGAAAAGGGAAATATGCACGCTCACCCAGCCTTCCCATGCAAATTTTTTTTTGCGAAAAGACACTTCCAGCCCACACAACACACATCTGAATTTCCCTGACAACGAGAATTTCTCCAATTTCCCACTTTTTTTTCGTCCTTTTTTCGCATTCTCGCCTCCAAAAAGCTACAACGGGCGACTTGAAAAACGAAACAAAACAAACACAGTAAACAACTTCTTAGACATTTTCCGGTAGAGATCAACGCAAGCTTTATTAATCATTGCGATTGAAAAGACGACACAACAAAGCCAATCAGTCAATTAGTTCTACTATAACTTCTGTTATATTCATCTTTTTCTGGTGTTGTTTTTACCATCATCCTTTCCCGTATAAAATTGCTTTCATTTTTCGGGGGTGGTGTTTGTCGAGCGGAAACAGAAATAACGTTGCCAGAGCATTTCACATACACACGCGTGGCGTCAGCATTTGTTTGTGTTTTTTTCTAAGTGGCCTTTTCTGTTCTCTAAAGACAACAACAACAACAACAACAACAACAACGATTTCATCTAAACTCCTCCAAAGAAAGTCCATCAAACAGCTAAACGCATTGATATCTCCAGCGGAGAGAAAGTGAATTGAGCACCTTGGATCGGATTTGTAGTACAAGAGGTGATTGAGAGAAGTGCTTTTTTTGTTTGCAGTGATTTTGCTTTCGAGTTCGTGGTGCTGTTTTTTTATCAGTTCCTTTGTTTATCAGGGTGAGAGGTTAAGAACAACAACCAGCGGAAGAAAAAAGGAGGAACACAGACCGCCGTGGTGTTCTTAAGCATTGAACGAAGAAGCTTATCATTAGCCATTGAGAGCTTCAGCAGCCATTCTATTGTTATCACCGCCATATACTGAAGCACCTAGAAGAGAAGACAAAATGTCTTTGAATACTACAAACCTTCCCACACTACAACCAGTGTCGGAAACGTTTGATGAACACCTTCTTGGTGAGGCGGTTAAAAGGGCATCATTGCAGTCTTCACCAGTGAATCTGTCCAGTAACCTGAATAGCTTGTCGCTATCTGGAGGACCGTTATCTATGGATGCAATTCAGCAGCAGCAGCAACAACAACAACAACAACAAGAGTCATTATCACAGCATCAGCAACAACAGCATCAATCGCAACAAGCATCATCACAGCATCAACATTCACAACAAGAGATTCAACATTCACAACAAAGTCAACAGCAGTTAGCAGCAGAGCTACAGCAACAGCCGCAACAGCTGCCTCAGCATCAACAAGATTCTTCGATATATACTCTGAAGATTAAGAACGCCCCCTCCGATATCTCATTAAGAGAATCTTACTGCATCTTTGCTCTTGCCAAGGACTTCATTGGACTTGAACTCGCTCCAGACTCCAACAATTTGCCGGTGATATTCGCAAAGTTTAGAAGTTTAGCTGCTGCATCTACGTATTCCCAAATGTTGGAGTCAAATCAGGTATTTGGTCCAACTTATCCCTTCAATTTGAAGACTGAAATTGCTGATGCTGGGTTCCCTCCAAACTTAAACTTGGGGATCTCTTCGAAAAGACCGAGTATTGGGAATCACAGATCCAGATTCTTATTCACTGACCCCTTCAGTAATGATACAATCTCTGAATCTGTGGAGCCTACTCAGCAACCGCACAATGGTTCTGGAAAATCACTGTTGATGATGGAGGCACAACAGGATGCAAGAGAGTATGACCAGTTTGTTAGAGATCCATGGGCGTTGCAACAAACGTCAAGCCAACCGGGATCCACTGTGTCTTTGACAGCCCCTCAATACCTAGGTTCACAACCGCAAACACCAGGTGTTGACTGGGACAGAAGAATTCAACAGGGATCCACTTTCTTCACTAACCCATCGCCATTGTTGAACTCACAATTGGGGGCGTCGCATGTTCAGTCGCAGTTATCATTAAACCAAATAACTTCTCAGTTGCCGCCGTCTACACAGGCATTGCCACCTGGATTAAATCAACATGGGAAAGTTGGAGCACCTCCACAATCAGCACCTGTTTCTCAACAGCTTTCATCATCATCGTCATCACAACAACCCGTGTCACAACAGTCTCAACAACAGTCTCAACAACAGTCTCAACAACAACAATCTCAACCAATAGTACAGCAACAACCTTCATCATCACAGCATTCACAGAGCCAAGGGTCATCACAACCGCTACAATCTTCGTCATCAACCATATCAAATCGCTCATCACAAGTTGACTTATCACTCTTGGCTAGAGTACCACCACCTGCTAATCCAGCTGATCAAAACCCACCATGTAATACGCTGTACGTTGGTAATTTACCTCCTGATGCCACAGAGGCGGAACTTCGCCAACTGTTCTCCCCTCAATGTGGATTCAGAAGGCTCTCGTTTAGAACCAAACAATCTAATGGTCCATCCGGGTCTGGATCCTCCAATCATGCGCATGGACCAATGTGCTTTGTTGAATTTGAAGACATTGCATACGCCACAAGGGCATTGGCAGAGTTATACGGCAGAACTTTACCAAGACCTGGTGGGGTTACCAATAAAGGAGGTATAAGGTTGTCATTCTCTAAGAACCCATTGGGAGTTAGAGGACCAGGACAAAGAAGAACTTCTGCTTTCAACTACCAAAACGGGTTCAAAAGTTGAATTGCTGTAATGACTTCTTTACCTCTTCTCTATTGTTTGAGACTGAGTTGTATCTCATTGACATTTTGTGTTTATCGATTAAGGACCATTGAATTTTTACCTGCTTGTCACTACATTATTATCAGCTATCTTGCTGGCCACTTATATTTCGGAATTGTTCTTCTTGTGTTGTCTGATTTCTTCTTTTATCTAATTTCCTGTTCCTTTTCTTTTTGTCACGTCCACATTTCATTTTTCTATCTTATCTTCTTGTGCTTATTTGAGAGAACGTTGGGAGTAATCGGTATCATATTCCTTTCATCTAATGGTGATCTGTCTGTTAATATACAGCAAATCCTTGGTGTTCAACAAGAGAATATTTTCCGGCCGAACTTCATCTATGCTACTTGGATGTCTAATTTTTATGTCTTACTAAATACGTCGTCTAATTCGTGATCTTATATTATATTATCAACTAAACGTGTTTGATACTTTTACGTTTGGAGCCAATGTAGATCATACTTATGGGAATTATAGCACACCAAGTCTCAGACTTGTAGATCATGAAAATATTGCAAGGACAGCTATCAGTACGACAATAACCAGTATCAACAATATAATACAGCTCCATTTCTTCTTTTGCTTCTGATAATTGTCAGCTTTTACCAATTCCCGTGAAGCATGTTGGGTCTGTTGGGAAATGCTTGTCATGTTATTTTCAACAGTATCAATCTGGGAACCTTGTTGTTGAACCAGAAATCCAAGTTGCTTGTAGATGGAGTTGATCTCCTCCACTCCAGTATGGATCCTCTTAATCTCCTGTGCCCTCTCTTCTGCAAGAATAGTGTGAAGGTCGAGGTCTTGTTGTGGTACTGTATATTGCTGTTGCTGTTGTTGCTGTTGCTGTCGCATCAACGGAGTACGTTCATCAAGCTCTGAGGATGACGCCGACTGTTGTTGATCCATCATCGATGTCTTATTTGCCATTCTATCATGAAGTATGACCGAGGAACTTCTTTCGGTGTAGTTTCTCCTTATCTGACTGAAATTCTTCTTAATCTTTTCAAACTCATTCCTTAGCTTCTCCTCGCTAAACTTATCTTCAGATGAAGCCAAAGAGTTATTCGTGATCAGATGGGAAATATCATTGGTCAGATGCTCCAATTGCTGTCTGTACTCGTTGAGTTCCGGAATTCGTATCTCCTCTATGGTTTTGCGTAACGAAATGCTGTCTCTTTTAGTACCCAACTGATTAACAAGACGTTCGAGAGTATTCACCCCATTGGCAAAGTCAGTCAAGAGGTTCGAAGCCTTTGTAATGATAGCAGTAGCCTTTGTCTCATTGGACGGCACCTGAGTGCTGTTTTGAGATTCTAAATCGACGTTGAATGACATAGCTTTGACCTTGGCTTACTGTGTGGAATGTGAAAACAGGGTAAAATGCAATAGCTCTCGTAACTTTTCTGGCTCGCCGCCTCTCTGCCAGCCATCTCTTAAAAGCAGGCTAGAAAACCCAAAATTTGACAACGTTTTTAAGATTAGCCACAGATACCTTGAAACAGTGCACTGGCCACAGCGTTGAGGAAAAAGGAAATATGTGGCGAGTGTCCTTTTTTTTTTTCCTTCCTTAAATTTTAAGCGCGTCTTTCAAAGGCAGCGGCTCTCCGTTACGTAAAAAATCGTCAGAGCGCGTCAGTTTGGGAAAGAAGAAGAAACACGAAAAAACACAACAACACCATTTCTTATCCACAGCGGTACCTTTATATACACAGCGGTAACCGATACACAACATGGCAAGGTCTGATAAGCTCAAGGCTCTCAGGGCAGCGCGAGCCGCCGGTACTAGTAAAGGTTTGTACGAGGATGAAGAGCATGAAGATATCTACGACCTGGTGGACGAGGACCAGTACAAGGAGAAGAGACGCGAGGATTTGTTGAAGGATGACTTCGTCATTGACGATAACGGTGAAGGGTACGTTGATACCGGTGTTGATGAGTGGGATAGTAAGAACAGGCACGCGTACTCTGATGAAGAGGATGAAGTTTCGAACCCGAAGAAGAAGAAGAAAGCGGCTCCTGTTGTAAAGAAGAGCGCACAAATCAACAACTTCTTCAAACAATCCGCTGTGATATCTTTGGGGGCTAAGAAGAAGGCATCGACCAACTTTGACGATATTCTTGATGATTTCTCTGCTCCTGCGAAAAAGAAGCAGATCAATCATTTTGGAACAACTTCAAAGACGCCTCTGTTCAACTCAACAAACAAAATGAACAGTGGTAGAAACTTCTTCAATGGCAGCAGCAAGAAGTCATCGTTGAAGAAAAACAAGGCGTATGATGATAGCTTTGATGACCTTTCTTCTGATCCTCCAAGTGTGTCCTTTGACCTGGATTCCTCCCCTACAAAATCTAAGCGAACAACAACAATGCCAGAGATTGAGATCCCAACAAGACTTGAAGACGTGTCAGAGCCAAAGGAGCAATTGATAAAGGATGACGATGAGGATGATTCTGAGGATGAAATTGTTTTCGTAAAGAGACCAAGAACATCAACGATGAACGTTAACCGCTCCCATAACATGAACGCCACAAAGGCCTCAGAGATGAAACCAGACACTGAGAGTGATGTAAATCTCCCTTCATCTCCTAATACATCCACCATTTCATCTTCCATCGAAAAAGTGGACAAAGAACTTGTCTCTGGCTCTGATGATAGTATGAAAATGTATTGGACAGACTATGCCGAGGTTGACAACACACTTTTGCTTTTTGGTAAGATACTTACAAATGATTCACAATTCGTCTCTGGTATGGTTCAAATCAGAGGTTTCAACAGAGAATTGTACTTCCTTCCTCGAGAATATAGAAGAGTTGAAGGCGAGGATACCGAAGTCAAAGTAACTGCCATGGATGTACATCAAGAAGTTGCACCACTGATTATGGATAAATTTGGTCTCAAATCTCTCAAAGCTAAACCAGAAGTTAAGAAGTATGCATTTGAGATCCCAGGCGTTCCTAAGGAAAAGGAGTACTTGAAGTTGCTTTTACCATATCAGCCACCAAAGAACGCAAGAATCACTCTTCCTCCAGATCTTGAAGGTGAAACGTTTTCCCACGTCTTTGGAACAAATGCAAATATCTTTGAGTCCTTTGTTCTACAGAGAAATATCATGGGTCCTTGCTGGTTAGATATCAAGGGTGCCAATTTTGACTCGTTGAAGAATACTTCACACTGTAAACTTGAAGTTTCTGTTGATAGCCCTTATTCCATCACTCCAGTGGAAAAGTCTACACCAAATTTCGACATTTCACCACCTCCTTTGACCGTTTGCTCAATTGCAGTGCAGACTATGATGAACCAAAAGGAAAACAAACAAGAAGTTGTATCTGTTACTTTGGCTACTTTTAAGAATCTACCACAGGATGCACCGATTGACGAGAATCTCTCCCCAACGGAATTGATTACTTTGACCAGACCTATTGGTATCTCGTTTCCTCCAGGATTGAAGACGATTGCAGATAAGAATAAGTTCGCACTGAGATCCTTTAACAACGAGAAGACAATGCTTAACTGCCTTACTGCGCTTGTGAAATTGGCAGATCCAGATGTGTTTATTGGGCACAGAATGGAGAACATCTCTCTGGATATTTTAATGCATCGTATGCACGACTTGAATGTCTCTACATTCAGTGCATTTGGTCGTCGTGTGAAGAAAACATGGCCAGAAAGATTTGGAAAGAACAACTTCAATTCAACATTTGTAATTCGTGAGATCCTTGCAGGGCGTCTAATCTGTGATATCGCTAATGAGATGGGACAATCCTTAACTATGAAGTGTCAATCTTGGGATCTTTCTGAGATGTATGACGTTGTCTGCAAAAAGAAGCATATACCGTTGGAGATCAACTTGTCCAGTCCACAGTATCAAGAAAATGCAAACTCTTTGTTCATGGCTTTGAAAGAGAATTGTACTAATGCTTTGATCACCGCAGAGGTTGCTTTCAGGGTTCAAATTTTGTCTTTATCTAAACAATTGACAAATCTAGCTGGTAATGCTTGGAGTCACACATTAGGTGGTACTAGAGCTGGTCGTAATGAGTATATTTTGTTGCACGAATTCACCAGAAATGGTTACATCGTTCCAGATAAAGAAACCAAACAGGCCAAACTTCAATACCAACAAATGTTACAACAACAAAGGGCTGAGAATGAAGATGGTGAAGAGAATCAACTTCAATCAGCTAATAAGAAGGCCAAATACCAAGGAGGTTTGGTGTTTGAGCCGGAGAAAGGTTTACACAAGAACTACATTCTTGTTATGGATTTCAACTCCTTGTATCCATCTATTATTCAAGAATTCAATATCTGTTTCACCACAGTGGATCGTGATTTGCAAAACACAGATGCGTTACCAGAGGTTCCTTCTCAGAACATCAAGCAAGGTGTCTTGCCTCGGTTGTTGAATACATTGGTTTCTCGTCGTCGTGAAGTGAAGAAGTTGTTAAAGGATCCAAGTGCTACACCAGTAGAGAGAGCTCAGTATGACATTAAGCAGCAGGCCCTGAAGCTCACGGCCAACTCTATGTATGGTTGTTTGGGTTATGTTAACTCTCGTTTCTATGCCAAACCTTTGGCAATGCTTGTTACCAACAAAGGTCGTGAGATTTTGATGGATACTAGACAACTTGCTGAAAGCATTGGACTTCGTGTGGTTTACGGTGACACAGACTCCGTTATGATCGATACTGGTTGTAACACTTTCCAAGAAGCCATAAAGATTGGAGAAGACTTCAAATTGAAGGTCAATGAGAGGTATAGATTGCTTGAAATTGATATCGATAACGCGTTCAGAAGGTTGTTGTTGCACGCCAAGAAGAAGTATGCAGCTTTGAATGTCACATTTGATAAAGCAGGTGTTGAGACTCATGCGCTGGAAGTTAAAGGTCTTGATATGAAACGTCGTGAGTACTGTCCTCTTTCGAAGGAAGTTTCCACGTATGTCTTGGATAAGATCCTTAGTGAAGAAGACTCTGAAACTTCTCTGAACGAGGTCTATGCCTATTTGGAAGACATCGCATCTCAGGTGAAGGAGAATAAGATTAGAGCTGAGAAGTTCAAAATCAACACCAAGCTGTCTAAGGATCCAAGTGCTTATCCTGGTGGTAAGAACATGCCTGCTGTCCAAGTTGCTATGAGACTGAAGGATCAAGGTAAAATCATCAAAGCTGGTAGTGTTATAACCTTTGTCATTACTAGTGGCAAGGAAGGCTCGGTTGCAGAAAGAGCTAGAGCATTGACAGAGTTGTTACGCAAAGACTCTACTTTGAAGCCAGATCCACAGTACTACTTGGAGAAGCAGATCTTAGCACCTGTTGAGAGACTCGTTGAGAGAATTGAAGGAATTGATCTCACAAGACTTGCGAAATCATTAGGCATTGAAAGACATAGAAGTTATCAAACCCATGGCCACGCTGCTGATGTATTCCAACCCCTGGAGTCGACGATCTCTGATGCAGAGAGGTTTAAGCAATGCGACCATCTATTCATCCAGTGTTCTTGTGGCGTCGCCTTCCCATTTGGAGGTATTGTCTCATCTAAGGATTATTCCATAACCTTTAACGGTATTCAATGCTCTCGTTGTTCTCATCAATTCACACCACTACAAATCTCAAGTCAACTGGAACACAGAATCAGAGCATTTATTTCCCATTACTACGAAGGCGTTGTTATATGCGATGATTCCACTTGCGGATTGACAACAAAGCAGATCTCAGTCTATGGTAAGAGATGCTTGAACAGTGGCTGTAAAGGTGTTATGCGTTATCGTTATAGTGATAAGGCTCTGTACAACCAGCTGTTATTCTTTGATTCCTTGTTTGACGTCGAGAAGAACAAATCTCAACTGCTGAGACCTCTATACGACACTGCAGACAAATCCCAACCCGATGCATTGAGCAAAGGTCAGATTGACGCGCTATGCGAACAGAACCGTGACTTGTTCACCGTTTGGAGAGGTATCTCTCAAAAGTATCTAAACGACTGTGGTCGTCGTTACGTTGACATTGGCAGTATCTTCGATTTTATGAACTGAGGAAGCACATGTGTGTATTTTTAAGTATTTACGTTTCTATACCAAACAACTAATTCATTGTCATTGGCTGTGTAAAGTTCATCAACAACGTTCGGTGTTGCAAGTATCACCAATGTTTCACTGCGTGGTTGCACAGTTCTATTTTTGAACGCGGCTGGATAAACTCTTGCGGTCCCTTGCAGTGGATGTACACAGCCCGTTGAAGCTCTTTCATGTTTCCACTCTTAGGGCTTATAAAAACGAAAGGAATTGGCTGATGGACCTTTGGCCTTCAATGGTCCATTCTTCACTTCCCTTGTGTGTACTGATTTACAAAATACTATCTTACAATGCTTATTCCAACGTCAACTTCAGATCTTTGCCCTAGTAAAATCTTACAGAGACGTGCTGAAAGCTCAGAGGTTTCTACACTGGATTCGTTTAGAAATTGGGACACATGTATGGACAACAAGACGTGTAAGATCGTTGCGATAGTCGGGATTATCCTTGCCGTGATTATGGTATTCTGGCTATTGAGCGGCATCATACGCTGTTGCTGTTGTGGTGTTAAAGGTCTCTTTGGTGCACTTTGCTGCTGCATAATGTGTTGTAATCAGGCGAGGGAAAGAGACCGTATAGAGGAGAAACCTTTGAGACAGTCAGCTTATGACAATCCACACATGTATCCGAAGCAGGTGGTCTACGACAATGGCTATCAGTGGGAGAATAATGGTGGATACAGGCATTACAACCAACAAGCGACGCAAATGAACTATTCACAAGGAACTGTTGATGGTGGTCGACATTATTGAATGGCACAACAAGCAGAGTGTCAAAATTTTCAAATAAGATATGGAATGTATGATTGATTCTGTCTGTATATTTTCTTGTTCTTAGCTCTAGGATCTCCGTTCTTTGTAGCTCCAAAAGGCTTCATTTTGTCAGGCTTACTCTGACATCATGCACAAGCTTCACCAGTTGTTCGTTGGCATTTCTTTGGAGGTCACAACCTTGTTTCTCCAGCTGCTGTAGAGAGTCCTTAATTGATCTTTGGAAGGATAAAACGTCTGGATAGTTATTGGCCTCGTAGTTCTTGACAGCGTTACACGTGTTGGCAAATGTACGTGGCAGGAAGAACTTGAAAGCAGCTGTGCCAAATACCACTGGCGTGATGAATCTTACAGGGAGTGAGCTCTTTGAAGCCAGTATAGAACCCGAGAGCATGATGGTCAAGGCGTAGTTGAAGTTCGGCAAGAACTTGTCCTCTGGGTCATAAACCGAGGTGATCTTGTTGATGGCGTTATCCCATTCGTTCTTTGCGGCAGATCTCAGGTTGTTGTACTCAGCGGTCACAATGGACAACTGCGTGTTCAGCTTCCCACGTAGTACTTTCGTGTGTTCCTCCAAGAAGGATGATCTATCAACTTCATAGCCAGAAACAAACTCCTTCTTAATTGTGTCTTCCTCCACAGGCACAGAGGCCTTTTCCACAGGAACTTGTGAAAAGGCGATGTCCTTTTCCTCGGCGTAGAATGAACGTGATGGAGCCATTGTTGAAGCCTGGAATCACTACCTTTCAACCACTTTGAATCGCAATTCACTTCGAGGTGTTTGTCCCCTTGGTGCTGGCCGGCCATTTCGTGTGAGATTTTTCGCACTGGACAGGACAAACCGTCCCCGGCCAATGAAAACGTCGGAATCGCACATATTTACGGTAAAGGACACACAGCACTACACCGGTATCGATGGTCACATCCATGGCCAATTCCTTGTTAGAATGATGCTATTATAGAATACAGTCATACTTTCATCTTTTTTTTATAGGTTTATCTTTATATTTCGGCTCAAGTGTAGTTCTTGAAGAATTGGTGTGTAAGTTCAACACCGACAAAGGTGGCAGCGTTAGCAGGGAATGATCTTAAGAGCGCAGGGCCGACACCTGGGAAGAAACCCTTTACTCCGCTCTTTCTGTAGATTTCAGTGATGGCGTGTTTGGCAGAGACCTTTTCCGTGACGGAGTTTGTCATTCTTGTCTTGACGGTGTCCACAGGGAAGACGACGAGCCACATGGCCATGCCACTGAGACCACCGGCAGTGGACACGGCGAGAAGAGACAGTTCACCGTTCTTTGCACCAGTCAAAGCGGTCAATTCCTTCTTTGCAACCTCGTAGACGGCAAAGTAAAGCGCAGAACCTGGACCATCACGTGCCAGAGTTGCCACGGAGCCTCTAAACAAGGAGGATACACCACCAGATGCTAAGATCGATTTGATGGCTCCGAGTGTAGATTTGGACTTTGAGCTGTCCTGTGTCTGTAGAACAATCTTGACTCTCTCCATTGGGGCAGCCACCAGTGTGGTTGGAATAGCAGACAGGAAACCAGCTGTTGAGATTTGTTGTATAGATAGCGGTGCGTTTGGGTTCTTCTTGTCGGTGACGAGCTGCTTACCAACGTCATAACCCCAGAAGGAAACAGCGAACATTGGCGTGACACCCAACAACGGTGGCACAACACCACGGTAGAACCCCTTTGGACCTGAGGTCTTGAGGATATCACGAACAGCAGCGCCCATTGAAGGCTGTTGGCCAGATTGAAGACGAACTTTGACAAGGTCGAATGGATGGCCGGTGAGCACAGCAGCAACACCACCAACACCACCGGCAACCACAGATTTGATGTTTTCCACAATGAAGGAGTCCTGGGTATCAGCCATTACGGTTTGTACGCTTTCTATATGTACACGACAATGCCAGTTCACATGAGTAAAGGAGGAAAAGAAACAGTTTGTCCTTTGTCCCTTTTTATATGTTTTGTCTGTCCGTTGTCCCAGATCGGTTTTTGCCTACTTATTTTCAGTTCAGCTCTGCATTCAATCACATGAAGCTCTACTGCCCCACAATTTAACCTCTTTTTTCAACCTTTTCAAGGCGACTCATCTGGGTTTTTACCGTTGAACCGAGGACTCATTCCAGAAAAGGGACTAACACGCGCCACAAATAGGCAGAAGGCTAAAACCACACAACAACAGGACAAAGGGCCGGGGAAGACAGAAAAAGTTTAAAAGACATATTATTCCATCAGACTTGATGGATTCTTTGGGACACGGAGTGGTATCGATCACTGTTTTGGGCACCTTTGATCCAAGACAGAGATCATCATCGATCAATTGTTCCTGCTCGATGTAAATGTAGCAAATAACTTGTGCAGTGGGTCAACTGTGTGACTTATTTTAAGCTTTCTCGTTTCCTCTCTCTGTATGCTTTTTTTTTTTGCTTTGTCTCTTTTCAAGCCATTTTCCTTTTTGTAGGGGGGTTTCAGCCACGGTCATCAAAGTCTCCATTTCCCATTTACACCGCAGCAAATCTGATTTTTGGAGCTGGGTTTAGTCGTTGTAAATCATCGGTAGAGCTAGCGGGTTAATCGCACAGAACAGTGGATCGCTGCAACCGGTTAACTGCTCATCACATCACGGTTACTGGTGTGTTTCTTTTTGTTTCTCTCCCCCGTTCGAAAAGTAAACAAGGAACCCTGAATAAAGGACAAAATGCCAGCTCCAAGAAGCTTAGAACAAATCCTCTATGGAATGGTGAGTATGATACCCCGTTATCGCTGTTCTTTTTCCACTTGACCATGGTCCTGGTAGCAGGAGTGTGCGAACTAACCGATGGCTTAGCTCATGAGATCTCAGACATTCCACAGATTTGTCAGGAAAGTTTACTACAAGGTTAATGGACTAGACCCGGCGCAGTTTGAAAGGGAAACATCCTCACGGATATATCAAGACAATTCGCTTTTCAAGCCTTCGCCTCTGCAGAAGTTTAGAGCATGGAGAGCGTTGTTCGTGGATGAGATGCGCTCATCTGTGGGGCTTTCAAAAAGGCACAACGTCTAAGGTTCAACAAAAGTGATTTTATTCATTATTAAGATTACTATATAAACAATTTACACACACATAGAGAAAGAGCAACACGACTCGTTCTTAGAACCCACCCTTTGGTTTGAACGCCAACGACTTTCTGTCAGCTTTACGGAATGCCTTTTTGCTAACCATGCCAACGTCGTCTTTCAATGCAATGATGACGTTCTTATCACTACCGAATTTGAAGTTATCTGCAACAACGTCATTGGAATACATCTTGATGAGATAAGGATCCGCATCACCACGAAGAATCTTCTTCAACGACCACGTGATGGCATATGGACCCGTAGATGTAACTATTGTTTGCTCTTTGGAATCTAACCCGACGTTGAAATGGGCCTTTGTGAATTTCAATGGTTTTTTCGTCATAATCTGCATATACTTAGCATTCTCTGCAGATATACGAAGCATACGGGTCTTTGGTAACTTGTCCTTTCCAAACGATTTTTGGAACCCAAGCTTACCGAGCTGGTCATCCTTTATAGTTAAATCTATGAGCAACAAGTAGGTTTCACATGTAGCCAATAGCCATCTACCATCAGCACTAACCTCCAAATACTTGATGTCATCACCAATAGCAGGGATAAGAGATTTGGCCCTAATTCCCAATCGATCGTATAACCTGATATCACCCTTGCTTGAACCAACAGCGATGTAACCAGATTCGGTGGTACCAAATGAAGTGAATCCATTCTTTGTTGAATAGGATTTGTATTGGTCCTCGACAATTTTATCGCCGCTTAATCTTGGATCGATCTTAAACAGCCCCTTATCAGATATACCCATAAAGGTTTGTTCAGATGTCATTTGGTTAAACTTGGCATTCGGACCAAACTCAACAACTGGCAAGTCCTCACGGATACGCCATTCATCAACAATCTTACCCTTTTCAAGATCCATACGGTATAGGGTATCTTTTTTATCCCCTTGCATAACAAGGGACCGATCTTCTGTATGGAGCATCATCTTGGATGGGTTAAACGATTTACCACCAACGTTCAAGTTCTCAATGGTTGTGGCATATTTCAATTCGTCGTCATCAGTCGTACTGAAAACTCCAACCCTATTTCCGTTCGTAACATACGAACGATCATTCTTGAAGGCAACGGTCAAATTCTTATTCTCGCCTCTGAGAGCACTCTTCCGAGCAGATGCCTCAGCAGCGTCTTCGTCCTCAGAATCCGAGAATGTCTCTTTGCGCAATCCAGTACTCAAATTCACATGTGTTAGGTGTTTATTGTCCTCATAGTCATCTTCTTCCTCCTCTTCCTCATCTGACTTTTCATCATATTCTCCGTCAAAGGCTTCCAATAGTTGATCATCCCTCTCTGGTACCTCAAAGGCAGACATAACATAGTTTTGTTCTTCATTGTCTTGTTTCTCCCATCTAGATTGGTTATTGTGCTCATGGTACGCCTTCATAAAACCTTGTTTGAAATCATTCAACTCATCTTCGTTATCAAACCTTAACAGTAACGTTGACCCATCACCATCAGCCCAGTAATTAAAGATAAAAGATATGACACTGGATTCAAACCTTGCGCTCATTTCATCAGAGATTATAGACCCGAATTCCAGTTGTTCTTCCTCGTTTTTAATGGAGAGGTAATATTCCCATTCACCGAGGTCCAATATGGTTGCCTGGACAGTTTTGTACAGTTTGAAGCTTCCCTCTTCTGGGTTGTAAACGTGTAAGTGAGCCGATGTACTGGAAATAGGCGAGCCCTCTGGCGTTGGACAGTTCTTCAAGTGCACTTCATCCACACCGCTCTCTTCTGCGTCTTCATAAACGCTATCACCTTCTTCGTTTTCTTCGTCCTTTTCTTCCAGTTGTTGCTGTTCTTGTGAAATGAGCGTATTTTTGTCGTTACTGGACAGGGCCAAGCTGTTGACGCCATGTATCAAAGCATCGGCTTCATCATATGGTTCCACTTCTGGATCGTACTCAAATTCTTGCAATTGCGCCGCAGTAACGCCCGCGGAAGAGCGTTGATATTTACGTTCAAAGCAGCACGCATACAACGTGTTCATGAAATGATCCACATCCGAGCCGCTCACAGAGTCGTCAACAACAAATTCAAAATGTTCACCTTCATCACCGTCGAGATTGTTCCACGACACAACCCATGAGCCGCTTCTATTGATTCTGTACACTTTCAACTCGGCATCGATAAGGAACACTCTTTCATCTTTACTCTCCTCAAAGTCTTCATCGTCGCCGTCTTCATCATCCTCACGCAATTGGTCCTCACCTTCGGCAAACACTCTTTGAATAACCAACAAAAAGTTATGTGGCGCTGATGTTTCACGAATCGAAGCCGCTGAATCTGTGTACAGACACTCACTGGCAGACTTTGGTGAGCCTGGTGCCCTCTTCAAGAACAACTGTCCAGAAGGAATAGTTACGAGTTCTCCCTTTGGAGAGGAGCCGAGAAACTTCTTCAAGAAGTTCATTTGTTTACGTTGTTTACTTTCCTTGGTTTGATCCGATGCTGCGAAATGCAGGGCGCTGTGCTATTCTTTTCCCACTTAAGGACTCTCCAAGATCACAATGAGTCCAGAATCGTAGGTCCCACTCAAGGAAAACACGCTCACTTCAGTGGAGTTCAAGCTGGAAAGTTAACAAATCGGAAGGCTTGCGAAGAGCTCATGATATCCCTTTGTTTTGTTTTGTATTTTTTTCTTTCTCCTTCTGGCGGCAAAAATCAAAACAAATGACAAAAGCAGAAGTCCGGGGCTCATCTAATCACGTGGTGTGGGTCGGATTTAAATTGTGTCTCAGCTTTGAAATTTTATACGCAGTTTTACCATACAAAGGTGAGAGGCCCGGTTTAATAGTGGGATAGAACAGAAGCGCCTCTCCGTATTGTCCGTTTTAGATGCTTCGGTTATCTATAAGGAGTTTGAGTGAGCCGCTTAAAGTAAGGCCTCCCTTTTTAACTAGTGCCATAGGCTTCCATTCCACGGCTCTGGTAAATGAGGGTAAGAAGAAGAAAGATGGTAACAACAGCGATGAGCTCATTTCACAGCTTGAGTCAAAGGCTAAGGCTATGGATATCGATCCACAAGTTCTTCGGGATGCTGCAAAACTGCTGAGTAATCCTGTTGGCACAGCTACCAAGGAACCCCCGAAAGAGCATAAACAACTCAAGCAGACTCATCCACCAAAAGTTGAAGAGGTGAGAAAGCCTCCCAAAGGTTGGAGAAAGATGGAACTACCGGAGTGGAAAAGACATAGATATGCTCTTTGGGAGAAACAAAACGGTGAGTACTGGAATCCCGGCAAGAAAGTTTCTAGAGATCAGATGGATAGCATAAGGTTGCTGAAGAAATCACTACCACATTTAACTGCATCAGATTTAGCAAAGGAATACCATATATCGCCAGAAGCCGTCTCGAAAATCCTAAAGTCGAAATGGAAGCCTAATGAGCAAGAAGAGCAGAGAATTCAGGATAGATGGCTAAGTAGAAGAGCTCGGTTAAGCGAGATTAGAGGTGCAAAGAGAACTAGTCAGATGAAAACCATCATCAAAACTGGTTATGGTGTGGAAAGAGCTACACCAGATTACTTGAGGAAAAATGAAAAGATTAAAAAGGGGAAACAACCTGGGTCTCTAAAGAGACTGTTCAAGTTTGACGTTGATGAGAGAAAGAAATTTTAATTAAAGATGGAACAGACTTCCAAATTGTACATAGTATATACCTTCCCGCATCAGCAGCTCATAATAGATCATGTCAATAGCTATCAAACTTGACCAGTCAAGTACCAGCCTTTAATAGTCCTTATTTGCTGTCTTATATCTGACGTTGCAGACTTGGATGATAGGGACTTTGCATCTGGCTTAAACAGCTGGTGCGTCTTATAAGCCTCCACTCTGTTTTGAAATCTCTTCACCTGGAAATTGGTTGGTGAAATCACACTCAAGTCTACACAGTACTTGTTATAATGCTCAATGCAGTCACGTAACCTGATAAGATTGTCTTGCACCTTGTCTCCAGTACCATGCTTCTCTGCTTCATCTTCAAAGGTTACATACGTCGAATTACGATGACGTATTTTCTCATCCTCCAGTGTCTGAACATTGGCGTCTGAGTAGTACTTGTCACCACGTTTGACAGCCACTGGTGGCAAAGGCTGTACCTTGTTCAGCAGCTTCAGCACCTTCTGTGCTCTGTCCAGTGTAGACGATAGCAGCTCCATACGTCTATCGTACTGAATCTCAAGTAATGGTTGCACCACGAGGAGCAGGACAATGTAAACTAGGGATAGTCCTGTTGCCGACCTATACAGAAGCTTGGTGATATAGATGAGAGCAGGCGGAACATGTCTGATTCTCTGCTGTTCCGGAAGATTCTCAGGGAATACGATATTCATGCTTGGTTACGGCCGTTGATCTCGCTGTGCCACTGTATAACAGAAGCGTCTCTGCCTCCGCGGTGGTTGATTGCGACTGTTTGCGGGAGAGGTTGTTGACCAAATTCGCGGCTGGGCTGGTTTTCCCACAGCCGGTGGGAGTAATTGGTGAGAACAACCTGTCAACACCACCGTGTACACAGGTGAAAACGTGACGAAGCGAAGAGCCACGTAAAAGCAGCACGGTATAGTCTACGCAGAAGACGAACGATGATCACCGACAGCCAGCTTAACTTCATCGCGCTTGGATTTGGTATCCTCACGTTTACTCTGATTGTGGTGTACCATACAATCACTTCAACGACGAAGAACATGAAGGCGGAGTAATCTGCCTACACAATTGATTTGTGGGAGAGAGATTACTGCAATGACGGTGATGGAGAAGGAGCGTGTGAAGCGAGCTTCCGACACGGAAGGTGACGGAACACGTCACTAAGGATACTGAATGATGTGTGTCTGTCTCATAAAAGAGCTTAGAATATATGTTTTGGAAGGGAGGAAATGTACCATGGCGATGTGTGTAGGAATATGTACTTGTATCCACCTGATACCTCTGTAGCACTGTACGCGTGGCTCGGTATCCAAAGAAGGATCCATGATTTGTCTATGAACCCCACAGAGCTGATGTGATAATTATGACAATACTATAATAATTATACGATTACTGTCTAATTGTCATATAATTATTATGTTGGCGGTGTTTACGATAGCGTCTCATGGTGTCTTCGTCCCTGCAAGTTGGTGTTTCTACGGAAAAACTTTTTAGTACCTCTTCAAAGATCATCCTCATTCGCCTGTGAACGTGTTATGTGCTCTGGATCTGACACACAATCCATGGCTCATTAGTGCTGGTACAACACATTGGAAGAGGAATACAGGATGCCGTCACCGCGTAATGGCTCCTCAACACCGCTGTTCAGGAAGGACCAGCAAAATCTGCTGAAGAAGAGCTTCAAGATCTCAAGCAGTGAGAGCATGTCACAACCGTATAACGCCAGAACCTCAATGTCACAGCTAAAACTGCAAGAGCTGCTACAGGAGCAGGACGTCCCTAGTACTTGTATCAATAGATTTGACCTTCTCGAGGAGAGAGATGGGTTCTTCGACCCGATATATACCAAGCCGCCAACTCAAGGTGATGCAAGGCACATGAGCGTTAAACACGACAGTCCTAGATCATTCAACAAGCTGATACATGCTTGGATTGAAAGCTTACCAAAGGACGTGAGGACGGCTGTTCTTGGGATATTGTCGAACTGGAGGATAGTGTCAAAGTTTACGCTCGCTTACTTCATATCTATCTTGTTGTGCCTCATAGATAAATCAGGTTCATGGTTTGGAAATCATAGAGAATGGTTACCGATATCAACAATCATAAACCACCCGGTGCACAGTATCGGTGCACAGGTGGAGCTGACAGTGCAGTCAATATGTGGGCTGGCAATTGGACTTGGATGGGGGTCGTTGGCCCTGTACATATCTACAGCGACACAGCCGACAAGAAACCACCAGGGTGGTATCCTTGCAGGATCGCTGGTGATTGGTATCTTCTTAATGGGCTGGTTTAAGGCGTACTTCATCAGATTCTACTACTGTCTCATGACTTCAGGGTTTGTATTGATATTCTTATCGACAAATCTCTTCCTGAGCGAAACAACTGTCGTATGGCATAACTGTTGGGATATTGCAATTCCATATCTGTTCGGTCTACTCATTTCACTATTTGTGTCCTTTGTATACTTCCCATATCTTGGTCTTGAAAACATGACAAAAGGGTTGTTGAATTGTATGGGTGATACCAAGAAATTACTGTCGGCATTCATAGAGATAGATAAGGATTCAGACTCAGAAATCATTATAAACTTACAGAAGAATCTCATTCACGATATGCTTGTGCTCTCGGAAACATTCAGGGAATTCCTAAGTGGTGCTAAGGTATCCCTTTTCGATGATGAAGACCTCAAGGCTATTAGAAACCATATCAATTTTGTCATTTCACCATTGCGTGCAATCCCAGTACCGACAAATATCTACGCAAATAAAGACCAAGAGAAGTTTTCCAGTACAGAACAGACGAACGTTGACATCTCAGAGAACCAATCCCCAATATTCTCAGGGACTATAACACCAATACCTCGACCACGTGGTATGGGTCCTTTCAAATTGAACAACGATATGGTTTACATGTCCATCATGAACGATGCTTTCAACGAACCACTCTTTAAATTGATACATCAAATGGTTGCGACAATTGACCAGATCGAACATACCATCAAAACTTTGGGAAATTTAGGAGATAAAACTGACTTGATCGTTAAACTCGATGAGAGGAAGGGTCAATTGAAGACAAAGGTCCATCAAATGGATTTAGCTTATCGGAAATTTGCCAAATCTGAATACTTCTCAAGAGATTTGCTCAACGAAGAAGCTGTGATTAACATATTCTTATTCGTACGTTATTCACGACAAGCTGCTGTGATGATTTTGAAGTTATCAGATGCGATTACTAAAACGGTTGAGAGATCCCATGGGAGACGGGTGCATCTGCCTAATTATCCTCTGCGTCGTGCACTTCGTCGTCTACCTAAACAGTGTCTTAGAGATCAAGGTGCAGACTCTGTATATCACTATTTTGAAACAAAGATTGACGTTGATGATGCATTTGAAAGAATTTACAATTTAAACACCTCAAGAAACAAACAGCATCATAAGAGCACGTCCACAACTATTCGTGCTATTGATCATCATGATTTCAGCTTCCACTCAACAAAGAATCCCCTCAGATTCAAGCTCTGGGAATTGATCTCCGAACTCAACGATACACAAGCTAAGTATGCCACGAAGGTTTCCATTGTGGTGCTTTTCTTGTCATTGCCTTCATGGTTAGTAGTTTCGTGGCATTGGTACTACACTTATCGTTGTTATTGGTGTCCAATATTGGTCTACTACTTCCTCAGTCCAAGGAACTCTAGTACATGGGCTAATCTAAAGACTAGACTGATGTGTTGGTTCATGGGTTGTTTCTGGGGATGGGCTGCTAATCAGGCACACCATTTCAAGAATAGCATTGTCATCGGGGTGTTTGCCATCCTATTTTGTATACCTTTTTCGTACGGGTTCCTTGTTGAGAAACATGCACGTTCAAGTTTCATGGGCATGCTGAGCTTCACCATAGTTGCACTTGATATAAAGATCATTGCCTCTGAAAGCTCTGCGTCGGTTTGGCACCATACATGGCCAGTCTCTCTGGCCATTCTTATCAGTATATTCACATCTGTTTTGACCAACTGGCTGATCTGGCCATTCTCTGCAAAACGTGAACTGTACAAGGCTACATACTCGTTGTTGCAGCATATCGGACAGTCATACCAGTCAGTTAGTGAAAGATATCTTTACAGGGATCAGGATGATGACCCCACTGACCTCACTTTGGAGCTGGCCAACATCAGGGAGGTTAGAATGTCACAGAGTGTAGAGGCTGTGAAGATTCTGCTGGCGAAGGCTAAGACTGAATATGACGTTACGCATACATTCAAGCCTGAGATATTCGAAATCCTGTTGAACTGTTGTGATACTATCCTAGAGAACATTATCGAGGCAAGAATGAGCGGAATATACGTCAAAGTTTGGGAACAGGATGAGGATGAAGATACCACCCAGGCGCTCTTGTCTCATCGCCGTGACTCCGTGACAACTGTCATCTACATCCTGTATATCCTGTCCAACGCCTTTCTCTCCCGTATGCCAGTCCCAAGGTATCTGCCCTCGTCAATCAGTATCAGAAAAGAGATGTTTGATATGATTGCCGAGCAAGAGAACAAAAGGTTCCATTCATATAACCCTCATCGCCTTAATCTGGATGACCTGTCGCAGAGATTAACAGAGGTGAACACCTCAGAGAGAGAAGGTGCAGCGTATTCAAAAACGCACTGGACCGAGGTTCACGGAATGGCATTCTCGAGGGCGTTCACCTCAATCACCGAGGAACTCGAGAACATAATACATCTATCCAAGGAAATCTTGGGAGAAGAGGACATCTTCCATTGATTAGACGAGAATGCACACTCCAAATGTTTTGATTGCTTGTAGCGCTTGTGGTGTTTGGATGTGATGTTACACAAAAACAAAAGGTTAGTTAGATGTAAACAGATCATCAGCTGTAATACCATGGTTTACTGTACAATATAGTCGTCTTTACGATGGTAGAAGAGCTTGATGTGGAAATACTGGAGCAGGAGTCGTTTGCCGACGTTGCGGCACAATTCTTGGACGAGAATGGCTATTTAAGACTCCTAGCGCCCAGGTGTAGCGGAACAGCTGGCGGAAATGACACCGTAAGCTATACAGTTGTGAGTAACACGGTTCAAATACATCACTGGCTCTCTGGATATGGTCCTAGTGCCTTTGTATTCGATCACAACTCATCTGGGCGGTCGAAAGGTACGCTTGAGGTGCTTGCCGGAGGCGTTGGTACAACAGCAACAGATGTCTTGTTACAGTTGAAGGGCCCGCCTATGGAAGTTTGGTCTGTAAGTGTTCATCATGCTGAGAGGTATTCGCCTGTTTTGAGAGCTAGGACTGACACAAACTTAGGCGCTTCGTCTCTTCCTTCAGAGGATGTTGTCATGTGACAGCCGGTTGGCATGTAGATACCAGCTTGTATTGCTAATTGATCGAGTCTGTATACAACCTCGGCCTTCCCTTCACGTGAAGCTTCAGTGTGAGCGTTATATCACGATTGGACACGCATTGCGTATGAACTCTTCATCTGCAGATTGTATCATGGATTACATTCACGCAAACGTGGTTGCGTTGGATGTGAACATGGCTCTTAACAAGTTCATAGGGCGACAGCAGGACAGTCATGTGCAAGAACTTGTAGAGTATAGAGGAATTGCATGTGTGTGTAGCGATGAAGAGTCGCATGGGCACAACGGTGATGGCGATGACTCGTTCGAGGACCAAAAGGAGAACAACATTGCTGATATTCGCATATGCAAGCATGTCCAACTAACACGAAAGGAGATCACCTACCTCATTGGTAAAAGAGGCACAAAGATCTCCAAGATAAGGGAAATAAGCGGCGCAGTGGTGAAGGTGGTACCCTTGAACACCGCAATCAATGGCATCAATACCGTTGGCTTCGGTAGGTGTAAGCAACTAACACAATTCTTACGAGTGAGTGGGAGTTCCAAACAGGTCAACACTGCACTAAGCATGATCGAAACTGAGGTCTATCACTACCGCATACATGGAGTAACAGACTATTGAGCAACTTCTATTTATCACCAGAATCAATCATTGATTGGAAGCCTCACCAAAAAATTCCACAGTTTCTTTCTTTTTGCCCTGTCTTTGTTAGGTCTGACATTTACACAGCTGCGTTGAGTCTCCTTGTGTAATTATCATACTGGCGGGTCAACGCTCTTAACTACTGACCATTGCCCTATTCGGAAATGTTTTTCTGCTTTTTTTCACTCTTCGCTAAAAAGAGTCGTTGATGATGAGAGACAAAAATTTTTCATTTGGGATGTGAAATTTTTTTTCTCTCTCTTTCCAGCTCTCTCTTCTTCCTCTTCTTGTTCAACAAAACCTAACAAGTTTTATATATTTCAAAATGGCTGAAGGTGTCTTCCCAGGTGCTATCGGTATCGATCTTGGTACCACTTACTCATGTGTTGCTACTTACGACTCTGCTGTCGAAATCATTGCCAACGAGCAAGGTAACCGTGTTACTCCATCCTTCGTTGCATTCACTCCAGAGGAGAGATTGATCGGTGACGCTGCTAAGAACCAAGCTGCTTTGAACCCAAAGAACACTGTTTTCGATGCTAAGCGTTTGATTGGTCGTCGTTTCGATGAGGAGTCTGTCCAAAAGGATATCAAGACCTGGCCATTCACCGTCATCGAGAAGGATGACGCTCCATTCGTTGAGGTGGAGTACTTGGGTGAGAAGAAGACCTTTGCTCCACAAGAGATCTCCTCTATGGTTTTGACCAAGATGAAGGAGATTGCTGAGGCCAAGATTGGTCAAAAGGTTGAGAAGGCTGTTATTACTGTTCCAGCTTACTTCAACGATGCTCAACGTCAGGCCACCAAGGATGCTGGTGCCATTGCCGGTTTGAACGTTTTGCGTATCATTAACGAGCCAACTGCCGCTGCCATTGCTTACGGTTTGGGTGCTGGTAAGTCCGACAAGGAGAGACACGTCCTTATCTTCGATTTGGGTGGTGGTACTTTCGATGTTTCCTTGTTGCACTTGGCTGGTGGTGTCTTCACCGTCAAGTCCACCGCTGGTGACACTCACTTGGGTGGTCAAGATTTCGACACCAACTTGTTGGAGTTCTTCAAGGCTGACTTCCAAAAGAAGACTGGTAAGGACATCTCCTCCGACGCCAGAGCTTTGAGAAGATTGAGAACTGCTGCTGAGAAGGCTAAGAGAACTTTGTCCTCTGTTGCCACCACCACCGTTGAGGTTGACTCTTTGTTCGATGGTGAAGACTTCTCTATCAACATCTCCAGAGCTAGATTCGAGGCTATCAACGATGCTTTGTTCAAGTCTACCTTGGAGCCAGTTGAGCAAGTCTTGAAGGATGCTAAGATTGCTAAGAACCAAATTGATGAGGTTGTCCTTGTCGGTGGTTCTACCAGAATTCCAAAGGTCCAAAAGTTGTTGTCCGACTTCTTTGACGGTAAGCAATTGGAGAAGTCCATCAACCCAGATGAGGCTGTCGCTTACGGTGCCGCTGTTCAAGGTGCTATCTTGACCGGTCAATCTACTTCCGAAGACACCAAGGACTTGTTGTTGTTGGATGTTGCTCCATTGTCTCTTGGTGTTGCTATGCAAGGTAACGTCTTTGCTCCAGTTGTTCCAAGAAACACCACTGTTCCAACCATCAAGAGAAGAACTTTCACCACCGTTGCTGACCACCAAACCACTGTTCAATTCCCAGTCTACCAGGGTGAGCGTGTCAACTGTGCTGAGAACACCTTGTTGGGTGAGTTCGACTTGAAGAACATCCCACCAATGCCAGCTGGTGAGCCAGTCTTGGAGGCTATCTTCGAAGTTGATGCTAACGGTATCTTGAAGGTCACTGCCGTTGAGAAGTCTACTGGTAAGTCCGCTAACATCACCATCTCTAACGCTGTCGGTAGATTGTCTACTGCTGAGATTGAGAAGGCTATTGAAGATGCTGAGAAGTTCAAGTCTTCTGATGATGCTTTCTCTAAGCGTCACGAGGCCAAGCAAAGATTGGAGTCTTACGTTGCTTCCATCGAGGCTACTGTTACTGACCCAGTCTTGTCCTCTAAGTTGAAGAGAGGTTCTAAGGACAAGATCGAGGCTGCTTTGTCTGATGCTCTTGCTGCTTTGGAGGTTGAAGACTCCTCTGCTGATGACTACAGAAAGGCTGAGGTTGGTTTGAAGAGAGTTGTTACCAAGGCTATGGCCACTCGTTAAACTTGCATTTTATAAGGCTCTTCTTTTGTGTATAAAGGAAAAAAATTGGTAGTTCTTTACGTTTTAATGTATTAAGAATCACTTGTAGTATTGTTCCTTTGTTGTTTTAGCTGCTGTAGAAAAAAAATTGTTGATATATGTGAAAATTTTCCAGAATGTTTTTTTTTTTGCCTGTGATCTCATCTCATCACCAAGTATCACCTTGAGGCTCAAGTGTTGGATTAAAGAACATAACTGAAAATGAAACTTGACACGTCTCATATGCGTTACTTAACGCCAGATGACTTCCGTGTTCTCACTGCTGTTGAAATGGGATCACGCAACCACGAAGTGGTGCCAACGTCTTTGATTCATAACATTGGTGGTCTACGTTCCATCAGTGGTACCAACAGATGTATCAGTGATTTGGCGAAGCTGAAGTTGATCAGAAGACTACGTAACGCCAAATACGATGGTTACAGGCTTAGTCACACTGGCTATGACTACTTGGCGATCAAGAGTATGACCAACAGAAAGACCCTTTACTCCCTGCATACGACCATTGGTGTCGGTAAGGAATCCGACATTTACAGTGTCAGTGATCAAGCTGGTCGTAAAAAAGTGTTGAAGATCCACAGACTGGGACGTACCTCTTTTAGAACTGTGAAGAATAACCGTGACTACCTTCGTAATCGTTCTAGTGGTTCCTGGATGTACTTATCCAGACTTGCGGCAAACAAAGAGTACCAATTCATGAGCACTTTGTTTGTGAATGGGTTCAGCGTTCCTGAGCCCTATGACTATAGTCGTCATTGTGTTTTGATGCAGTATATTGATGGTTTCACTATGAGACAACTACGAGAGCACTCCAATAAGGCTAAACTTTATTCTGATTTGATGAAGTTCATCGTGAAGTTGGCAAACCATGGATTAATTCACTGTGACTTCAACGAGTTTAATATTATCATCATCAATGAAGACGCCAGAGACCAATATAAAGAGGACTTTGTTGTTATCGATTTCCCACAGTGTATCTCGATTGGACACCAGGATGCAGAGTACTACTTCAAGAGGGATGTTGAATGTATCAGAAGATTTTTCAGAAAGAAACTCGGATACGATCCAAAGGAACAAAAGGGTATGCTTGATACAGATGGGTACGGTGAAGGTTATAAATATGCATATCCTGATTTCCATAGGGATGTTGAAAGAATTGCTGATTTGGATATCCAAGTTGAAGCCAGTGGTTATAGCAAGAAGAAGAAAAATGATAGAGATTTAGAAGATGCTGTTGCCAGTATGAGAGGTGGTGTCGATGAGGCTGAAGACGAGGAAGCTGAGGACGAGGATGAGGACGAAGATGACTACAGTTACGATGATGAAGACGATAGTGAGGACGATGATGGAGAGGACGATGAAGATGAGGAGAATGAGAGAATCATCCAAGCTTTACAAGAGGGAGTCGAGGGTCTAAAGATGGATAAATTAGGTAACTACATCTTAGAATGATTAAATCTGAATCCATTAATATAGTCTCTTGTATACTTTTCCATCTCTATACCATATTGTGTAGCATTCACACTTAACTGAAATGGATTTTCTCAATTAGCTAATGTACAAGCGTGTTGGATAACGAGGTCCGACTATGGTCCTTAGCAATGACCATGATGATGATGGTGGTGGTGGCGATGATGGCTAAAAAGACCGTGATGTCCAAGGTGATGATGAGAGTTCAGCATTCCACTGAACAAGTGACCACCAGGACCACATCCGTGACCGCTGAAGCCACTTAATCCATTATGTGGTGACCCGTATGAATACTGGCCATTATATGTACCATAATATGGAGGCGGTGGAGGCGTCTGTTGATAATAGTGTTGTTGATGATGATGGTGGTGATGATGGTGATGATGTCCCATTGTCATATATTTGTGTCTTTGACCTTGTTGATAGTGAGAGATTGCATAGTAGGAATTGATACTCAAATCGAAGGGAAGCTGGATTGGTTTTTATACACTTTGTTCAGTAACGTTGGTGTAAATTTCAATTGGTCTTATCATCCTCTTGGTCATAATCATGGTCATTTTGGTGGCGCATATAGTTCAGATGGTGAAGCTTCAGTCAGGCACTTTGGCGCAGTGATTGTCATGGGATTCTTCGCTGAACACAGCCCAAATCACCAAGCCGATCGCCAAAAAATCATCCGCCGTGCATTACAGTGCTATGAATGCGCATAAAACTCTCAGCAGTCGTGATCATTTATCTAACGGTGACCTCTGACCATGATTACTTAGGTGTAACTAATATAGGACTATTAATAACTGATCACTTTCAGTAAACCATAAATGGTCTTAATCGATGCGCCCGGTTTTAGCTTGGTGGTTCTCGGGCGGCCATCAGCACTTGCAGGAACATCTTTGTGAACACCCTCCCTCCCAGAAAGGCAATGTGACCAAGTATATAGACCTCTTGTGGCCATTCGGCTTCATAACCAAGCTTGTTCAGATCTGGGCTATAGTACTTGGATTACAACTTTAGTTTGTAGGATCAAGATTTCGACAACCCGTAACGTCTCTCTTGAGCAAAAAGTGCACAGTCCCTTAATTAGATCTCATGACCCCTACATAATGGTAAACAATTAAATATTGGCATGACTAATTAGAATGCAATACACCTGATGCTATAACTAAAATTCTGGTTCATTATCTTCTGCCAAAGCCGCCACGACGACCCAATCTTCCACCACCTAATCCGCCACCACCAAGGATGCCACCACCACCGAAACCGCTTGGAGCAGGTGCTGGAGGGGGTACTGGGCCACGACTTACAGCACTTGCAACAGCGACATCACGTCTTACACGTCTTCTATCCATACGGTTGGCAATAAGTGCACCAGCTAACAACCCTCCTGCAACTCCCATACCTGGGCTCATGCCTCTCGAGGTTGTTGTCTGTTGAACTGGTTGCTGTTGAACTGGCTGCTGTTGTGGCTCTTGTTGATTAGGCTGCACGACTACTACTGTGGTTTGTGGTTGTTGTTGTGCTGGAGGATAGCCATATTGGGGATAGCCCTGTTGCGGTGGATAGCCCTGCTGAGGATAACCTTGTGGTGGATAACCTTGTGGTGGATAACCTTGTGGTGGATAACCTTGTGGTGGATAGCCCTGTTGTTGTGGAAAGGCCTGCTGCTGTGGAAAGGCCTGCTGCTGTGGAAAGGCCTGTTGTGGATAGCCCTGTTGAGGATAGCCCTGCTGCTGTGGAAAGGCCTGCTGCTGCTGGGTCTGGTGGTGAACCTGCGCCGCGTCTTGACTCTGCGTATATGTTGGAGGAATAGTACCCTTCGACTGATCGGTCATCTCTTTATTACTTTCAGTTCGAATCGTTTGGACAATGGCATCGGCACAAGCTTCAGCAGGGAAATAATTGCAACATCTGTTCTTTATATAGACCAATAACACCTAAATTTCTGACTTTGGTCCTCCAAACTTCAAACAACAACTGCATATAAATCGACGGATAGTGTGGGCAGACAATGGCACGCTGCATAAGGTATGATACGTTTTCTGTTCTTTTCGGCTTTTACAGCAAAACTTGGGGTTTGGCAAACAAACCTTTCTGTTAGTGATAAGGTTTAATCAGGTGAATATTCCCCTTGATCTGCTTTCTTGGAAGGTGTTTCCCCTTTCGAATGAACCTGGATACCAAAGAACAACGTATCCATGGATGCAACACTGATTAATTAGCACCTGCTAAAGGTTCGTTCGTAAATTTGATCATCTGGGTCTTGCATGCATGCAGGCAGACTCATCAGGATGTTAATTAGTTTCCCAGAGGCCTCTATACGAGTCTGGCCTTGTTGTAGGTCCGTGGGAGTGTGCTGTTTGTCTCCCGAATGTTGAGATGGGTATAGGAGAGGGTTAGTAGACGGGACAGAAGTGGATATACCGTGCATGTCCTGGTTGCAAGCACCACGGACATTGTATAGCGTGAGCCTAACCTTAAGTGATAGCTAGTACCATAACATCGTCAGCTCGACCTTAGAATGGTGGGCGTTGCGCATTCTAGCATGAAATTGTGGTAGACATATTTGATCATTGTAAATATGAGATACGGTAATAGACTCATCAAACTGAACAACTTCGCTTTTCTCTCAGTGATTCTTGTTTAGCCCTTGTCCCTCCGTCGGCTGCGCCTATACTACAGTTACATGCTGTCCGTCAGTACAATGAAAGGCAGGGAGCTCTGAACTCCCTTTTATCCTTTAGCTTGAGGCCAATTCCAATAAGTTAAGCAATAAAGAATACACTACAGCTCTCAGTTTCTATAATACTTAACTAAAAGATCAATATCCGCTTTACATAAGCAACTATTCCGTTTGCTTTGGATCATGTTCATGGACTCACCATCTGGGTCCAGGCCCTCCAGGCCCGTGGTGTCCTCCAGGACCTCCAGGACCTCCAAATCCACCTGGCCCGCCAAATGTTCCGCCTGGCGGGCCAGGTGAAGGTCCTCCCTCAAATGGATCACGATATCCACCGGATCCACCATGTCCGTGGCCACCATGGCCATGACCACCGTACCTGTGGCTATCTAGTTTATTACTCACTTTGTGTGCTATAACTGCACCAACTAGGGCACCACCGATCTTACCCATGGTGGAGTTTCCACCGCTTAACTTATTGCCGGCGTATCCTCCAACTGCAGCACCCGCAAGGTCTGTTATAATCCCCTTTTCACCTGTCTGTTCTTGACCTTGGCCCTGGTTATAGCCTTGCTGGCTATTACTGTATTGGTTGTTGCTGTATTGACTGTTATTGTACTGATTGTAGTCTTTGTTGTTGTTATACCCGTAGCCCTGAGAATTAGCAGGGGAGTAATAGTCTCTAGCAGACATTATATTTTGTTTCAGCTGAATACTTCCTAGACTTCTGGCCTATTCCAGGAATGGAGGGAAAGCCATAGTCTCAAATGGTATATCGGAGCCTTGGATCCCCTTTATATATAATCTGGTCAAAGCGTGCGCCAAGTCTCGGATAGAATGTGGACTGTAGAGGCGGTTAAGCTTCCAGTACAGCCGAGCAGTTGGTCACAGTGCATTGTCAAGGCTTTGCAACTGGTTGTAGCTCCTGTTGTCAACGAAAGGTAAACGTCATGAAGGGGAATATGATGGATAATGGTGCAGGTTAATGACGATTATAAACCCAATCCGACACAATGCTCAAACAATAAGCTGAAATGATCCCAACAGGCGGTTACTGATCTATTAACTGTACTTCATGACTATACAAAAGAGAGGATTACTGTTGACTCTCGTCGGGACCAACTGCTTTTTCATGCATGATCTTGTATTCTGTTAACCGAGTGGTTCTCAGGGAGAGGAGACAAATTGGCAGCATGGTGCGTCACCTCCAGCTCCCAATTACGCACATGATCATAGTATGTGGTCTGTGATCATCACTGGTATTATGGCAGTGACATGGTAGCCCATGGGCTGTGATTTCGGGCTTTAATCTAGAATCTTTAATCTAGGATCACAAGGCGGATCTCAAGTGTCAGTGCGCTCTTCTAAAAATAGACGGAGGTGGGGATTTTAGTTAGTCGGACCCCATTACATAGAGTACTCGAATAATACAGTACTGACAATCTACAGTGTACAATTCCTCCAACTAAGCATATGAACATATCAATGATGTACAGCAAGCATTTTATTGTTGTTGTAGCTTATGTACGGTTTCATGTATCTCATTTGTAATTTACATCTGTGATTCGTTCATTAACTATGCAAGATCATTACCATCTTCCACCTTGTTGACCACCGTAGCCACCTTGTTGACCACCATAACCACCTTGTTGACCACCAAAACCTCCTTGCTGACCACCGAAGCCTCCTTGTTGACCACCAAAGCCACCTTGTTGACCGCCAAAGCCGCCTGGGCCTCCTGGGCCTCCTGGACCTCCTGGACCTCCTGGACCTCCAAATCCACCTGGTGGTGGTGGGCCTCCTGGGCCTCCTGGACCGCCAAATCCACCACCTGGAGGACCATTTCTGCCACCTTGTTCTCTTCCCCCATGGTGACCTTGGCCTTGGCCACCAAACTGCTGCTGCTGTTGCTTGTGGTCGTCCCATTTGTCACTAGCCTTGTGAGCAACAAACGCACCAGCTACAGCACCACCAATCTTACCCAGTGTACTGTGGTTTCCGCTGATCTTGCCACCAGCGTAACCACCGGCAGCGGCACCAGCAAGATCCGTGAACAAACCTCTTTCACCATCGCCACCTTGTTGTTGGCCTTGTTGTTGGTTGTAGCCACCTTGCTGTTGGTTGTACTCGCCCTGCTGTTGGTTGTAACCACCTTGCTGTTGGTTGTAGTTGTCGCTCTGGCCCTCAGAGCCGCTGTAGTAATCTCTAGCTGACATTATCACTGTCGTAAAATTGCAATTAATATCCCTTCCGTGACGAATCAAGTCTACAAAAAAGGGGGTTAGATCACTCCATATTTATAGATGTAGCCAACGTCGACATTCAGGCAACGTGCGGCTCCGACAGGAGAAATATGTGTTCCTGAAACTGGGTCCGCAATGGTTCTGTGGCCCATTGATCATCCACCCCTATAGCCAGGCACATCCACGAAGGGGGCTTGTTCTTTCTTTTCAAAAACTGTGAAAGCCGGTGGTTGTCTAATCCAGAGCCAAATTGCATAATAAGGTGAAACTCGACCGCACCAAATGCCTTTTTCCATGCAATCAGACGTAGTCCTCGGTGTTTGAAGGCTTTTTAAATAGGACAAGCCTCGGGATCCACGGCCAACTACCAAAACAGCTCAATCATCATCACTGTTGAGCTCGATCTCCCTGTCTTCCTCATCATCCTCCTCGTCCTCGTCCTCCTCATCCTCCTCATCCCCGGAGACGTCGCTCGTGTCGTCGATCTCGGCATTGCCACCTGTGTAATCGTCGTCCTCCTCCTCTTCGTCCTCCTCCTCATGGCCAACGTCCACGGCCTCCTCTTCAGCTCTGTCCAGCTCACCACCCTGGGAGGCTCCCTTCAGTGGTTTGGCCTTCAGCTCGTCGCTCATGCTCATGTCTGTAACCTGTCTTCCCTTGACGTACGAGTCAATCGCACCGAACTCCTCCTGGTCGATCATGCTGAACTCTACCCGTTCGCCGGTGGTCAGAATCAATGTGACGCTGAACGTGATCCGTGTGATGTTCGAGTACTGGATGGATCCGATCTCGTGCGACTCGAACAGCAAGATGGGCTTCTTGAAGCCAAAGAGGATGTGGTTAGCCAGGAAGTACAGCACGCCCTCTTTGGTGCCCCTGTGTGCTTGCACGTGGAACGACTTGTGCGTGAAGGCATGCTGGAGCTTGAAGCCCGCCAGCAGAAACTGGCGTGACAGGAGCTCCTGAAGCTCCTGTCCGTTCTTCAGCTTGCCCGACTGCTGGAGCTGCTGCACCAGCGACGATGTCGTGAAGGTGCACACCATCGGGTCGCTGTCCTTGGAGGAGGAGCCCTCTCGGTAGAAGATCACGAGGTACTGGTTCTGGTGCTTCTCCCTTGAGGGTAGCAGCGTGGCGAAGCGAATGTTGGCACTGCTTGTGTCGTTCAGTGTCCATTCGCTGTGGTCGCTGCCTTGCTTGAACAAGGATATCATGGGCTTCTGGGTCGATCTGTTGATCGACACCACCAAGTTCAGCTTCTTGCGCAGTGGAGACACGAACGACAAGTCTGCTAGCTCGAAGACGACGGTGTTGGGGTCAAGTTTGCCGTCGTCGGCTGGCTCAACAGCCAGTCGACGCCGTTTGCTGGCATCGTCTTGGAGGGCGTACTGGTATACCTTCTCAAGGACTGCTAGCACCTCGGTGTTGTTCTCTGTTTGCAAGAGGTTAGTTGGAATACGTCTCAGTGTACGACAAAGGGAGGAAAGGGAACGCACGTGAGACTCTTAGCACGTCCTCTCTCAGCTCGTGAGGCAGCTGGTCGACGAAGGACATGGTCTGTGTATAAATACGGAAAGAGCACTCTTGATTATGAGCACGTTGCTTGTCTCTTCTCAAGGCGAATGGTCCCATGGCTTGTTGGCCTTTTTTCTCGTGTTGATCATTTTTCAGTTTCCGGTAACCGCGTTTTCGGAACATTCCGAATTCGTGTCTTCGGTGGTTGGGGCAGCCCGCAAAGTCGGTATCACATGCAAGAGATCGGCAAGATATTTTTGGCTCCAGCCTGTCAAAGGAAGCGAACGAAGCGGAGGTTGGGAGATAGGGCTAGTACCTAAAGTCGGCGTTATCTTATGGGACAAGCGCTGTCTTTCGAACTCTATTGTGCGTCTGTGTCTCCAGGATGGTTGGCCAGCTCTATGTCTGGCCAACTGGCCACATGGTCACATGGCTAGATGGCCAGCACCTGCGTCGCCGGTGGTGGACAGCGCAACCGAAGCACCCTCTCCCACACACACCGCTCAAGCCCTTACACATGCTCCAGAGGGGACCACACCGGGCCTCTCGGTTCGGCTGGCAACAAGAGGACACTATCACAGCACAGTATAGGGAGTGCCAAAGTAAGCTACCCACAGAGAGAGATATACACAGCTGTCAAAGAAGAACTGTACGGACACCAACATAAATTAACCGAACCCCGGCATGACAACGGGTAGCAGCGGTTAGACCATGGAAGGCAATACACAGTTTCCACGCCTAAAAATATCAGACACAACTGGCACATGCACAACACAAGACGTGTATGCGTGTCCCTCGAAGATCAAACCGTTCCACGTCCTGTTCTACTCTTTGTGTCAAATGTCGTTGGCCATCACAGGCGCTCAAGGGGGGGGGGGCAGGACAGGGCGAATTTCACCAACCAATGATAGACCACCGTCCCCCCTTCGACGACCAAATTTTTCATCACACTCGTCTGATTTTTGTGGGGGACAGCCACGGCGGAGGTACAGAGAGAAGAAAATTTTGTCTCTCCGCCCTTCGTCGGACTCATTCCCCAAACCTAAATCCCCATCACCAAGAACCGCTTGACCAAGCTTCTATACACGCACCTGACTGGCTAGAAGCTCCTCTGTGTCGTCCTGCTAAGCTATCACCAAGCGTGCTTTTGTCCTTTTTTTTGTCCGCAGTTACAGCAGAGACCATCGAGAAGAGATGTCGTGGAAGTCATACTTCTCGCTATTTCAGAGACATGAAACTCGGCCAACGCCCAAGTGCATCTACAACAAGAGAATCTACTGGAATGCGATCATAGCGTCGTGGGTTGCGGTCATCATTGGCTACGATGCCGGCTTCATCGGTGGTGCGGTGTCGCTTGCCTCGTTCCAGAGAGAGTTCGGCCTGGACACGATGAGCACGCACGACAAGACTAACACCACGGAGATCATCATCTCCCTGTTCCAGGCCGGGGCGTTCTTCGGTGCCCTGGGCACCTACCCCGTGGCTGCGAAGTTTGGTAGAAAGTTGTCGCTCGCCGTGGCCACCGTTGTTCTGATTGTTGGTTCTGCTATCCAGCTGGCGTCCAATTCGAGTTCCGGGCTGGGAGCCATGTACGCTGGCCGTGTGCTCACAGGCGTTGGAATAGGCACTGTCAGTAACGTTGCACCTATGTACGCCGCAGAGATTGCACCGCCTTCTATCCGAGGCCAGCTCATTGGTTTCTATGAGATTGCGTGGCAGATTGGCGGTGTCATTGGTTTCTGGATCAACTATGCCACGAGCGTCCATTACTCCTCAGACGACAACAAGCAATGGATGATCCCGGTGGGCATCCAAATCCTGCCTGCCGGTGTGCTTGCCCTTGTGCTGTGGTCATTAGTCGAGTCTCCAAGATGGTTGATGTCTGTGGGGAGACGTGAAAAGGCTCTGGCCAACCTGTGCCTTTTGAGGAAGCTACCTGCTGATGACGAGTACCTACAGTACGAATTCGACATCATAGAACAGGAGATGGCTCAAAAGGCGCGTGAAGTTGGAACCGGTATCTTCGACCCTGTTAAGGGATTGTTGACGTCTAAGAGTTTGATGCACCGTCTTGGGCTGTCGACATCCACGTTCATCATCCAGAACACCGTTGCCGTGAACGCTGTGAACTACTATTCGCCAAAGATCTTCCAGGCCATGGGTATCGACTCTGTTGAGTCCTCTCTGCTATCAACAGGTGTTTTCGGTATCCTGAAAGGTGTCTTCTGCCTCGTCTGGTCGGTGTGCATCGTCGATAGATTCGGTCGTCGTCCTTGTCTGATCTTCGGCCTCGTCCTGTGTTCGCTATGCTTCTGGTACATTGGCGCATACATCAAAGTTGCTGATCCAACTGCTCGTATCAGCTCAGGCAACTCCCAAATCGACGGCGGTGGCCGTGCTGCGCTGGCGTTGTTCTACATCTGGACCATCGGATACGCTCTCTCATGGTCTGGTACCCCATGGGTTTGGAACGCAGAGGTATTCCCAACCTCTGTGAGAAATGCCTCGTCTGCAGTCAACGCAGCGTCAAACTGGTTCTGGGCTTTCATCATTGCCAGATTCACCAACCAGATGATAAACGCCATGGACTACGGAATCTTCTTCTTCTTCGCCTCCTGTATGACGGTGTGTCTGCCGATATTCTACCTCCTGTACCCAGAGACCAAGAACATCCCAATGGAGTACATGGACCAGCTCTTTATGCACAAGCCATGGAGAGCGCATGCCATAGTGATGGAGCAGATCAAGAAGGATCGCATGGAGTCGGACGGACTCGTCGAAACCTCCATCACCTTGGACTTCAAGGACAGCAATGAGAAGAGGTCTGAGACTGCAAGCACCGAGATCAGACCTCACCAGATGTGAGCGTGCGTATGCGTGTTTTGTATTTAAGTATCTAAAAGTGGTTTTGATGTTGAGCGAACAGTAGTGGTCACTGATGGTGGCGGTAACCGCCACCCAAGCGAGATCGAAAGTGCATGTGATCCGTGAGCCGGGACATGTCCCGTTGTAAATGTCCGCAAATGTCCCTTCTCCCCAAGAGAGAAAACCCTAAGTTCTTCCGGTTTATGTGTCAAGGGACATAAACAACTATAACATACACCAACGCTGTTGATTGAAGACGGATATGGCTGAAGCTGTGAACGATAGCCCTGGGAAGCAGGAGGACCAGGTTCCTCCGTTGAGTCCCACGCAGAGAAGACACTCGTCAACGCACACCACACCCTCAGGCTCGCCGTTGCTCCATGCGACAAACCCACTGTATACAACCTCGATGGACTACCTGCCATTGGAGAAGGTCACATTCTTTGACCTACTGGACCCCATGAGCACGATTCAGAACACCACAAGCACCATCTCGAAGAAGTACAACAAGGTGAAGAAGCAAGGCATCAGCACGTACAACAAGCTGAAAGTGGAGACGAGTAACAAGGGTAAGAAGTACTACCAGGAACTGAAGGATACGGAGGCACTGAGGAAGAAACTGAACGAGCGAGTGGAGAAGTTCGACAAGAGGCTGAGCAGGGTATTCTACGCGTCTGAGTTCGAGAAGCTGTTCTACTCTGCTGCCATTTACTTCTTGTTTGCCGGAGGCTTCATTCTCGGACACTACCCTGAGTACTTCCACGTGTTCTACACCGCGCTCGTTGTGACGCTGATGCCCATCAGATTCTACACGTACTGGAAGAGATCCTACCAGTACTTTTTAGCGGACCTGTGCTACTACGTGAACGGTTTGCTGTGTGCGTTTATCTGGCTGGCACCTCAATCACAGCACCTGTTCATTGTGTGCTTTGCCTTCACATTCGGCACTCTGTCATGGGCAGTTGTCACGTGGCGTAATTCGTTGGTGTTACACTCTGTGGACAAGTTCACGTCTTCCTTTATCCATGTCACCCCGCCGGTTGTTGTGTTTGTCATCACACACATGCTGACAGAAGAGTACAAGCTGGAGAGGTTCCCTGGTGCTGCGAAAGTTACCCGTTGGCACTTTTTCTCGGGCCTGTTGTGGACGTCGTTGTACTACCTCATTTGGCAAAGCGCATATCATTACTTCATCACTTTGAAACGAGCTGCAAAGATCAAAGCTGGAAGAGCAACCAGTTTCGAGTGGCTCCGTAAGAGCTTTGCGAATACCATTCTCGGAAGATTCGTGAACTCGTTGCCTGATCCATTCCCAGTTGTTGCATTCACTTTCATCCAATATGGCTATCAGCTCTTGACGATGAGTATCTGTCCAATATGGTTTAGATTCAAGTACCTTGCGGCACTTTTCCTGACTTTTATATTCTTCGTGGCAAGCTATAACGGAGCTACTTATTATGTTGATTACTACGGAAAGAAGATGGAGAAGGAGGTTCAAAGATTACGTGCTGAGATTGCAGAGATGCAAGCATCAAGCGAATCAACTTTCGAAGACAGTTCTGAATCTCTTCTTGAATATGCAAAGACAAAATGAAGCCATGACGTGTGCTTCGAGCCCTATTTATTGCTCAATAAAAGAGATTAGAGTTATCCAGAATGGCTGTGACACATCATTGCAGTATGAATAGTGGTGGTCTCAAAACGGTGGTGTATCTCTGTGGTGTATGCCATAGTGCCCTGATGATACTTTCTGTACTTGAACATGGTGTTTTCTCCACTACTTCAGTGCTTGGATAGTAGCTGTGGAATCAACCATCGTTGTCCGCAAACTCTGAAGTGATTCTTCCTGTTGTGTTTCATGTATTTCTGTTGATGCTAGATAACCTGTCAATGCTGGGGTCCTGCTTGCATTCTTCTATCATACCTTTTACTTTGAGACTTTGTTCACAATGACTCCTAGTCACGGAATGCTACCTATCGTTAGCTTCCAACAGAGCAGCCTGAGCATTCAACGATTACAGGTCTCCCACACTTATACTTGTTTCCAGTATATACATCTTATCTTCTTCATACACCCTTCTGATCCTGATTGCTCGCTCTCTTGTTGTCTGTCGTCCTGGTTCCTCTCTTGTTTATTCCTCTCTGCGTCCTTCTTTCTCCCATCTCATCTCTTCCAATATCCTCGCCCACTTCTCCTTCACCTGTGTAGCATTGGTCTCAGCAGGTAATCATCTGGTAATGTTATCTCTGGCACACACATGTGAGGATCCAAGATTGGATTACGGGTTACAGAGTAGACTACGTAATGTCGATGAACAGCAATAAGGGAAATGAGAGCAATAAGAGTGATAATAGTTGATACACGGTGGCAAACGCATGGGTTCAGGACTGATCAAGACGACGCGTAGGCAATTCTTAGACATTCTAGTTGAGAATGCCGATTTGGAAGAAAGAGTAAAAAGACAGGCAGTGCTGTTAACAGGAGAAGGCTCTCTCATAAGGAAGTTAATGAGATTAGTTTTCATCCGAAGATCAAGTTCACCGTAACAGAACGCAAGCTCAGTATAAACCTCAGCCCCAGGGCTCAGACAGCGGCCTTAGAGTCAACAAACCAGTGTACAGTCGTCACAACAGCAGAAACTACAATAAGTTCTACTCTTTGTCGTATCTGACAGTATAAAGACGTAGAACTTTCACAAATCAACAAGAAGCGCGAGTGGTTTAGCGGTAAAATTCCAAGTTGCCATCTTGGAGCCCCCGGTTCGACTCCGGGCTCGCGCATTCTTTTTTTGCAGATTTGACAACTGCGATATTATGGTGTTTACATCAAGCGACTGTCGTGTGCCATGGTGGTGTCAAGAGGGTTGTACACGTGCAGTGACAACGTAGTGCTCCTGGTGATAGCATTGACTATCGAATTGACGTGTTGATCCAGAGTATAACAACTTGATTCCATTATTCACTACTCCGTGAATGGAGATTTCAGCACGAATTTTCGACCTCGCTACAGAATCGTACATTACTCATTGAGAGATTCCCTGTGTGAAAGCTAATGAAGTAGTAACGGTAGTTATATTTGTATGTGCAACTTGGAGGGTAATTGGTTAACATTCTCGTTCCATAGCAAGCCCTGGTAGTAATCGTTCTGGAACTTCCCATGAACTAATCAACCAAAGAAGATGTTAAGATCATGTGGGCGAAAACTGCCGGAGATAGACCAGTCAACTGTGAATAGACTTGGACCATCGCTGTATCTGTCTTGAGCTTTCCAATTATCTCAGCAACTTTCAGAGTTGTTAGATACCCATTGTCTTCACAGAGAGATAGCATTTTACGGAACTCCATTGCCAGTCTGTTGTTCCTTTCCTGCTCTTTCTCCAACTGTTTGGCCTTCACGTAATCCATAAGCTTGTCGATGAGTTGATTAACCTGTTCTAAGATCGCAGCGTCGCCTTCTTCGACATTAGTGCTATATCCCTCTGGGATTGCCGTGGAAGAAGTGTTGTGTGGAAATGAGAGTATATCAGGATCTGTTCTCACAGTTGATTGGGTAAATCCCTCAGGTAAGTCTTCTTTTAAGGATTCAGCTTCAGATACATAAGTGCACAGTCTCGTATTATCAGAGACATTGCCCTCTTCAACGGACTCGTAACGTGGTTTCTTTTCTGGGGCTTCGCTGATGCCTGTTAGTCCCACCTCGTGGCCATTTAGCCCAATCTTCCTCTTTAGAGAGCTCAAGGCATTATCACTGTGAGCCTTTGGACACGACGATCCAACACTCACGCTAGCTGTTGTTTTCTTATAGGCCGGTGTCGACAGTGAGCTCGCCCTGGCCATTTCAATAGGCGCCGTCTCGAAACACTTGGATCTATAGAGCAAATCGAGGTCCTTGTTGTTCTTTCTCTTCAAGAGGCGTGAGAACGCGTCACCTTTCAATCTGGCGGCAAGTCCACTGAAGGGCTCCCTTGAAGAGTCCCAGTTGACAAACGCCTTATCACCAGATTGAGTAACACCATCAGCCTCAACCAAGATCGAATATGGCGTCAATAATTTATTAAACAAGTGTCTTCTCGTCTTGACCTGTACCGGCGTGAACTTGTTGATATTGAGATACATATTGAGCGACCTGGTCATCTCAACGATGTCTTCGGTCTTGACGATGTTCGTCTTGAGCCCTTTGCTTTTGAGCAACTGGACCAACAACTGTGCTAGTAGCATGGACTCTTCAACGGTCCATTCCACAGCTTTGGAGTGTTTCTCTAATGGCGGTTCCTGCCTATAAGGAACCTGTGCCTCCTGTTCGTGTTGTAAACTCATTGTGGACTCAGCTGGTCCGTTATACATCGACTGGAACATTAAATTGACAGTGATAGCTACGCGTTAATGAGTTGGCTAATGAAAATTGGTAAAATCCTGTGATGTTTAACGCCCATTTCCGTTGATGCAGATCAGCAGTGCACGAATCATTGACACCACGCAAGATGTATCCCAATATTAGTGTGATCAGCTGTTGTTGTGTTTTATTATGGAGGACAACAAGTGTATAGAACAGTGTAAGCATTGAGGATCCAATGATTGGACTCTGAGGTCGGTAGTTGACAGTTCCAAACTTGACATGCCCTGCGTATTTTAGTATGCTAAGCGAAGAAAGACTGCAGAAGTAATCTTCAAGCCTTTCTGTCATGATCATGCGGAGAAGAGGATGATGGTCGTGAGGACGAGACTGTAGCACCATCTAGTGGCTAGCTAGTGTCTCTTGAACACTCTGTGAGACGGCCATCCAAGAGGTTGGGTTGAATGGAGCATCTACGTATCACGACCGGTCTGGGTCGTCTGCGTGTCTCTGCAGAATCGTGGACTTCCCCGAATAACTTCAGTAGTATCATCACTGAAAAGACTATTCAGCATTGTGGTGACCTTGAGCGAACTCATTATTGGGAGTAGGTTCGGCTCAACATTGTAATGGCTCTAACTTGGATGCAAATCGGTCAATTGGCGGGCCCAGTTCGGCCAAGCTGTGGAGCACTGAAAGCAGGCGCGACTACAGGTTTTGATGACCATTAGCCTCATGGAATTGATGATTGATCATTGGATTGATACCGTATCATCTCTACTCTTCTTGTTGGTCGGCATGGTGTTGCTCTGCTTCAATTGGTATGTTTTACAAGTTGATCTGTAGTGCTTCGGTACGGTGGACGCGATTTGGACCTTCGCGTCAACTTGCGCTGGGCGGCCCGTCGGGTATTGACTTCAATACTTGGTCCTTCCGTTTAATAGGATGATAATGACTTTGAAACTAACGAAATCAACGCGTAAATAAGTTTTGTAAAACTGTAGCGTAAGATTCCCTATATGCAATCGCAAGAGTGCGTATAGTATGGGAAGTTAGAATGGTACTAATCTGAGTCCCGTTAGTATCGAAAAGATCCATCTAGCCCTTTATGCGTCTCGCTATTCATAACGATTGTGTTGAGAGAGAAACTCACCAATCTTGTTAATGTAGTCCTCAAGTTTGTTATATTCTTCATCAGTTTGAAGAACATCTCAAAGCAATTCAATGTGAAGATTTGTGACGAAATCTGGATCCAGTGTATAAGGTTCTGCAAATTTCTCATGACCATTTTCTTGAGCTATTATGCCGTCAACTCTATGGAGTAAACACCCGTTGATAGTCATTGAATAAGTCCCATCACTCGAATCACCAGTGTTATTAGAACCCATGGATGATAGCTAAAGAAATGTACTGATTGTTCGAAAAGATTTGGAAGTGATTGGATCCAAAAAGATATTCTTCATGGACTGTGGAGGATCTTTGAATATCTCACCCAGTAAAACTTTTCCCCCATGACAAAAACAAGATGGTCATTCTGTACCGATAAGGAGAGAATGACAACTCTCGCAACACTATTCACGACCACCTGGATTATACACTGAGTTCTGTAGTCTCCGTGGTCTCCGCTCTTGTTGTTGTTCATAAACTGGATCATCATTCTCATTAAAACCGTTGGTGTCATCCTTAATGATGTATTCAAAGTTGGGATCATAATCAAATGCACCATCACATCTAATTTCTTATAACACTCTTTCTGCTACCTGTGCTGCGTTTCTTCATCTATCTCTTATTCTATCGGCCATAGTTCCATTATCTAGTTCAGGTTCAGGTATTGGCGGCTGTTGTAGTACATCTCTGATCTCTGCATGGGTATTCTGTGACAGAACTTGGATATTTTTTTCGCTCCATACCTTGCTCTCATAACAGCTCATTTAGTCTGTCTCGATGATTACTGAGTTTTCTAGTTGTCTCGTACCTCCATTCGTTTGAACTTGCCGCTGTGGCTCTGGATTGGCCGCTGATGTTTCTTCTTCAGGTTGAGGACGTCATTAGATGACCCCATTAAGAGTCCTCCGAATCCTTCTTGGACGCCCTCTGGGATTTTTGCCTTTATTATTCAACCTATTGTTCTTGGCCATTGTTCTGTGATATTCTTAATCCTGTGTATAAAGCTGTACTGGTTTTGTGTCATTTTTGTGTTGATAAGAATTCAAAATGTAAACAATGCAGCGGAAATTAGAAAAATCCTAACATTTTTACGATTGCTGAGGCAACGAAGAATCAGAATTACATATGTAATGCAAAACGTTGTGATTTATTGTAAAACAACCATTGATCCAATCAAGCTGAAAGTTGTTATATATGATGATATAGATATGTTCTTTTGTTTTCCTCGTCAGTTTTGGCAAATTGTGTTTTGTTGCTGAGATATAAGCAAATTTATATCTTTTTCTTGATTATACCATACAAACTATGAATGAACAAATCTCAGGAAGTATTGATGGTAACATGATCATACTTTGTATATCTCTCAATTAAGGTAAGAGCTACATTGTGGTATAATTTGGGGAAATTTGAAGGGGGGTTGCTATTTTTATAAGTATCATTCTAATATGTTTTTCTTGATTATAGCGTACAAACTAAGAATTGGTCTATCTCAGTTTGTATTGAAGATTACAAGTTCAACCTTTGTGAGCCTGTTTTTCAAATATTAGTTACATTTTGATAGACTTTGGGGGAATTTGAAGGCGGTTTGCTATTTTTATTAGTATCACTCCAATATTTCTCTATAAACTCATTCACAATAGAAACAGTGGGTTGTTAATTGATAGGTTAATACGTTATAATCATGGACCTTAACACATGGAATTAAATGCATTCTATCGCTGATATGCAACTTTTTGCTCTCTCATCATCAGGAAAAGACTGAAGAATTAAAAAGCAACTACAGGCGCGAGTGGTTTAGCGGTAAAATTCCAAGTTGCCATCTTGGAGCCCCCGGTTCGACTCCGGGCTCGCGCATTCTTTTTTTTTCAATCTCACGCTTAACGCGGAATTTCGATACTGAAAAAGTGGCCCTGCCTTATCGGCAGGGCTCCGTTAACTTTTTATCGTTTGCACAACAAATTATGGCATTCTTGACTTCCCGGGACAGTGAAACTTTGGGATTTCTCGCAAATGGCCCTCGAATGACCACTCAAATTCCCTTAAACTGACCCGGGGATGAGGGATTCCCCACTGACTTTCGCAAATGTTTGCAAAAGTGCCTCTTTTAGGCAATTGACAATACCGCAAAAGCAGACACAAAGCGGAAACAGAGTGGAAACAAAGCGGAAAGTACAAAAAAAGGCGGAAAAAAGAAACGACTAAAAATGGACAAAGTCCACGTTATCGTTGGAGGCCTCGAGATCGTTGAGATTAGACAACAGAGGTGTTCCAATTACATGTACTCGGTAGTGACGTGGTTGTAACCTGTGTAACCTGTATAACTGTGTGTGCCTACAAGCGTGTATGTGTGTCTCTTAGTTTTTCCCCCGGCCTCAGTAAACCATTGCACCGTTATCCAAGTGATCCAAGTCGCAAGTTGCTTTTTCGCATCTAATCCGGATAAGGGCGATAGGAGAAGCACAGACACCCAGGACTTTGTTGTTGTGTACCCCATGTTATCAGGTGCAAACTACACAGATATGTACTGGATGGAGAGGTGCCGTTGTCTTTACAGTAGCGAGCCTTTACGTTTTGTCATTTTGTCCCTGGTTTCTTGTCCTCTGTCCCCTGTCCCCTGTCCTCAGACAATTCCTATTCACATTCCATGTCACCTTGCACAACACGAATTCTAACGTATATAATCTGCTGATAAAATTTTCACCGCTGCGACGTGTGTTTGGTGGAGGGGACACTGGACAAAAAACACAGAGACAGTGAGAACGAAAAAAAAAAATTTTGTCCGAATTACTCCCTCTTCTGTTATCATAAAACACCATATCATCCATACCAGCCTGCGCATCTACACGTTACATGTCTAATAGTTTGAAATAGAAGCCTTCAAACAGCAGGAGATACCACAGTCCTTTCACTTTCAGTTTTATTTTTTTTGCGCTTATAATACTTTTCTTCACCTTCCATTTATCGTTCAGCAGTGAGGAAAAAGATTACGTCGAGGTGACAGCACACAGGCACAGATCGATTACACAGGTGATAAGGGCCCCAATATCCATACACAGGGGAGGGAATAGAGATCTATCAGGACGGAGAGCCATAGCACACACAGACACAGATACACGGAAGTATGTCCACGCCGGTGTGTAAGAATTGCAAGACGTCGACGACGCCTCTATGGAGACGTGATGAAACTGGGCAAGTCCTGTGCAATGCCTGTGGATTGTTCCTGAAGTTACACGGGAGACCCAGACCGATCTCTCTGAAGACAGACGTGATCAAGTCGAGAAATAGGGTGAAGCATTCACAGAATAATGGGAACGCCAATGGGAACGTCAAATCAAATCCAAACACACCAGAGTTGAAGGCCAAAGACGGGCATAAGAAGTCACGCTCGAAGGATAACGGTGATAAGAAGAGATCATCGCCAGGCTCGCAAGGGTCAAAGGGCTCTAATGGGGAGTTCGACAGCGATAGAAACGAGTCCTTGGCCAACGGTGAACCACAACAGCACATCACATCGCCCGGGTTGGTGCCGCTGCTACCACGCAATGGTGGGAACGGTGTTGATGCGTCTGGTCCAGCAATATCAAAATCACCATTCTTTCAGGGGAGCTTCCATCCACATATACCTTCCCATTTACAGCAACACGTCCCATTGCACCATCCAAGCTCTGTTCCTACACAGTTTGCCTCAAATCTGCAAGCTATAACGTCACCGCTGCTGTTGAGTACGACGCCAAAGTCCAGCAATGTATCTCAACAGCTTGCGCAAACGCAGGCAGCAGCAGGGGTACTGGAGACTTTGTCTAACGATAAGAGCGGGTCGTCAGAATCGCTATTAAGACCTTTGAACTTGGATGATCCTGGCAATAACACAACGCCATTCTCAAAGAGACCTTTTTCACCTGCAACGGCATTACAAGTTCCACAGTCCAGCCATAGCAAAACTCTTGACGGCAGCAGCAGCAACAACAACACTAACAGCTCATGTCCAAAGTTCCCAAATCTGATGAACCCTGTGTCGGGCTTCTACTCATCACCGAGCTTTGGACCACAACACTCCCTATCAAATCCGTCTGCTTTCTCGCTTGCAAATGGTAATAGCTGCAACGACTCAAAGATTGGTTCAAATTCCACGATAAACACTACGACAACGAGTTCCACGAGCAGTGCCACGGTGACTAGCGTTGGTACCGGCACCTCATCGGTAGAGAGCTCCGACGTTAAAGAATCGATGAGTTCCATATCTCAGTTAAAGATTAGGATCTCGGAGCTGGAGCTGGTTAACGATCTGTACAAGTCGAGGATCCAGGAGCTGGAGGCAGCTGAGTCGCTGGCTAAGCAGAGAGAAGACGAGTTGAAACAACAGTTGTCTGCGATGCAAGACGATGTGCAAGTGAGGAAGAAGATCAAGTTGGAAGCCACTGTGGAATGATTCGATCTATCTGGAACTCCAACACCATCACCAATACCAACAGCATTGATAACAGCTTATACCATATCCACGCACAAGGGGGTTCACTTCATCAACATTTACATAGTATTATTATCTTTTGTCTTGTTATTATATCAAACACTTCGTTGGTCTCCATTTGGCGCTTGATAGCTGTAGATGACGTGAGTATGGTTCTTGTTATGATTATCATATCATATAATTATATAATCGTAATTATCCCCTTTGGGTTAAAAACTCCGCCGCTGTCGCCCATCAAAAAAATCTTCCGCCTCCGCTTCATTCTCGAGAACCAAATTGAACCAATTTGATCCAAATTAAACCAAACCAACGCTGGAGAGAACCCTCACACACAGTAACAATGACCGAGTTCCCTCCATTGAAGAATGATTTGATACTTAGAGCTGCTAGAGGTTCGTAACATTCCGATTTTGTGTGCTACTGCTGAAACTGCAGAGGACTAACTGCTGGAGTACAGGTGAAAAGGTTGAAAGACCTCCCATGTGGATCATGAGACAAGCTGGGCGCTATCTGCCGGAGTACCATGAGGTCAAAGGTGGCCGTGACTTCTTCGAAACGTGTAGAGACGCTGAGATTGCTTCTGAAATCACCATTCAGCCAATAGATCACTTTGATGGGCTGATCGATGCCGCAATCATTTTCAGTGACATCCTCGTGATTCCGCAGGCCATGGGCATGGACGTCCAAATGATTGACAAGGTTGGCCCTCGTTTCACAGACCCATTGAGGGTGCCAGAGGACTTGGAGAAGCTGAGCAAGGATGTCAATGTTCTGAAGGAACTAGACTGGGCATTCAAGTCCATCACGTTGACCAGAAAGAAATTGGAAGGCAGAGTGCCACTTCTGGGCTTCTGCGGTGCTCCATGGACCTTGATGGTGTATATGATTGAAGGCGGTGGCTCGAAAATGTTCAGATTCGCCAAGGAATGGTTGTTCAAGTACCCAAAGCAGAGTCACGAGCTTCTACAAAGAATCACAGACGTTGCAATGGAATTTCTAGCTCAGCAAGTTGTTGCAGGTGCACAGATGCTTCAGGTCTTTGAATCATGGGGTGGTGAACTGGGCCCTGATGATTTCAAGGAGTTTTCCCTACCATATCTCAGACAAATCTCCTCTAAGCTGCCACCACGTTTGAAAGAGCTCGGTGTGAAGGAAGATATCCCAATGACGGTGTTTGCAAAGGGCTCCTGGTACGCATTGGAGGACCTCTGTGAGTCCGGCTACCAATGCGTCTCCCTGGACTGGTCCTATGACCCTGCTGCTGCAGTGGAGCTCTCCAACGGAAGAGTTACACTACAGGGTAACCTGGACCCAGGTGTGATGTATGGGTCCGAGGAGACCATCACGAAGAAAGTCGAAGCCATGATTAAGGGCTTTGGTGGTGGTAAGGAGCACTACATCATCAACTTTGGCCACGGCACACATCCTTTCATGGACCCTGAGAAGATCCGTCATTTCCTGAAAGAGTGCCATAGAATTGGTGCCCAATGATCAGTCCGTCTGCCCTCACCATGTCTGTATATAGTCTCTAATATAGCTCCATGTATCAATTGACGGTTGCGTAGCACGCTTACAAATGTCGCAGTGTGTATTGATGCACGCTGATGACGATGATTATTCAGATTGTTAGTAATCATGTGTCCCGTCCACAGCAGCGCAAGCACTCGAGCGGGCATATGTTATAAATACGTCTCGAGATCCCCGTACGACCTCAGCTGTGTGATGAAGCAGCCAGTGAAGCAGCCAGTGAAGCAGCCAGTGAAGCAGACTGACACGCCAGCGCAAGATGTCTTTCCACAACGGCATTGTCTCCTTCGACCTCCACACCTACTTCAAAGACGACGACGCTGAGCAGATCGCATTCGCCAATGCCTTCAAGGAAGCCATACAGAAGGAGTTCGCAGATGAGCTCGCAGCGACAAAGTGCCGCCTCTTCAAGACACATCCTCACCAAATGGGGCCTCACCCAGACGGCTACGGCATGTTCGAGTCAGACACGAGGGACCCGGCCACCTTCCTCAAGCTGTTGAACTTCTACCAGCTGAACCATGGCCCTCTGAGCGTGCTGATACATCCGAGATCCGGTAGGGGAGATTTGGAAGACCACACGCAGAACGCCCTGTGGCTGGGAGAGAAGAAGCAGCTGAAGCTCCAACTGTTGGAGAAAAGTGTACACTGATTAAGGTAACATAAGCGGAAATGTACTCTTTGAACTCGCAGTAGACGTGTAGAATCCTTCAATTAGGCCAAGGTGCTCTTCCCAGGAGCGCTAAAACCAGGGGGGCTGTACAGGCATGCATCACTCGCTGATTGGGGACCTGGAACGTACGATTCCACGCATGGTGTTTAGTGCTCGTGCTGGCGAGAGGATTTGGAACGAGCTGTAGAAAAATGGTGTTATAATGAACGGAGATCATGTGAAACATCGACGAGTCAGTGGTTTGAGGTTGCTTTGTATCGAATAGGCGTCATTGGAGATGCACATTGACGAAGAGCTGAATAACGTACCACCGACGGGGGCAACATGGAGGTTCTCAGTCTTACGAGACCGTCAGGACTTTTACGCGCAGGAGGAGGCTCTGGGCCGTGGTGATAACGGTGTGTTCGTATACAGGAAACCAATACCTAGAGAGGACGGTGTGGACTTGGAGTCTCTCGAGATTGCAGAGTCTTCTTCACAACTGCACAATCTGGTTGACACGCAGCGTGCCACCACGGTTTCCACACCGCTGCTAAGGCGTGAGACCATAAGGACCACTGAGTCGGTGTCAACACGGACCTTCAGTGGACCACCCTATGACGAGTCTTTGTTTGATGGCTCAAGTGTGGGTACACGTCAAAGCAGGAGCAGCCACCACGACTCGTCACGTGAGCTGGGAAGCATAGATAGTGCCACGGTTAAGACCACTGGCTCCAGCAGCCTGTTGAGACACATCAAGCACCGCCATCGCCACGATGTACACAGTTCTGGGATCCACGGTGAAGTTCTGCCGTCTGCTTAGTGTGTTTGAATGTTAGGTTGGTGGTGTGTATGTTGGATTGTGTATATGTTGGATCTCTGGGGGAGCAGGGCTCTTAAGGGGGCGTTCCAGCGGGCTCTTGACTGTCTCAGCGGAACACTGACGCTTTGGCGAGATCCGTGTATAGTAGTTACAGTCAATTGGCCGTGTTGTATGCCCTACATCCGTACCATTCTTCATCTATGTATAGGCCCTCAAGCCATCGTGGCAGCAAAAAAAAATCTCTCGGGGGCGATTCGAACGCCCGATGTTCAGATGACTTTGTAACATTACAGTCTGACGCCTTAAACCAACTTGGCCACCGAGAGGTTTTTCTTGAGCGAAAGGTTAGCGCATCTGTGTTTAGGTGTGGTGGGCTAGTAAATATGTCCATACCGATACTGAGTGGTAGTATCAGTTTTGACAGCGTGATCCAATTGGCTTCGCACTGGAGTATCCATCGCCATATGCTACACGTTCACGTGTGCCTCATTTGCCGTGTGCCTCGGTGTCGCTGTCTCTATTCATGCGCTAATTCCACCGTGTATAGATGTTGAGGCCCGTGAATGCAGATACCCTCCTGTCCTTGTAATAACCTCTATATATGTACGCTATATGTATACAGTCGCTGTGTATGCCATGCCAAGTCGTTCACAGTGTCCAGTTCACCCCCAACGACACAGTCCCAATCATCACTCCATAAGTCTCATCACGTATTCGTAACTCCATATCGAAAGCGCAGACGTTGGTGCGCTCTTCACCATCGATACAAAGAATCCCTTGTAAAACCCTCTGAGCCCTTCTCTCTTTGCAACTTGCACGAGCACCTCTGTGAAGCTGTGCCTCAGCTTCTTGCTGACCTGCAATCTCTTCCGTATAAGGTCAAGTGGGAATACAACACCTTTGGCAAACACACCTGCGCAGAACCCGCATACCGGCTCTGCCCATGAAGAATACCCATCTAATGCGCGTGCCAGCGCTCTTGAGTACTCATATGACCAGAACAGCAGACCCGTGTACAGCGAGATGGATGCCATCGCAGTGTTACAGCCTTTGAAGAACGCCCTTGGGCCCTCATTGGCGTAGATCTTCGTCACAACGTCATATAAGCTGTGGAAGTTCGGGCTATTGGCAAACCTCGTTCTCAGCAGATCAAACGGGTACGAAACAACGGTGCTCACGCTGCCTGAAACACTGCCAACAAGGAAAGTGTGTAATCCTTGTCCCAATTGGATCCCATAGTCACGCTCTGCGTGCGACATCCACGTGTTAAGAGCTGTGTACGCCGTGAACTGCGATGCTCCGTAGATAACGTACATCACACTGGCTGGAACGTTTCCCTTCCACAGGGCAAACACAGACTCCTCGCTCACAATGGTCCTCATGGCCTTGACTATCCCCTTGTACTTGCTGCCGTCCACCTGAAGTTGTAGTCGAATCTTCACAACGTCTAACGGTGCAGTGAATGTTCTAGCATTAGCCGGTTAGCCTATACTGCACGAGACATAATAGTAGAGCACACTTACCTGGCCACCAGCCCTGATGACGACCCGGCAATCATCGACTTCCACGCTGGCACTTCCTCTCCCTGGCTTAAGTGATCCTTCATCGTCTCTCTCTCTCTCTCAATGGCTATGAGTTGCTATAACAATACACACACCAGGCTCAACAACGCTTAAGTGAAAAATCTCGATGAGGCAGTAGTAGGCAAAAAAAAAACTTCGGCGATGAGCTTCCTCTCCGGCTTTCACTCACCAGCTGGGTACTAATTAAGCAAGCATGGAATCACAAACCACCGTTCTCACGAGAGTTGATGGCTCAGCAGACCTGGTGCACGGTGAAACGAGAGCCATAGTATCTGTTTCTGGGCCTATTGAGCCCAAGGCGAGACAAGAGTTACCGGCAGCAGCAGCATTGGAGGTGATTGTGCGTGCTGATGTTGGTGTAGCTGACACCAGGGAGAAGCTACTGGAGAACAAGCTACGCTCTGTGCTGTCACAGACGATACTGACGACGTCGTATCCAAGACAGCTGATTCAGATCGTCGCTCAGGTGCTGGAAAGTGGTGAAGATGAACGATACACGTGTAAAGAGGCTGCGTCCATCATCAACGGCTCCTATTTGGCCCTGATAGACGCAGGAGTTGCTCTCCAGTGCTCCTTCGCTGCTGAGTCCTTTGCCATTGCTCAGGACGGTGAAGTGATTACCAATCCTACTCCGCTTGACCTGAGACAGTCAAAGAGCTCACATGTTGTCTGCTATTCGATAAGGGATGCTAAGGTAGACTCGCTGCTGTTCAGCGATAGCATTGGCTCGTTTACGGAGACACAGCTCTACAGTGTGTTGGCCAGAGGCACTGAGTCCGTGGAGGCCCATCACAGACACTTCAGATCCACGATTGAGGCAAAGATCTCGAAGGACTTCGTGTGGAAGCTACAATAGCCACTTTTAATCAAGTTTATATCTAACGTACCATCAAATTCTGTATGTATATAAGTAGGAGAACCTCAGGAACGGCCTTACAACTTCAAGCGTTCCAAATTGGCAATGGTGGCCTCGAAACCTTCAATTTCAGCAATAGCAGTCTCCAATCTGGTCTTATCTTGATCAATGGTCTCCTGTGAGGCCTTGCTCAAGTAACCCTTGGAATTGATGGTCTTCTCAATGGACTCTTTTTGCTTTTGGGTCTTGTCAATCTTCTTCTTGGCCTTGGTGATCTCGGCTTCAATGTCAACCAAGCCTTTGACCAAGACGTGGACGTTGATCTCCGGTGTAACAGCCTGGAGGATAACACCAGTTGGAACGTCAGAAGCGGACTTGACAACTTCAACCTCGTTGATGGCCTTAATCAGAGAGACAATGGACTCCTTCTGGGATTGAACCATTCCAAGTTGAGACTCGTTGGAACACTCGACGTACACCTTACCGTTCTTCAAGATGTTGTACTGAGACAACAGGGAACGGGCTTCCTTGGTGATGGCCAAGATGGTCTCGTAGTCCTCAAACGCTTGAGCGTTGTAGAACTCCTTGGTGAAGACTGGGTACTTGGCCTTGACAATGGACACAGCAGTCTCGGTAGCACGGCGAGGAAGACGTTGCCACATCTCCTCTGAGATGAATGGCATGAATGGGTGGATCAATCTCAAGGCACCATCGATGGAGGTGTACAAGGTGTCTCTGGCAGACTTACGCTCGGCCTCAGAGCCGTCCAGGATCAAAGACTTGGAGTTCTCGATGTAGACATCACAAACTTGGTACCAGTACTCGTAGATAGCAGACGTAGCAGTGAAGAACTCACGCTTGTCCATGGCCTCGGTAACGGTCTTAGCAGTCTCGGTGTACTTGTGCAAGATCCACTTCTCAACCAACGTTTCGTTGCCAGAAAGACCTTCAGAGGCTGGTGGCTGATAATCATCACCAAGACGCATGAGAGCAAACTTGGTGGCCTGGTAGATCTTGTTACAGAACTTTCTGTAACCTTCAACACGAAGAATATCCAAGTTAATATCACGACCACCAGTGGTGTAAGCACAGAGGGCGAATCTCAAAGCATCGGTACCACACTGTGGGATACCATTAGGATAAGATTCCTTCTGTCCAGCCTTGGCTCTTTCGATCTCAGCAGCAGCCAAGTTACCTCCAAGCAACTTGGAGTGTAAAGTCTCTAGCGAGATACCGTTAATCACATCAGTTGGATCGACAACGTTACCGAGCGACTTGGACATCTTACGACCTTGAGCATCACGGACCAAGGAGTGGCAGAATACCTCCTTAAATGGAACAGTGCCGGTCATCTTGATGCCCATGAGGATCATTCTGGAGACCCAGAAGAACAAGATGTCCCAGCCAGTCTCCAACATGGACCATGGATGGAACTGTTCGAGGGCCTTGGTCTTCTCAGGCCATCCAAGCGTGGAGATTGGCCATAAACCAGACGAGAACCAGGTGTCCAAGACATCCTCATCCTGGTGCAATGTGAACTTCTTGTCTGGGAACTTCTCCTTGGCCTGCTCCTCAGCCTCCTCTAACGTACGGCCAGAAACCCAGTAGTTGCCATCAAGATCGTCATGCTCTTCGCCTTCAATGTTGACAAAGTACACTGGACATCTGTGACCCCACCACAGTTGACGAGAGATACACCAATCTTGGATGTTCTCCAGCCAGTGGAAGTATTCAGCCTCAGATGACTTTGGAGTGATCTTGATTTCACCGTTCTTGACAGCAGCAATGGCATCCTTGGCCATGTCACCTTGGGCAACCCACCACTGTGGCTTGAGGTATGGTTCAATGATATCACCAGATCTGGAGCAGATTGGGATGGTCATCTCATTCTCCTTCTGTTCGATGAAGAGGTCCTTCTCCTTCAAGGCCTCGATGACTCTCTTTCTTGCATCGAATCTCTTCATACCAGCCCATTCACCACAGTTCTCGTTGAGCAGACCGTCATCAGTGAAGATGTTGATCACTTCGAGACCGGCACGCTTACCGGTGTTGTAATCGTTGTTGTCGTGACCTGGTGTGATCTTAACGGCACCAGTACCAAACTCCATGTCGACAGCTTCAGCATCGGTGATAATTGGCACCTTTCTGTCGAGGAATGGATGGAGAGCGAACTTGCCGTGCAAGTGCTTGTAACGAGCATCATCAGGATGAACTGCGATACCAGTATCACCAAACAAGGTCTCTGGACGTGTAGTGGCCACGATGATCTTCTCGTCCGAGTTCTCAATTGGATAGGCAAAGGACGTCAACACACCAAATTCAACCTTCTCGTCGTAGCCTGGAACAGAGAGCAAGGTTCTACCTTTGACATCCTTGTTGTCAACTTCCAAGTTGGAGATGGCTGTGTTAAGCTTCACAGACCAGTTAACCAAACGGGAAGCCCTGTAGATGGTACCTTCTCTGTGCAATCTGACAAAGGCCTCGGTCACAGCCTTGGACAAGTCATCATCCAAGGTGAACTTCTCGAACTTCCAGTCATAAGAGGCACCAAGGCTCTTGAACTGTGTTTTAATCTTGTCATGGTACACGTCCTTCCATTCCCAAACCTTCTCAACAAAGGCCTCACGACCCAAGTCGTGTCTGGAGATGTTCTCCTTGGCCAGCTGCTTCTCAACAACAGACTGGGTGGCGATACCTGCGTGGTCAAATCCTGGAAGGAAGAGCACGGTCTTGCCTCTCATTCTGTTGAATCTAATCAAGGAGTCCTGGATGGACACTGTGAGGGCATGGCCAATGTGCAGGGCACCTGTGACGTTTGGTGGAGGTGCTGGGATACAGAAGGTACCTTCTGGTTTGGCAGAGCCGTCAGCAGCAAACTCAGGCTCGAAGAAGCCCTGCTTGACCCACCATTCATACCACGAGCTCTCAACGTTACGTGGGTCATACGCCTTCAATGCCGGGTCTTCTAAGGACACAAGCACCTTCTTCTCACCTTTCACGGTGGTGTCGACAAACTCCGGCACAGGCTCAGCAACCTTCTTCTCCTTCTTTGGCTTCGTGGACTCGGCCTTCTTCTTAGCAGCCTCCGCCTTCTTAGCCTCCTTAGCTTGGAACTTTGCAAGCTTCTCAGCTTTCTTTCTCTCCCTCTCGAGCTCCTTCTCGGTCTTCACCTTTGGCTCAGCACCGGCAGCTGGCGCCGCTTGTTGCTGCTCTGGATTTGTACTCATCGTGTACAGTCTGTGTAGTTGCTTGCCTCTATTGATAACCAGTGGAAGCCTTCTGATGAACATACAGCGCTGGTCAAAGCCGTCGAATCTGGTGACTCTTTTTTGAGTGAAATTTTTCAGCTCATCAGTGAAATTTTTCAGTGGCGTAACTCTCAGCACGGCACGGCCATTTGGAGATCGAGGTCTGCGTAATTCTGGGCACGCCCTGCCTAGCAGCTGGAATCTTCACGTGTCGTAGGAGGCTACAAAGCGTTGACGGGATGAGCATACTTCATCACATCCAAGCAGCGGACATTATACGAAGAAGTTGAGGAAGAAGAGTGCAATTATACAATGGCAATTGACGATTTACTCTCAGACTTGGACAGTGATGGTGATGAGCAAGTTGAGCAGGTTAAGCAGGTTGAGGAAGGGGACGTGGAGCTCGAGAGCCCACCAGCAGATGTGCAATTCTCATCTACTATTGAAGCGAAGATTGAGCCTATACTACAACAGATTGAGCAGTTCTCGTCTCAGAGGATCGATAGGAGTAAAGAGCACGATTTCCTGATCAGTGCGAATGAGATCTCTGTGGATGTCTCTGCTGAACAGCAGGAGCTCCATACTCTCGTGAAGAATCAGTATGCAAAGAGGTTCCCAGAGTTGCAATATCTAATTCCACAACCTTTGGACTATGCCAAAGTTGTGATGACATTGGGGAACTCCCTTGATATTGACGCTGAAGAGCTGTCATTCCTGGGGAAAGAGAGGATTTTGGTGCTGACGATGTCTGCTCTACAGGCAAGGGAGTCTTCTATTCCCTTGACACAGGATGAATTAGACACTGTTGTTCAAAGGTGTCAATTACTCCTGAAACTCGAAGATTTGAAGGTGAAGATCCAACAGTACGTTTCGTCGAGATTGGTTGTGTTTCTGCCCAATGTGACTGCCATTGTGGGGGCACGGACTGCTGCCCAATTTATGGGTCTGGTTGGTGGGATAAACGACCTTGCAAAGACACCTGCGTGTAATGTGGCTGGGCTGGGTAACAGAAGAACCATCTCTAAGTCTGTCAGCCAGCATGGGGTTCAACAGCAGGGCTTCCTCTACCACAGTGATTTGATACAATCAGTACCACCTGCTTTGATGAAGCAGGCGATGAGAATCACATCGGGCAAGCTCGTCCTCGCTGCAAGGATAGATCTCTCGGAGAGTATACCAGATGGATCACAGGGGCGTAAATGGAAACAGGAGATCCTGGAGAAGATTGCCAAGTTGGAGGAGCCTCCAGAGATCGTTGCGACAAAGGCATTACCAGTGCCTATTGATAGAAAGGCAAAGAAAAGAGGAGGGAAACGTTACAGAAAGTTGAGACAAAAGTTTGAACAATCCGACTTGAGGAAAGCACAGGACCGAGTTGTCTTTGGCCAAAGGGAAAAGACCGTCACCGATGCCTTTGGCGAAGAGGTTGGGCTGGGAATGCTCAGCTCTCTATCTCGTATTCCTCAAAATGTCAACAACAAGGCAAAGATGTCCAAGGGAATGAAGAATAGACTACAAAATTCCAATGGCACGGTGAACACTGATAACTTTTTCAACCAGGATTTTATCAATTTACCAAGGGAATCGGACGAATCTGCTAAGAAGAGGGTGAAACGGTGAACTGTGTGCTGAAGACGAGAATTGAGATGAGGTGAGATGAGGTAATGGCATGGATGGATGGGTGTCTGGGTGTATCGGTGTACGGGTGTACGGATGTTTAGGTGCACGGGTGTTTAGGTGCACGGGTGTCAATCGTCGTCTCCCCCCCCCCAGTGTTCCCAAAACGGAAAAAGGTAAACACACAAAAACACACAAAAAAACATCCATGGCACAGCTGAAACATCCCCTTATCCCTCATAATTGACTTGTTTCTCTTCTATCCTCCACTCCAAATCCCAGCACGTCGACAGCATCCAACGGCAATGGTTGCTAACTTCTTCAGTAACAGGATGAACAAGTCAGCAAACGTCAACCACGGCGATGAGTTGGCCAAGGGCTTTGAGGATCTCCAATTCCAGCAAGATCGGTTCACGTTTGAGTCCTCCAGGTCTCCTTTGAACAAAGAGAACAGTCCGCAGTCCCAGAATAAGTATTCTCCTGCTCAGTCACGCGCACAGCACCAGCCATATCAAAGCCCACTGACGAGCCCCTTGAGACCGCAAAGTAGCAGGCTGATGCCACCAAGGACTCAACATCAGTTGCAGCAGCAGCAGTCACAGGCTTCGAAGAAGAAGTTGAATAGTAAGCACAAGCGCATGGTTAACGTATGTCAGATGTACTTCTTGGACTACTACTGTGATTACTTTGACTACATCATCACGAGAAGGGAGCGTACGAAGACGGTGCTCAACAACTTGCACAGATCGCAAAACCCTGACATGGAGTGGAGATCGTACGTAAACAACGAGACCGCGATGTTGCGTAAGAGAAGACTGAAACCAAAGAACAAAGACTTTGAGATAATCACGCAGATTGGTCAAGGTGGTTACGGCCAGGTTTACTTGTCGAGAAAGAGAGACACCAGGGAGATCTGTGCCTTGAAAGTGATTTCCAAATCCATGATTGTGAAGATGAACGAGACTGATCATTTGCTCACTGAAAGGGAGATCTTAGCAGCTTCTAGAAGCGACTGGTTGGTGAAGTTGTTGTACTCCTTCCAGGACACTGAAAGCGTGTACTTGGGTATGGAGTTTGTCCCTGGTGGTGATTTCAGAACGTTGTTGAGTAACTGTCGCACCCTTTCTCCTGTTCACACAAGATTCTACATGGCTGAGATGTTTGCAGCATTGGACGACCTTCACAAGACAGGATTCATCCATAGAGACTTGAAGCCAGAGAACTTTTTGATCGATGGCAAGGGCCATTTGAAATTGACAGATTTTGGATTGGCATGTGGTACCATTGCTGACGAAAGAATTCAGTCAATGAAGATCAGATTGGAGAAGATTGGCGATAAGTTCACTGCAAATCAGGGACTGCAAAGGTCAATGCAGGAGAGAAGAAGAATATACCAGACTTTGAGAGAAAACGATCTCAACTATTCCAAATCGGTAGTTGGATCGCCAGACTATATGGCCATCGACATTGTCAAAGGTTACGCCTACGATAAAACAGTTGACTATTGGTCCTTGGGCTGCATGCTCTTTGAGTGCTTGTGTGGGTTTTCTCCATTCAGTGGTGAATCCACTGAAGAGACGTATTCGAATTTGAAGAACTGGAGAACGTACTTCCGTAGACCAAGAAATAACGATGGAACATATGTCTTTAGTGACAGAACTTGGGACTTGTTAGTTCATTTGATTGCAGATAGTCAACAGAGATACAAGAACTTTGAACAGGTGAAGAGATGCCACTATTTCCATGGTGTCAATTTTGACAACATCAGAGATAGATCACCGCCTTTCGTCCCTTCATTGGACTCCGATCTTGATGCTGGCTACTTTGACGATTTCGATAATGAAGGAGATATGGCAAAGTACGCCGAAGTCTTCAACAAGCAAAAGCATGTACAAAAGCTTGCAGGCCAGAGTAATATCAAACCACCAAACTTTGTTGGATTCACGTTCAAGCATAAGGGAGAGCTGAGTAATATCAGAAGTATGTTTGAAACCAATCACAGAGATCCATTCTCTACGCTATATTGAGTACTGCCATGACTTTGAGTGCCCGGTTGTTATTGTTAATTGTTTAAATACCGTTTTATTATTGATTTCTCTAGTTTCGATATCACAATGTGGTTCATGTTTCTTATATCGAGTATTGTGTTGAGTACACGTAATCAACCCTCCATGGTGAAATCGTACGATTTGAACTTCTCTTTAAAAGCCTCGGTCTCTTGTTCTTCAACTGTTCTACTCTGTTTACACTTGTCCCATTTGATTCTCTTTGGTGTTTGTAACAAGTCTGCCAACACTCGTCTTCCAAACTGCAAGTCCAGGGACTTTGAACAGTCGATATAAGTGATGTATACCTCCTGTTTGGATATTGATCTGTTGAACAACGTGAAACTGATGTAGTCCTTCTTGGAGTCGATGAACTCCAAGTATTTGGGGTCCTCGGTATCCTCAAACTTCTGAAACATGAGCTTGGTGTTCTGTATCAGCTTCTCGTTGTTGTACTTTGACTTTCTTTCCAATACTGATGAGAACTTTGTGAGAAAGTCTGCTGGGATGGGAAAACATTGTATATGGAAATGCACAGAATCTGCTTTGTTGATCTGGAAAAACACCGTTGCAAGCTCAAAGGAATCAAAGAACTTGACAAGTGACACTTGATACCTCATGATCTCGTTGTAGAGAGGTGTTTCGACAACAGACTTGTTGTCGTAGGATGAGTCCAGCGATGGTATATGAGCAACTGGAATGATAATACAATGACCAGAAAAGTTCATGAGCCGTGTTGGTCGAGTCAATGGGCCCTTTGCTATGGTTAGGTATGCATGTTCTCCAATAGATATTATCATATGAGATTCCAACTTCGGATTCGATAGACAGAAGAAACAGTTCTCCGGTGAGACGACTTTCCTGAGCCTTATCTTCTTCGATGTATCATCAGCTAAAGGCTCCTCAAAGACACGTTTCTTCGGTTGAGTAACTTCCTCTGTTTCGAAAGGATTTGGTGTTAAATTTGCTGGTGGTTTCAGCTCCTGGGTAGCGTTGATGTTGAACGCGTAGATCCACTTATCGCCAGATTCGAATTCTCCCAAGGATATGAACCTCGTATTCGTCAAAGAGTCGCTCCATTGGAATGGTGGGCGCTCAAAGAACTTTCCAACGTTGGATCCAACTGCGAAATGGTACTGTGGTTGTGTCTGTCTGACTATTCTATCGATGTTTGTATTTCCAAAGAACAACTCTCTCTCATTGGCAATTGCATAAGGCCATTGGTATGTGATCAGCACATCAACTTTCTTTCCCCTGAGATCTTGGAGAATCTGCTCCATCTCGTCGTCCAGGACCTTTTCATCTCCAGTGACGAATGCGATTGTTATTCCATCTGCCTTTGTAAGCGTCCCGTATTTCCCCAAGTACGAAATGTTGGAACCTTCAAGCTCTCTGTGATCATCTCCTACGTACTTCAACGACTGTGAGCCAGGAGCACACAGAATCTGGGGCTCAAACCTCACCGTAGACAGCGTCTCCTCCTCCTCAGGAAGGGCATCTCCTATGAGGATGATAGGGTCGAACGGGCCAGACTTCTTGTTCAAAGCGTTGATCTTCGTCGCTATCGAGCTTAGCTTAGAAGCATCAGGATGGAGCACAATGCTAAAGCGGTGTTAATAAAAAGGGCTCTCATCTCTGGTAAGCCGCAAGACTCGCTTACATCTTGGCCATCTCTATTCGGGTTATAACGTGGCTAACTTCCTATGAATTGAAGTGCAACAACGATGTGTAAACATACACCGAGTACTAATGCAAGTGCTTCATGCAATTCGAAAAGTTTTTTTTTTACGAATAGGGTCTAAAAAGTAGATGAAAAGGGAAATTATACTAAACCGTACGTATTCTCTTTGGACATGTCTATTTCTCAATTTGTCCTCACATTCTTTATAGGCTCTACCAGCAGGAAAGTTACTACAATGACCGGATTTTTGATTAATTAATAGATTGAACTTGAAAGTTTAGCCATAGTCCAACGACAAAGCAGCTGGAGTCCAACAGCTCATCGCCAACACAGTGACCAAAAACTGGAGATATACGAAGTCGTGTATCCCATCTTTAAGTAAAACATGCAAAAGCGTTCGTTCCTGTAGTCGAATTATAAACACGACATGACATGACCAACCGTGGATAAATGAGAACAAAGTTGACATGTACTCAGCAGGTGGTGATCGAAGATGATACCCCTCGTGGAGTTGAGTACATTATATGTAAGCGAAAACCTGAAATAAGATTGAGTGATATGCAAATGAACCAAAAACAGTTGACTTCCTCACTCGGTAGAAGATAAATATTATGAAACAACAGTTGAGAAAGAAAATGAAGGGAAAATGAAAATAGGAATCAGACGTTTAATGAAGGATTGTTCCATCATTGAGCGAATGAATGTTGATGGTATAATGAGAATTATACGATAGCATCGTCTCAGACTTACAACAGCAAGTAGACGAAACCAGCCAAAGCAGCAGCACCGGCGCTCAATTGAGCAGCAGCACCCTCGTAGGTGGAGACGGAGGCAGAACCTTCAGCACCGCTGGCAACAGTGGAGACAGTGGTAGCCTCAGTAGCAGTGGCAGCCTCAGTGGCAGTGGTAGCCTCAGTAGCAGCGGTGGTACCCTCAGCAGTGGCAGTAGTACCCTCAGCAGTAGCGGTGGTACCCTCAGCAGTAGCGGTGGTACCCTCAGCAGTAGCAGTGGTACCCTCAGCAGTAGCGGTGGTACCCTCAGCAGTGGCAGTAGTACCCTCAGCAGTAGCAGTAGTACCCTCAGCACCAACAGTAGTAACCTCGGTGACGACAGTAGTGTAGGCAGTCTCCTCGTTCTCAGAAGTACCAGTAACAACGGTGGTAACCTCAGTGGTAATAACCTCACCAGTTTCGGTAGTAGCTGGTGCCTCAGTTGGAGTCACGGTAATAACAGTAGTGTAAGAAGAAGCGCTGGTCAATGGGCAGTAAGTGGTGTAAATAGTGACCTCACCCTCAGCTGGAGTGGATGTGACAACGACGACACCAGTGGTGACTGTGCTCTCCTCACAACGGTTCTCTGCACAAGAGGTGATAGTAACAACAGTTGTAGATGGAGCAGTAACAGTGGTGGTGACGACAGAAGAAACTTCAGAAGCTGGAGCAACGGTGGTGGTCTCTTCAGCAGAAGTCTCATCAGCAGTGAGTGGGCAGTAGGTTGTGTACTCAGTGACAACACCAGAGATGGTGGCAGTCACAACAGTGACACCAGTGGTGACAGCAGTCTTGGAGCAGGCGTTGTCAGAACAGGAGGTGATAGTAACAACGGTGGTTGAAATGTCACTGGCAGTAGCAGTAGATGTGATTTCAGAGGTGATGGTCTCAGCAGAGGATTCAGACTCAGCAGAAGACTCGGACTCGGAAGAAGACTCAGACTCAGCAGAAGACTCGGACTCGGAAGAAGACTCAGACTCAGCAGAGGATTCAGACTCAGCAGAGGATTCAGACTCAGTAGACTCCTCAGCGGAAGAAGAACTCTCAACAGAGGAGATGCTGCTAGCATCCTGGTCGATAGAGGCTTCGAAATCGAGAGTAATAGTAGCTCTCTTTTTCAATCTGCTCTCATCTGGAACTGTGATAGCAACGGAAGCAATAGCACTGTATGGAGCTTCACCAGTAGCAACAGCGTGAATGTAGATAATCAAGTCCTCCTCGTACTCAATAGATTGGTCGTAGGAAGCGGAGAAAGTGTCATCAGTGTAAGAACCAGATCCGACAACCTCAGAGTCGACATTGACATCAACACCACTGAAGACATAAGGAGAATCAGGGTTGGAACCTTGGACTTCAACGTTGGTCCAAGTGGCAATGTTTCCTGGAAGGTAGATCTCAAAGGTTGGAGCACCTTCAGCATCCAAGTAACCAGTCATGTATGGGGTACGGACAGCCTCAGAGGAAGTGGAGGATGAGATGATGAAGTCCTCGGAAGAAGAGGTAGCAACATCTTCCTCGCTTGAAGAAGAGCTGATGGAGAAAGTTGATGGAACATCAGAAGATGTAGAGTTGGAGTACTGAGCAGTAGCAACGGCTGCCAAGGTAGCAACAGCGATAGCCTTTAAAGAAACCATAGCGAGTGATATATAAGGTTATGTTTGTTGATTAGCTTACTACTGTTCTAATGGAATTGGGAGTGGATCCAGCGTCCTTTTATATCATATCACCACATGGGTCTTAGAGCAACGCATATTCGTACAGGCAGAACCTTCTGAGTGTTCAGCATCAGAATCCTGTGAGATCAAATCTTCAAAGGCGGCTGGTACTGTCCAAGATGCGCATGGCTAATACATATAACATAGTTGCACTTATCACTGGTTACGGAGATGATCGAGGTTTTTTCCGAATTTTTTCCAAAAATCCTGCGTGATAATTGCTTACATAATACGTTGGTAGGAACACCTGAATCCGGAGTCAAAACAATACCGGAAGGGTTCGGGTGTGCGCTAAACGAATCCCGGGTCGGGTGTGCTCTAAACGAGATTCGAAATCGGTTTGATTACATAATAATAAATTATTTTGTTCGTTTTTAAATTTCTTTTTATTTTAGGTTTTATAAAATTGCATAAAACTATAAATAAAGAATGCATTGCAGGATGCAGGAAGATGTAAGAGTGCAAATGAGGCGAAAATGAAACCTGAAATGGAAAGAAAGCCTGAAATGGAAAGAAAGCCTGAAATGGAAAGAAAGCCTGAAATGGAAAGAAAGCCTGAAATGGAAAGAAAGCCTGAAATGGAAAGAAAGCCCGAAATGGAAAGAAAGCCTGAAATGGAAAGAAAGCCTGAAATGAAAAAGATAAACTTACCAGAAACTTACCAGAAACCAACCAATATCACGTGACCAGCAAAAAAAAAACAAAATGGATCATGCTAATAAGCCAATTCGAGAGAAAGAACAACAAGGGATATCAGACCAGTGTAATGGCTATCATGTGAAGGCACCCAGCAACCATCTGTTGTCATTTGTATAAGTGTGTTAGTAGTGTTCATCTTCCAATCCCCCATCCCTTATCCTCAATTCAACATACCTAGTAACTCGTTTGATCAGCAGCTTTTCTGCTTTTCCCAGCCCAATCATTGCCTTCGATTTTCGTTAGTGGTAGAGGTGACTCTTCGTGGTAAGAACAG